CTGGCCCCAGCTTCTTGTAGATATTGTCATTGTTCTTCGCTTGCATAGAATTTCTTCAATTAAGATTACTTCTTAACACTAGCAGAAAGAACAGAGTAACAAACAAATTCAACCAATCACAACAATTTGCTTGAGAATTCAAATTTGAATTTCCTAAAATGCCCCCAATATGTGGCCTTAATTGAGGGCAACCATTGCTCTCATCTCATGAACCAGATTCTTGATAAATTTGCTCTGAATCTCTTTATCAAGCAAAAACTCCCTCCACTTCTTGTGGTTTGTCCTGATCAATGACCCTTTTGCCCCCATCACACCACACACAGCTTCCTCAACATCCTCTTTCCCAAAATACCCATCCTCTTCTCTCCTATTCACCTCCACCCCAGCCGCCATGTCCGCCGCCACGAGCTTGGCGTTCAAGAACTGATCCCCTTTCTGCGGAATCATGACCAGCTGGCAGTCATTCGCCATAGCTTCGATCACCGAGCTGAACCCGGCGTGGCTGACGTGGCATCCCACGCTCCGGTGGGCAAGAATCTGCTGCTGCTGCACCCACCCTGAATGGATGGCCCCCCTTCCCTTCACCCTCTCTGCAAATCCCTCCGGCAGTGCTCTGTTCATCTCCGGCGACTTGTCGTCGCCGGAATCCGGGAAGTTCAGGACCAGAAGGAATGGGAGCCCGGTGAGTTCCAGGCCCAGAGCGAGTTCTTTGATCTGATCGTTTTTCAAGAACGTTTCGCTCCCGAAGGAACAGAAGATTACGGTTTTGGGTTCGAATTGGGACAGGAATTTCTCCCATTTCTCCTCCAATTTCCCGGCGGCCGGCTCCGGGACTACCGGACCGGCGAGGAGGATGGGTTTCTTGAATTGGGATTTCACGTAATCTATGTAAGGACCTTCCATTTCGTAGCAGGTTTTCGCTAGAATTGCGGAGCAGCCATTGAGTCCGGCGAGGACACGATCGTAAACAGAGGAACTCCCATGGAAGCTTTTGAAGATGTAGAGAAAGTCTCGAGCTTCGAAGTCCCGGAGAGAGGTGACGGAAGTTTCGGGAAAACCCGGCGGGGGATTCTTCATTTCGTCGAGGGATGGAGATTTCCCGGCCTCCCGGAGCCTGGCGGGGACGGTGGCGAACGCGGTGGCGAGAGCGATGAAAACAGAGTAAAACAGGGTTTTTATCCCCAGCTCCGCCGCAAGCGGCGGAAGCCAATCCTGGGCGAAATCGAACACCACGAAATGTGGGCTGAGTCGAAGGAAGAGTTCCTTCACCTGCGGCTTCAAGAGGTCGAGCGCCACCTTCAGAAGCTCGGCGGTGGCCGGAGACAAGTCGGACGTGCTCTCCGACCCCGTAGGAAGGCCGTCGACGGGGGGCAGAGTCAGGGAATGAATCTGGATCTCAGAAGCCAGCATGGGTTTGATCCGGTGGACGTTCCCGGCGGCTGAGAAGAAGGAGATCTCTACTCCATGGGAGGATAACTTGTTGGAAAGCTGCACAAATGGACTGATGTGACCAAATGCAAAGAATGGAAACATAACAACATGAAGAGGATGAAGATGGTGGCCATTTTCCTCATGATTCTCCATTTTTTTTCTGAGTACAAATTTGAATTTCTTCTCGTTCAACTTTGCATCTGTGCTTCTTCACAGCCTTCACTTTTTATTTGCCTCAGTCCTACAAACAGTACAAAGTACAAACAATAACAGCTCACTCCCAATTTTATTTTGTGGGTACTAATTTGATTTTAGTGATGTTTTTTTCACCACATTAAATAAAATCTTAACTAAATAAATAAATACTACGGAAAATATATAAATAATTAATTATATTAAAATTACATTTTTTGAAAAGAATTCAATTATATTAAATTTGGAATGTCTGAAAAAAGCAATTTTTTTCTTTTATGGAAAACTTTGAATGAGTTACAATCATTCTTTCTTTTCTACAATATTTTCAACTACACATTTTTAATTTATTTAAACTCTGTATGAAGTCAAACTGGAAGCTTTTTTTTGGAACAGGTGGAGTAATTCAAGCAGGTCTAGCAACATTTCTATTTTCGACTTTCGAGTAGAGCAAGATTTGTATAGAGACGCCCTTGTGAATCCTACTTTATTGTTGTCACATAATACAAAATTTCTAAATATAATTTTTTATAATTTGTGTTCAAATTGATAAAAAAAATCAAACTAACATGATAATTAAGAAAGGTTACTAAAAAGGGAAAAAAATGTTAGAATAAGTGCCCTTCACTAGAGGGGGGTGAATAGTGAGGCACGAGAATGTTTATAAATATTCGCGGAATAAAAATCGCAGGGATAAAGTAAAGAACGTAAAAAGTAAAGAGCGTAAAAAAGCGTAAAGAGAGCACACCAAGATTTATACTGGTTCACCACAACGTGTGGCTAGTCCAGTCTCCCGAGAGACTCTCTCGAGCTACACTACTTCCGTTAAGCTTACAGGTGCTTAACAAACCGTTACAACCTGAGAACTCGAGTCCCACGAGCCTCAACACACTTGCTCAGAGATACCACACTCCAAGACTTCAACCCGAAGGAATATGCCCTTCCTTCGTACAACCAAGGGAACAAACCTCCCTTAAAGTGTTCACAACACTTAACCACTCAAGAACAAAAACTCTCTTAAAGAGTAGAATATGAGCAAACTAATTTAGATCAAGAACACACTCAATTCCTCAAGAAATGGCTCTAAAAAGCTATGTAAAAAGTTTATGGAATGATGCAATGTAAAGCTATGAAATGTGTGTGGAATGGATGTCAAAAGTAGACCCAAGAGACCCCTTTTTATACCCAAAAACAAGGTGCAACGGTTGGGAAAAGATTGGGGTTGATTAGCTTGATTTGTGGAAATCAAATAAAAGTGGATCTGCTGAAATCTAGTCCGACAGCGCTGTTCATATGGTGAACATCGCTGTTCTGGCTTTGACTTTCCTTTAAAAAAGGCTAACGGTCATCAAAACATCGATGTCTAGAAGTCTACATCGCTGTTGGGGTGTTTGACTTTTAAAAATGGAAAGATTTTGTCTTAAATGGCCCAACGGTCATTTGAAAACATCGCTGTTCAACCATGAACATCGCTGTTCAAAATTACAAATTATCTTCCTGTTCATTATTCAATTCATTCTATTGATTTATTTTTTATTGCTCATTTAATAAAATAATTTTTTAATTACTCATTCAATAAAAGAATACTCCGTATAATGATATCACCTCTAATTTTGTATATTTTTTATTTAGTTTTTAAATAATTACCGGAGTAATTTTTATTTTTTAATTCCATCTATTTTTCATATAAAATAATTTAGTCACACATCGTAACGCACAATGCAAAGATAATTTTTAGACGAAAAGAATATTTATTTACAGTCCAATTTTTTAAGAAAATAGTACAAATTTGAAAAAAAGAAAATTGCCTCTATCGTAAAAACTACATCAAACTCTATAGAACAAATGATGACATAACTGATTAACAAAAATAAATAAAAAATAATTAAGTGAGATGATTAATTCGAAAGGAAAGGAATAAATATTTTATTCACTTGAGGTTCTTTAGAACTCCAATAACCACCTCAAAATACAGTGAAAAGGGGGCAAATAAATCAGCACAAAACAAAGTTTCCTCAAGTCTTATAAAAAAGTTCATACTCAGCTACATTTTGACACTACAAAAAGAGATGATAGATGAGTTCCACACATCCAAATCTTACATTTGGTCACAGACCGGGCAACGGATATTGTTTGGTCAAAGCTTCGACTCTCCCACGGAGACCCGAGATTTGACCGGTCAACGGGAATTCTGGTGAAGTAACAAATTTCAAGAAATCTTGAACCTTGGAACTTGAAACTAGTTTTTTAGCTTCAATGGCAATTTGCACGCCCTCGTGGATGAACTCGGCAACTTCCACAAATTCCTTCTCCGTGAAACCTCGGGTCGTCATAGCTGGCGACCCTATACGAATGCCACCTGGCACTAGCGCGCTTTTATCACCTGTGCATTACATTGCAACATCGTTATTTTCTCCTTTTTCCCCATTTTTTTAATAATGAAAATTAGGAAAAGTCATGTGAGGAGATAAAAAGAACTTATATACTCCTAGTATTGTTGTTTTTTTGGATGAGGGAGTGTCAAATGTTACATCTGACTTACCGGGTACAGAATTCTTGTTGAGAGTGATAGAAGCCAAGTCAAGGATTTTCTCCGCTCTAGCACCGTCCATACCCTACAATGGCATGGGCAAGGATTCAAGTATCTTTAGGTGATGTATTAGGGATTGAGGGTATTAAGGTAATAGTTAAGAATGGTAGCAACCAAACAACTAATCAAAACGATATTCGACCACCAATGATGACAATATATTGGTGTTCTCAAAGTCGGTCAAGATTGTCGAAAGATTAACAAAGCACACACATTGGCACGTATAAATACGCGCATATGCTTGTACAAAATGTTCAAAGCAAAAAAAGCCAAGGAATTAATTGCTTGAAGAAAAGTCAAGGACATTTGGGAGGACTTACAATAGGTCTTAAGTCAACAAGAACCAGATGATTATCAGTCCCTCCAGACACTAGTTTGTAGCCCAACTCCATTAACCGTGTCGCAAGAGCTCTACAATTTGAAACTACCTGAAGAACAGACTTAATGCTTTGAAACTATTCTGGAAACCAGACGTAAATTGGGGGGGAGAGAAAATGACAGAATACCCTCTTTTGGTATGCATTAAACTCCGGTGACTTTGCGTGCTTCAAGCAAACAGCAAGCCCCCCTATAGTGTGATTATGTGGACCTCCCTGTTTAGATATACAATGCCCAGAAAATAAAACAAAATGAACCACAAAAACCCCAGTAAAATCCCACAAAATGTGAGCTGATGAGTGCAAACCTTACTCCTGTTTCCAAGAGAGACACTCGCTCAAAAACAGAATAAACAATAAGAGACAATAAATTGGTAATGATAATTGAAGTGGGAATTTAACAGACCTGTAAACCTGGAAAAACGGCATTATTAATGGCAGATTCTAGATCAACTCCGAGAACAGGATCCTTCTTGAAGAAGATCATGCCGCCTCTTGGTCCTCTCAGAGACTGGAGACACATAAATACTTGTGTCTAGTTTGGATAGTTCACACTTTGATGAGAAAAACATGTGGAGTTGATCTTGAAGAAGACCTTACCCCTACTAATAAAGTAGAGAGGTTTCCAATAGACCATACATTTACGTTCTCCACTAGCAAATTCTCTCTGGTTCAAGCACAAAACCTCATGGAAGAAAATAGAAACCTCACCTTGTGGGTAGTTGTTGTAACAATGTCACAGTACTCAAAAGGGTCAGCAACAACAGAGGCAGCAACAAGCCCACTAATATGAGCCATATCCATCATTAGAAAAGCTCCAACATCATCTGCTATCTTTCAAGACACACACGCACACACATAGGTAGATTACCAAACAGAAGTATAAAATATTAGAGCACTGAAATAGAAAAAGTTGCCATTTACCAACTTGATATTTGAGTAATTGACTATACCTTTCTCATGCGAGGATAATCAAAGTCTCGTGGATAAGCACTAGCACCACAAATGATAAGTTTAGGCCGAAAAAGTGTTGCTGTTTTCTCAAGCATGTCATAATCAACAAGTCCTGTATATTATTTGGAAAACATTATACTCTGTACCAGCTAACATTTAAGGGTTCGTTTGGAGCCTGGAAAATGCCAACAACAGCCCAGTACAACCCCAACTCTGTTTGGTGTTAGAGGACTAAGACATTATGTTCATTATCTTAAAAATTAAAACTTAATCGTAATTCATTTTCCTTTACATTTTCCCAAGTAAAGCCGGAGTAAAGAAAAATACATTCCTAAAATCTTTCCCTCCCCTTAGAAGTTCCGGGAAACCAAACATACCCTTAGAGTTGTCCAGAATAATCTTCAAACAAACATAATAAGAAGAATGCATACCTGTAGATTCATCAAGTCGGTAAGGCATAGATTCAAAATAAATAGATGTTCCTGAAACCCGTCTTTTGGGAGTCATGAATCCATGAGACAGGTGCCCCCCATGAGGCAAGTCCAATCCCTAGTAGAATGAAATGTCAGAACATTTTTTGATTATACAACAACAAACTCAGCCCTACTTGACAGTAGAGAGGATGTTTCCAAGAGACCCTGTCTTTTTTATTAAAAGGAGTATATTTTAAAGTAAATAACAGTAAGGTTTACCATTATCCGATCATGTGGGTTAAGAATGGCAGTATAAACTTCAAAATTTGCTGGAGAACCCGATAGTGGCTGAACATTTACACCCCATTTGCTTCCATCTAGGTTAAATGCTGCCAATGCCCTTCCCTGACAAAGAATCTCTAGCTCATCAATGTACTCATTCCCACCGTAGTACCTAAAAAAAAAAAAGAAGGCTAACAATAACTTTTTTAAACAAGTCATGAGTAAAGGCCAAACACAAGTGGTGTCCAAAAACACATAGGGTGGCTTTGGTTTGGATTTTCAAAATACATGATTCCAGTATTAAAATAATGTGACTCTAAAAATTACTAGATTCATGGGATAGGGTGATTCCCAAAATCTCATTTTGGAAAAGAAAATCACATATCTCATTTTTTTCCGAAATACAAACCAAATAGACAATGATGATTATGATTCAATAATCAGCAAAATCGCCCTACAAATGCAAACCACAACCACATATACACCTACAGTTACAAAGTTCTCTGTTTAAAAGGAAACTTCACCGTTTTCCAGGAAGTCCTTCAGAATATTTATTTGTGAGGCAAGAACCGACTGCTTCCATCACTGCCCGCGACGTGAAATTCTCCGAGGCAATGAGCTCCAAACTTCTAAACTGGCGTTCTTTCTCCTTGGTGATAATTAACTGAACATCAGGATCAGCTTGGCTTAAATCATAGTCCGTGAAGCTGGCACCTAGAAAAAATAAAAAAAACTCACAGCTTCATAGGCATTTTAAATAAACATAATAAATTGAATTTTTTTTCTTTTTTTTTTTAAATTAAATAATTCCTTCCATCTATCTCATTATTATATTCTACTACATCGCACAAGTGAAATACTCTAGCTAGCTATATCTAGTTCTCATAATAAATTGAATTCATTGACTTCAATAGCTAAATAAAATGTTGTTAAAGGGAGCACCATTTATCTACTGCAGGAAACAAGAGCAATTGTGCAGGATAAGAATCTTTTGTGGGAAATGAATCATTTTCAACAAAATATAAATTCACACAAAAAAACAGAGTCTAAAAATCAAATTCATTGTCCTAAGCACTTGCCTCGAATTTCTGGCACTGTCACAGAAGAAGTCATCTTCCCAGTAGCCAAACACCCTTTAACTTGAGTAGCTCTGCAGGGCCTTAGTGAAAAGACCCTTACTTTATTAGAATTCAAACACATTCCAGAGCCCTTCATCAGATTCAAAGGAGACCCTTCTGTCCAGACAGAATTCTGAACAGAGGCCATCGATGGAGCACCACAGCAAGCTTTCATATTGCCTCAATGAAAAAGAGGAGGAAGAACTTGAGAATTCTCCTGGTTCAGAAAGAAAAAAAAAAGAATAAAAATCATAACAAAAAGAACTGAAGAACTACCCTGTTTTTATCCCCTAAATATGGGTGTTGCATTGTGCAATGCCACAATTTCCATTATATGTTGGCTTTTCACAATATTCTTTTATATTATATATTGACATTTTTTTACATATGGGTCAGTTTGGTAAGCTGGAAAATGAGTTCTGGAAATGACTTGAGGAAAATGAGTTATTTTCTCAAAGTCATTTTCCTTTTCTGGTATTTGGCTAAAAGTATGAAAACTGTCTGTTTCTGGTTGTCTAATTTCGGAAAATTGAGTATCTCAGAAAATGATATTTGATCAACTTGTATTTCAGGCATTTTATCAAACACCTAGGGACGGACCTCCTCATCAACAAAATCTTTTCTTCTCCAAATCTTCCAAGAGAAGTAAAATGAAAAAAAACACTCCTTAAATCTTAACTTGATGAATTGTAACCCTAAAACAGAAAATGATGAGCAGTACAGACGTGAAGGGCGTTGATGAACAGTGTTTCAAACTCAAAGTTGAAATTTTTTCATTAAGACACGAGTAAAATTATATCCTAGCGGATTTTGAAGAACCAGGTTGATGAACAAAAAATATACTGGTAACCCTAGCCGATTTTGAATAGGGAAGAGTATTTGTTCTGCGCTCACTGGGTAGAGGTCGAAGAATAAGAAGGAGATATTGCCATATTGTCTAAAATAATTAATTAAATAAACAAATAGAGAGTATTTAACTTCATAAGCAAATTACAAGAAGAGAAATGGTGAATTTACCTATGAGACAGCGGAAAGAAGGCGGAGTGGTCTAAGGGTATTGGTGGCGGCGGAGTTCGATGGCCGGCGGACTTTGAAGATGTAGGTGTTTGCCGGCCGTCGGAGCTGGGGCTGCGGGCGTGGCTTGCTGTTCAGTGCTGTGGTCTGTGGACTTGGGATAGAAAAATTTAGGTTTTTATCAACAAAAAATCAAAACGGTGGTTTCATAGTTTTAAAAACAGGACCGGACCGGCCTGTTCGGACCGTTAACCGGCGGTCCAACCGTTCCGGTCCGGCCCAATGGACCATCGAACCGGTCCGAACCGGCTTGAACCGGTAAGAATCGGTCGGTCGGACCGGTCAGACCAGTTTTTTTTTTAGTCCGAACCCAAGACCCCTTTGTTATTTGGTTGAGTTCCTAACCACCCAACTAACAGTGCTTGTTGTTTTAGATTTGTATAATTTTTTGTAATATTTCATAATTAATAAAAAGATTGCATAAAAATCACTTTTAAATTTTAAAAATATAATGCATAGTAGTTATATAGCTATGAGTTAAACACAAAATCATTGATATTTTTTTAAATAAAATTTTAATAATATTTTTTAATATGTAAATTTTTTCTTTTAATTTAGTAAAAATAACTCAAGTAAATTAATACGAGTATAATTTTAGTCAAATATTATAAATTCTTTTCTTTATGTATTTATATATGAGAATGTGTGTGTGTGTGTTTATATATATTTATATTTATTTATATTTATATAATTTTTAAATATGTTTAAACCACCGGTTCGACCAGTTGAACCACTGGTTCGACCAGTGAACCAGTACCTTGACCGGTTCGGTCACCGGTCCAGTTCTCAAAACTATGGGTGGTTTTCAATATTCCTTCCACCAGCTCTTTCTACTATCCTTTTTTTGCAATATACTCCGTATATGGTAGAACATGTTTTACGATATTTTTAGTATATTATTCATTTATAAGCAATTGAATATTTATTTGCAAACAATAAGATTTTTATTTTTTAGCAAATGAATATTTATTTTTGAGTATTTGAATACTCATTTTTTAAAATCAATTATACTTGAAAATGAGAATTCAATTATTCAAAATAAGTGTTCAATTAGATATACGAGAAACATTATACAGAGTACATCTGTACCAAATGATGGGGTTGAAAATATGGAGTAATTTCTTATTCCCACCAAATGCTACACAAGAGATTATGAGTAGCCCTCAATTAAGGGCCTGTTCTTTAGGACTGGAAAAAAAGAACTGAAAACTAGAAGAAACTTGAAGAAACTTGAAGAAACTGGAAGAAACTGGAAAGAACTAGAAAAACTAGAAAAAACTGGAAGAAACTGGAAAAACTGGAAAAACTGGAAAAAATTAAAAGAATCTAAAAAAACTATAATAAATTGTAAAATCTAAAAAAAGTTTTTTAAAAATTTTTATGCGTGGTTTTAAATTATTCTCATTCTGATTCTTGGTGCTATAAATTATTATTATTACTAATATAATTATTATTATTATTATTATTATTGTTGTTGTTGTTGTTGTTGCTGTTGTTGTTGTTGTTGGTGGTGGTGGTGGTGGTGGTAGTAGTGGTGGTGTTATTACGTTATCTAAATGATTGTCTTTAAAATCTAAAAAAAGTTTTTTAAAAATTTTTATGCGTGGTTTTAAATTATTCTCATTCTGATTCTTGGTGCTATAAATTATTATTATTACTAATATAATTATTATTATTATTATTATTATTATTGTTGTTGTTGTTGTTGTTGTTGTTGGTGGTGGTGGTGGTGGGTAGTAGTGGTGGTGTTATTACGTTATCTAAATGATTGTCTTTAAAATAATAAAAAAATATTACGAATATTATTTCTCATACATAAAAAAGATGATGTTATTTGATGAACAAACTAAAGATGCAATGAAACAGCTTAGAAAAAAACTAGCACTTAATATCGTACAATGTAGTTAAATTTAATTGAAGGTACTATTTACGAACTATGGTTTTTACAATATGATTATGTTGAGAATGATTGGATTATTTATATCTATATGTACACTATTTTACATATTAGAGACACTAAAAAGTAAATCAAATAAATGAAACTATAACTTTTTTTTAGTTGTATTTTAATTATTGGGGATGTTATTTGTTAGTTGAATTTCCATTTTGCACTTCATGGGTCTTTGTTTCTTTTTCAAAATGTAGTTTTCTCTTGGTTTTCATAATATAGTACTCTCCACCACATTCCATATTTTATATTTTAGATTAAAATATTGATGTTTACCTTATATAAATTTAGATTAAAAAATATTCTATATAACTATTTAACCATAATTTTTTAAATAGTTTCCTAATTTTTCATGTAGATTAATATACAAACAAAATGGTATTATTCATATTAAAAAGTTGAAGAAAAAAAATAATGAATGTAAATCATAAAAATAGTGAGTTGAAAAAATGAAATAATTTTTAAACTATAGTTATGAACATAAAAGTTGTAAGTAAAAAAAATTGTAATAATAATAATAATATATTATTTTGGATTGATTTGTAAGAAAGTAGAAAGAACTTGAAGAAAATAAATATAATTGGAAGAAAATAGAAGAATTAGAAAAAACTGGAAAATACTGGAAGAAACTGGAAGGAACTAGAAGAAACTGGAAAAAAACTGGAAGAACTGGAAGAAACTGGAAGAAACTGGAAAGAATTGTAAGGAACTGGAAAGAACTGGAAGGAACTGAAAAGAACTGGAAGTTAAGAGTTCAAGTCCTAAAGAACATGCCTTAAATAGGCTAGGGAAGAGTGGAGGAGGCCAAGTCCATTGGAGGCTTTAAGCTCCTACACTCATATACATGTAAATTTACATGAGATTAATAAAAGTTTATTTCCTTGGCATAGTACTGTTTAAAAGGCATGTAGTTTTCTCTCAATTTTGGCTTCCATGTAAGTATACTTTCTCTCTCCTATATTTATTTATTTACCGGATTTTGCTCTTTGGTGTGGTGCTGACCCGACATCGAGTTCGTCGGGTCGACATCCCGAAAAAGTGAATTCCATCAATTTCATTTGAGAGAAATGAACCATGGAAAATAAACAGAAAATCAGATGAAATAAATAAATTAAAAAAGAGGAAAAACAAATTTTACTCTTTTTAATAAGTAAAAGAAGAAATTTTTTTCTTACTTTCTAGTGTCTCAAATCAAACATAATGTTTATAGTCTTGGATCCAAAATCCCTCCAAGACCATGATATTTTTTCACCATACAACCAAGTTCTTTCTAGAAGAGACATCAAAAACTACTCCCACATGATATTTAAGTTTTCTCTTCGCGAGGCTTCAAGGCGTTCAAGCTCTTCTACGCGTGAAAATATATCACGTAGCAGTTTTAAAAAGAATTTGGTAAACTTTTACGAATTGCATAATCATTTTAAGATCAAAGTTATTTTCAAATATACTAAAATACGTAAATCAAATAACTATATAATACATGCATAAACTTGCAAAAATAAGGCAGCGTTCCATTCAACTTTTTTTCCAGCTTATTATGTATTCTTATTATAATCAAATCAAACAAGATTACATCAGATAAGACCAGATTACATAAAATAATCAATGACACAAAAATCATGAACAATATGAAAAAGCAAAAACACATGGCAGGGAGAAATTGTGGTATCATGAAAATCACATGAATATTAATTTTTCACTCAAGGAAATCAGTGCATTCAGAAGAAATACATGTGGTATGTAAATGTAATCCCTCCAATTTCAGAAGAGATTTCACAATTTCTCCATCTATGAATACAAAAAAACACACACACACACACACAATGGTATACATACAATTCCAAAGTTTTAAAAGAAGAAGAATCATAAATTGCAACTCCTCCTTTGTGTGAACTCTGATTATTCAATCCACATATCTGAACAAATTGCAAAAACTTTGCCAATGGGAACCAATTGTGTGTGTTTCTTCTATGGACTAAAAGATGTATTACCGTTTTCCTTCAAACCACATGAGTTGGGAATGCTCTGCAAAAATTGCATCCTCATAGCGGGCTCTCGCGAAAACCGGCCCAACACGGCAACCGTGGCGGTGTTACTCCCTACCTTCTCGATCCCCCGGGATATCATACATGTGTGGCTGGCTTCGACAATTACGATTACGTCCTCCTCCCCCATTGCTGAAGCCACACTCTCTGCTATCTGTCTTGTTAGCCTCTCCTGCACTTGAAGTTTATAGCCATGAAAATGAACTATTGACTGCAAGGTTGATTTGGCTCCTCCTCCTCCTCCTCCTCCATTTGAACCACAAAGGTATCCTATATGCACAACCCCATAGAATGGAAGAAGATGGTGTTCGCATTGTGACCAGAATGGCAAGTTCAGTTCAGAAACCATCTCTGGTTTGGAATCCGAACCGCACCTCACAAATCCTCCAAAGGGTTTCTTCATTTCCAAATCGGAATTCTTGAAGTCTGCGAACCACTTGACAAAACGGGACGGTGTTCCTAAAAGCTCTTTTCTGAATGGGTCTTCGCCAAGAGACAAAAGAATGGACCCCACCGCGTTAGTCATGACTGAATTCACCGGTGGCAGCGTCTTGCATGAAAAGAGTGAGGGGCAAAACGGTCTTTCGATGTCCTTTGTGTCCGAACATATTCCTCTCAATCTCAGGAGACCCAGAAAGTCTGTCCACACGTTAGCTTTCTCGTCCTCAAAAACTCCAGACCCAGAAGTGACCAAGACCTTGACCCACCCATGATGGATGTGGATGTGGGAGCACTGTAGAAGAAGAGCGACCCCCGTTGGATTGAATGCTTGCTGTAGGGCGGCGCACACCTGATCAGAGAGGTGCTGAGGATTCTGAAGCCGTTTTGCAAAGATGTCAGCCACACGGGAGAGCTTGCTGAGTCCTACCACACGTTGTTCAGATGGGACGTATCCCACGTGGCACTTGATGTGGAAGGGGAGTAAGCAAGACTCACAGTATGAGAAGAGATCTATGTCACGGACGATCACAAGCCCGCCAGCCCCACCAGCATGACCCACGCCAGCTCCCAACCCAACTTCTGGGAATAAGGCGCCGTGTACAACATCATTCACTTTTTGTCTATACCCTGCACCAGATATGGAGAATCAATCAATGTAGGAAAGAAATGTATTCATACATTATATTAGGAGCAGAAACTTGTCAAACACATTGATACTAGCTACAATTTCACCAAATCTCTTTGGCTATTTCACCCAAATTTGCTATTAACAAACGGTTCTAAATCACATGTATGCGAGGTTTATTCAAAAGCTTGCATGATACTCCGTATATAATTATATATATAAAGAGGAGAGTGAACTTTTTTAAAAGCTTGTAGTATATAATGAACTAGCCATCCACTAAAATGACGAATTCTATCTAATTTCATAAAGAAGACATATTTCCCGAGATAACTTCTGAAAGTGTATCAAGAAAATGACGAGGTCTATTTAGTTTCCTAAAGAATGCATATTTCGATATGTAAGAAACAGAAAAATACTGTTTCTACCATTTTGCAGGCGGAATCACCATACTTTTCCCGGTTTAATTACCTTTACATCATAGGCAAATGAATGGATCTAAGGGAAAATTCAGGAGGAAAAACATGTGCATGTGTGAACTTTGTGAAACAGCATTTATATTGCAAAAAGTGACAGCATTTAACGCGCGAAACATATTGAACCCGAGGGAGTACTATACTTAAAATATGTTGCTGCTATCTGTCATCATTAAAATACAAATTAACAACCACCAAACTTTGTTCCCATACCACATTATGAGTATCACTAAGGTGAGTTAAAACAAACAAAAAACAAATTGTTCCATAATTAGCAACAAAAAGCTTAATACTCATTCTGCCCCATGAAGAAAGGTTTTTAGGGAAAACCCATATAACTCGTAGTACTTCTTGCCAAATCTAAACCACACAATATCATCTTAGTAATTGCGTCCGGTCGATTACGAAGACCAATATGAAGGGTAAGATATATATAGATACCTTTGGTGCCCTCGCGGAGGGCCTTGGCGACCCGAAAAGGGGTTTTCCTGAGACCTTCTCTATTAACATCCTCACCCAGACCCTGCAGGAGGATTTTCACAGACTCCTCAATAGCCAGGGTCTCTGGTTCATCCTCAACCCCGAGATCAATGCAATCCCCAAGCCCCACTCCTCCATTCTCCAGCTCCGCATTGTAATGATCCTCCACTAAAGCACCCATCGACGGCACCCAAAGCTTCTTCTTCCCTGTCAAATCAAATCTGCAACCGGTCAACGAAGATCCGAAAGCAAACCATATCAAATCAACAGAACTTCAGCTGGAGATCCAAATCGGGGGAATTATCCACCAAACAGCTTATCCAATTCATGACATGAGCTCATGTGCGGGAGGGACGTTTGTGCATGCGCTTTATTTATTGCTCAAATGAATAAGGAAAAGTAAATAAAAGGGAAGATGAGATGCGTATTTTGAACCTTTTGATTGATGATGGCTAGGGCTCGTTGCGGAGCGGCGGCTGCAACAGCGGAGAAAATGGACGAAAAGGGGCGTGGGAGATTGAGGGACACCAACATACAGCTCTGTGTTTTTTTTTCTCCTTTTTTTTTGCAGGGATGATATTGGAATGTGTGGAAGGACACCTTTATTTCAAGAGTACATGTAACATTATATCTGGTTGGGGCAAGGTTCCCATGACATTGGTTGACATTGGGAACCGATGTCATGAGATGAATTGGGGTGCTCCGATGCCCCGTTCGTAAAATTGACGGTTCCTACCCCCTAACCTCCTCGGTGCTCTGGTGCCCCGTTTACCGGGGGGTTTACCGGGGTTAGAGGAAGTAGGAACCGTCAATTTTACGAACGGGGCACCGGAGCACCAAAGGGATCGAATTATACGTTATTTCTTGTAGATCTACATGAATATTCATTGTACAGTAACAAAATATTTATTTTTTAATTTTGAGAAACATAATATTTATTTTCGATTAATTGAATACTCATTTTCGAGCACAACTAAATTTTAAAGAATTGAGCATTCCGTCACTTGCAAATAAGCAATCGTTGTGGATGACAATATGTGTCTTCCAATATCTAATTAAATTGACTTCATTTATGTCAAATCAACAATTCTGCCCTTCAAACTTATTTTGCATCTAAGGGGCTGTTTGTTTCAGCCTCTTAATGGTTCAGATGTCTGAATGGTTCAGTACTTAATGGTTCAGACTGTTTGTTTCAGCCTCTTAATGGTTCAGATGTCTGAATGGTTAAGAGATTTGCCTCTGAATGGTTAAGTATTATACAGAGTCTGAATGGTTAAGACCTCTTATCTGAATTGATCAGACATTTGCCTCTAAATAGTTAAACAATATACTAGCTCTTAATGGTTCAAATCTCTTACTGGTTCAGCACTTAATGGTTCAGACCTCTTACTGGTTCAGCACTTACCGATTCAGAAGTTGCCAAACAGCCCCTAAATATTCTGTTCTGTGTGTCCAATTTTTCAATGTGTACGAGTAGAAAAAAATTGCCCGCCGAAGACTTTTTGGTCATGCAACATTGCACCATCACTATGATTCTCTAAGAGTACGGGCAATGGCAAGTAGAAAATGAAATGTCACACGGTAACGTGAAATATTTTAACCAATCAAAATCAGTCCAGTCAGCGTGTGGCAAGTGAATGGAGTGGCATGCCTTACAATGACAAGTAATTGTTTTTGTCCGTTTTTACGCTTTTTAAACATATTTTAATTATTAAAAATTATTTTACTTATATTTTTTTTACAAAAATAGATATACTCCTATTTTAAAAAAATCTTCTTTTTGTATAAAAAAATTAAAAAAAAAGAAATCTGACTCGCGGAAGCCTCATGTACCGTGGAAGAAGTGTAATCCCACGCGCGGCAAGCAGATGGATTATCCTACGTGTCAGAGCATGGCAAGCGGATGGAACGCCGCTGCACATGCTCTAATTGGGAAGTCACAAGTTTGAACTTTGACGAGAAAAGTAACACTTTGAATTTGCATAGATGAAGAAAAAATATAAATAAATACTACACATGGTAGCATTAACGTTAAACAAAAGAAATCTCGTGAGCAAGAATTCATTATTACAAAAGAAATTAAAATAAATTTAAAAAAAAATGTTTGTATGAGTATAATTATATGACACAAGGTAAATTTTTCTATGGCCATAAGGTTTATATTCATTTTATGAACCTTAGTATATTTGTAGCATAATGAAAAGTTGGCTTTTTACAAAATAGAAAATGATCATATGAAAGCCCATGAAAAATGTTAGAAATTCTATATTTTAAATTTCAACTTTGGGACTATATACAGATCACTTTTCAATCATGTATTTCAAGTTAAATATAAATTTGAAATCCAAATTTAAGTAAACAAATATATCGAAATTCTATTAACGTGTATTCTGTGACATATTTTCAATTCAATTATTGATTAAAATTTATCTAATTTAAACAAAAAAAATACTTAATTACCAATATTCCAAAAATACCCTACAAACGGTCAGATCACACACCTACCGCAAGAAAAATATGATCAATCTTGGGTTGTTGCCTTGTTGGGCAGCCATTCACGACCGCATAAGAAAAAAAATGATGGATCCAATTTCGTCCACCAACAATTGGCGACACCACTTACTCAACAAAAGTAGCTAAATGTTGAAAGAAACACAAGAAACTGAAAAAAAAAACTTAGGGGCTGTTTGTTTCAGCCTCTTAATGGTTCAGATGTCTGAATGGTTCAGCACTTAATGGTTCAGACTGTTTGTTTCAGCCTCTTAATGGTTCAGATGTCTGAATGGTTAAGAGATTTGCCTCTGAATGGTTAAGTATTATACAGAGTCTGAATGGTTAAGACCTCTTATCTGAATTGATCAGACATTTGCCTCTGAATAGTTAAGCAATATACTAGCTCTTAATGGTTCACACCTCTTACTGGTTCAGCACTTAATGGTTCAGACCTCTTACTGGTTCAGCACTTACCCATTCAGAAGTTGCCAAACAGCCCCTTAGAGAACTAAAAGAAGAATAGAAGAAACTGGAAGTAACTAGAAGTTTTAAAATAAAACTAGAAAACTTAAAAAATTGGAAAATCTAAAAAAATATTTAAATATTTAAATTTATTTTTTATATTATTCGCATTCTAATTGTTGTTGTTATAATTTATTATTATTATTAGTATTATGATTATATTCATAATCATGTTATCTTAATCAATGTCTTTAAGATAAAGACATTGACTAATGTGACTAAATTAATTTTCTTTCATTATTAACATTTAATTTTCATTGTAACTCTTATTTTGGGAATAAAACATAAAACTCATATTTTGGTACATTTTTTATGTTCTAGTCCTAGTTTAGTCTTTTTCTCTAAAATATTTTGACTTTCAACAATTTTTATCAAAATTTGAAAATTATTTTCCTCATATGAATTGAACTTAGAAGAGTGTGAATCGTAAAAATAATGACAGGGGAAAAAATAAAAAATTGAATAATTTATAAACTATAGTACGTTATGAACACAATGGTTGTAATAATAATAATAATTACATTATTCTCGGAGGTGTTTGCAAGAAATACAGGGAAATATTTCCTAATAATAATCTCTCAATGGTGAGCATCTTTTAAATAAAATAAAGTTTGATTGTTGTAATGTTGTTATTGTAAATTTTAATTTAGGTTTAGGGTACACATTTTTATTTATTTATTTACAAAAGAATGATGAGGTTCATAATTAAGTACATCTTGTTACCACAATCTTGACAATCTCAAGACAAACCAAATCGACACTTACCCTCCCTTGGGACAACTATATATAATCAATTCACATTTATCATAAGCCAAATTTAATTTAGTGATAACATAACAATTACTGATTTTTAAAGAATAAATAATGTTTCTTGGCATTTTAATTCCTACACATAATGGTTTCTTTCCCACTTTATTGTTCTTTTTTCGTGTTTCTCATACAATTTTCTTAAAGAGTAATTTATCTAAATAAGACTAAAACATAATGACTTTCCCAAAATAGGACAATATGTTTTTATTTCTCAATGTAGGACCTTTGGTCATTATTAATTAGTCATTATTCAAGTAAATGTCCATCATTGCTGGACATTATTCCTTCCACGAAGACAATATTAAGTCTTATTTAAGAAATAAAAAAGTTTAAGTCCTAGATTAGGAAAGTCATTATGTTTAGTCCTATTTAGTACAAATTTCACTTTCTTAAAAGCGTCCAATGTGTTATTTAACAAACAGAAAAAGACTACACATATACTACCACGGGAAGCAGACGGAGCAGAGCCAATACTCGGCCACCTCCAGCTGCTCGGCAGCGGCAACACTCCTCTATGCCGGAAACTAGGTGCACTGGCCGATAAATACGGCCCCATATTCACCCTCCGTCTTGGGATGTACCAAAGAATATTGGTGGTCAGTAGCTCAGAAGCAGTCAAAGACTGTTTCACGACCAACGATAGAGTCACGGCTGCTCGCCCAGACTTTGCAGTTGGAAAGTACTGTTAGTTCCATGGTGTTGGCTAATCTTTTGGCAAAATAGAATCCCATGTTTGTTAGGTGTTTTACTAGGTAGAAACCTCTATTTGTTAGAAGAGGTTTATTTTATTTAGACTTCTAGAGTTGCTGCAGTTTTCGAGGTTGACACAGAAGATGCTGCAGCACGATGCTGCAACACAGTGTGCGGGATCAGAGATATGAGCACGGGATTTTAAGCTACATTCTGGATTAGAGACCTATTGGGATTGTGATTACATGATAATAAATCCAACTGTACTTGTGAAGGAATCCCAACTCTTTAGGCTACTTGTGGATCAAGATTAAGGAAGTTGAGTTCAAGCCAACTTCTACTATCATATTCCTACTAGGATTGTGTTAAGAAGAGCCTATAAAAACGCAGCAGGTCCCTGGGAATTACTTGGAGCGATTGAGAGGGAAAACAAAGAATATACGCTGATGTAGAGCGTTCCCGTCGCGCCCCGGAGCTTCCCATTCGTAAAGAAGGTTACGATCTACATGAAGGAGGAGATCTTCAACGCCAAACAGATTGTGACGTCCAGGAGATGAATTAGAGCTGAACAAGTGGGCTGCCAACACGTTTGTCCTCGTGATCTCGGTGGAGATGTGATAGCCAAAGCGGATATGAACAGAGTTCGGGTTAGAAATCATAGATTAGAAGTTTTGTCATAACAATTCGGAGAAGTGTCTCTTCATGTTGTTATATACCGGTGTAACTTGCATCTAGTGATTTAGTGGAGGGCTATTACACGGGCGTGGGCCCCGCAGATTAGGAGAATTTGCTCCGAACTGCGTAAACATATATGGTGTCATTTTTTAAGTATTTTATAGTTACAGCATTCTGCCCAGTAGACGTTGTAACGCTCTCTGCATCATCTGCTTCTGTGTGCGTGCTTGTGACAGAGAAGTGTTATAGCACACTGTTCGTCATCTGTTACTGTAACAGTGATGCAGCGTCTTCTATGCAACATAGTTCGATGATTTGTTTGCATAGCTCTTAATTGGTGATTTCCGCTGCGCCCCCACGAACTTACAAGTACCTCGGCTACGACTACGCCGTCTTCAGCCTCGACACCGACAGCGCGTACTGGCGCAAAATGCGCAAGTTCGCAGTGACGGAGCTCCTCTCATCCTAGAAGCTCGAAAGGCTGAAACACCTCCGCACGTCGGAGGTGGGGTCCAGCCTCAGGGAGCTCTACATGCTCGTGACCAGTAGTTCTCGTCCCACAGTGGACATGATCGACTGGCTCAGACAACTGACCTTAAACTTGATCGTGACTGATGGGTAATAACCCATGGATACCACCCGGTTGGTTCGTCCGACTGGGTGGTGACGGAAGTGACAGAGCGCATCCTTCTCAGACCGGGTCGTGAAGCCGGTTGGGTAGTACTCTTATGCAGCCGGTCAGACGAATGACCGGTTGGATAACCAGAGACGTGCTTGACGTGCTTAGAATTACTATAAATACCCCTAAAAGCCTCATTTGTGAGGCATGCTTTTATTAATCCGCACGGTCTGTACTGATTGTAATAAGTTCCCATTTTAATTAACAACAAGCCGGGTTACAGGTGTTTCCACCTACAGCCCTTCCGATTACTTTTACTTGTAAATTGCGTGGTAATTTACACCATCAGTGACGGTCGTCGCTGGAAAACGGTTCAAGTTTAAGGTCAAAGAAGGCGACGACTGCCCCGAGTTCCAGGAGGCGCGGCGCATCACAGGAGTTTTCAAGGAGTTTATGTACCTCACCGGACAATTCGTGTACGGGGACGACGCTTTTCCATTGAGGGTGGTGAGGTGGGCGGAGCTTCGGCGCCATGTGGTTAAGGGTATGCGCGGAGGGTTATGAAGGAGTTGGACGAAATTCTTCATGGTTGGTCGGAGGAGCACGTCGCCAGCTGTGGACGGCGGCGGTCGGAGGTGAATGAGGCCGTCGGAAAGAACGACAGCCGGGATTTCATGGACGTCATGCTTTCTATCATAGATGATGACTTTCCTCGGGGTCTGGCTTATCCTCGTGAAACCATTATAAAGGCAACTGCATTGGTGTGTATATCATCTACATCCATCTCTTTTATACTATCTTCCTTTTTGAATTATGATAAAAAAAATCTCTCCACATCAATTTCATTTGCACAAAATGTATTTTAACCCTATAGTTCTCGTGACAATGGAGTTCAATGTCATTGATGTCATTGACTCCGACCGAAATAGTGACTTTTTTTCATTCATAAATTTGATAATTTTTACTCTTTATCCCGATTAATCTTCACCTAGTCCCACTCGTCTCGTGGCACATAAATTCTTCTCCTATAAACTAATTTTAATTTCGAATTAGATAATTTTATTTTTTAAATTTTCGTATTAAACTACTCCCTCCGGTAATAAAAACTTTTTTTGTCAAACAATAACACTTTTTAAACCCAAATTATACACAATTTAAATAAATAAATAAATGATATAAAATTTTGATATATCAAACATATATCTTAAGATAAATTTAATTATATTATAATTAAATATATTTTTTAAACAAGATTTTTTAAGAGTAGAAGACAATTCAATTTCTCCCTTGCTCCCGGGGCATGTGCAGAGTATGATCCTGGACGGGTCCGATACAACAGCCGTGCATCTGACGTGGCTGCTCTCCCTACTGGTCAACCATGCTGACGTAATGGATCGCCTGCGACATGAAATAGACTCAAAAGTCGGCGGCAGATGGGTGGAAGACGACGACGTCAAGGACATGCCGTACCTTCACGCGGTGGTGAAGGAGACGCTCCGGCTGTACCCGCCGCTGCCGGCCTACGCGCCGCACGCGACGACGGAGGACTGCAAGGTGGGCGGGTACGACATCCCGAGAGGGACCCACTTGTACGTGAACGCGTGGAAGGTGCACCGGGATTCGCGGATCTGGTCGGATCCCGACGAGTTCCGGCCGCAGAGATTCCTGCCGGCAGCGGACGCGGCGGGGCGGGGGAAGCATTACGAGTTCGTGCCGTTCGGCGGCGGGCGGCGGGCGTGCATCGGGAGTGCTTACGCAATGCAGGCGACGTACCTGATTATTGCCCGCTTGGTTCAGGGGTTTAATTTCGCGACCCCGTCGAATGGACGGCTGGATATGAGCGAAGGTTTGGGGATTACTCTGCCGCGAGCTGAGCCGTTGGATGTGGTCATCACCCCTCGTCTGCCCCCCCACATTCTATGGACTATAATTTATTACTCCGTAATTACGTATGTATTTAATTTTTAATAATACTTCAGTTTTTTTTGTTAATATGTTTGGTAACAAGAGTTTCTTGATTTGATTTTAGCTATTTGAAATTATTTAGTGACACTTAATTTTAATATTTTAAAATTGTTCTTCTCATTCCCTTCAACTTTCAACTTTTTTCAACCTTTTCTAGTTTCTTCTAATTACTTTTAGTTTTTCCAATAACGACTTAAAAAAATATTTTTGTATGTGATTCTTACATATGGATCTGTGTGATCATTTAATTGAATGACGTTTTAATACTTAAAATCTTCTAATATTTTTCAACTTCTTTAAACTTTGTCCAATTCATTTCAGTTTCTTCTAGTTTCTTCCAACATTCGATTATGAAATTGTAAACCAAAAGAACATAGCCTAGATAGGCAAGAACATCTATGAGCATGGTTGGTACAAATTCCAGTATTTTTAAAAAATTATATAATGATTGCATTTTCAAACTTAATTGGTGATATTAGAAAATTGTCAAAAATGTTAATAGTAACTAAAAATGGTCAAGCCAAACTAGACCTATTCACTAGAAGAAGTTAATATATGTGTGTGTTTGGTTTAGTTGTAAAAAGTAAAACTGGACAAAAAACAAGAACTAAATAATACAGAGCATATGTTACAGGTGAATTCAAATATTAACTCAATTGATTTTTTTTGTACCTACACGCCTAACATTTGCATCAAATTTCATACTCTAAATTTCATTTTCATAGACTGATTGATAAAGGGTGAAACTTACACTTTGTAATTACAGAGATTCTTTGTTTAATATAATTATCTACAATGTAATTTTCAGAAATCGAATTCGGATGTTATCTCATTTTACACCCTTACTGAACCAATTATGCCTCACCCATGGCGGAAGTATTAGGAATTGAGTAATACCTAGAGTTACAAACAAAACATTTACAAAATGTACAAACTTACCAAATATGTAAAATAGTAGTTTCAAATAATGGTCTCGAATAACTAAAAAAAACTTAAATTAACAAATGTAAGTTTGTGTATTGTGTGAATGTTTCATTTGTGACTCAGAAACTTACTTTTTTAACACTTTTCTAGAAATAAGATGCACTCAAATAATAAAAAATATTTAGATTCAAAATCTACAAAAGGTAAGTTTGTGAAGTTTGTGAATCATATGTTTCTGACTCTAGCATTTTCCATTTTAAAAAGAGATGTGTAAAGTCAATGATTTATCATATCTTATAGGTGAATGCATGCCAAAGAAAATTGTTTTATTTTTGGACACAAAGACTAAATTTGAATTTGTACTTTAAATAATCCAAATGGAGTAAATAGCATATCCCTCGGTGGAAGCAAATATAGAATGAGAGTCCACCTAATAAATTCATCCCAAAACGGCTCTTCTCCTCTTCTCCGGTTACCCCTTCCGCCAAAACCCCCTTAAATCACTCCAAACGCATTCGCCATTTCTGCACAATCCACAGGTTTTCCGTTAATATTGATTCGTAGCAGAGAAGAAGAAGAAGAAGAAGATCAATCGGATGGGCCACAAGAGGGGTTCTTATTCTTCTTCTTCGGTGAACAAGCTGTTCTCATGGGTGAGGAAGCAGTCGATGAAGGTGAAGCTCTTCCTGGGCCTGATCACGGCGCTGGCGGCGCTGCTGGCTCTCAGCCGCTCCGTCAAGGACCGCAACCAGTTCTTCGTCGCCGCTGAAGCCATCCATTTCGCCGGAATTTTGGTCTTGATTTACAAACTCATCCGCAAGAAGTCCTGCTCCGGTAACTGATCTGATTTTCGATTCTCTCTTTCAATTTTCGTCCTACCATTTCAAATGTTTTTTTTTCAAATTCATCTCTATCCCATTTTGTAATGGATTATCTCCCGGACAATAACCCAAACTAGTTTACTCATTATGAATGGATTACTTTGACATATGTATTATGCCACATTCAAATATTTCTTATTTTAATTGTTTTAAGGGTTTTGACACATGAATTTTATGTAAGGTTATCCTCACACATGAATTCTTAATGGCTTATTCATTGATCTGACATCTACTGGTTGTGTTTTAGGGCTGTCACTCAGGTCTCAGGAGCTCACAGCTCTATTTTTAGCTATAAGATTGTACTGCAGCTTTATCATGGAAGCTGATATACACACCCTGCTAGATTTCGTCACGCTTTTGTCAACGCTATGGGTTATGTACATGATCAGATTCAAGCTGAAATATACCTACATGGCGGAGCTTGACAAAACGCCCTTATATTATATAGTAAGCCTTGTTGTCAACTTTGGTGCTGGCTCATTTTGTTTATGAATCATCATAAGTGAAGTGATGAGAGCTTAAAAGTAGCTTAATCTAAAGAGACACCACTTTAAACCAAACTAGGTTCACCTAGGTGACAATATAGTATTGTATATGATGTTTCATGTAAAAATTAATGTATGTTTCTTTTGACAGATTGTGCCTGCTGCAGTTCTAGCTGTTCTTGTGCATCCATACTCTCATCTCAATATAAACATCCATAGAGTGGCATGGGCATTTTGTGTGTACTTGGAATCCGTTGCAGTGCTACCTCAGCTTCGCATGATGCAAAAGGCTAAGGTCGGTCTTAACTCTTAAGGTTGCTGTGTGGTTCTGTATTTTTTAAATCAATGTTCGGTATGGTACTACTCCGTGATCTTACCGAGTATACGACCTTAGATAGGAATTGAACACTTGGAGATCCTGGATTAGAGTACCATTGGGTCTTAGTTCGCACTTTTGGCGGGTGTGTTTTAATGTCATAGTCTCCAGCTTATGCTTGTGCGCTTTGGATTTAGTTGTTTGAGTCTATATGTGTTCCTTCTCTCTTCTCTCCCCATTCGTGCTACTTTAGTGCTAATTTGGTTTCTTTGACTATACTTTTTTTAAGCCTTGGAAACAACCTCTCTACTTCTAAGTAGCTAGGCATAATGTCTGCGTACACCCACCGTCCCAAACCCTACTTTTTGTGGGATTCCACGGGGTTTGTTGTTGTTTGGTACGGTACAGGACATATGAAATTTCAGGAAAATCATTTTCCAAGTGGAAAACATCTAAATAACTAATGGTGTGTTTGTTTGTGTGCCTGTTTATCAGCTGATAGAACCATTCACAGCCCATTATGTGTTTGCGTTGGGGGTTGCACGATTCCTTGAATGTGCTCATTGGATCATTCAGGTTGAATTGGTGTTTTCTGTTCTCCAGACATGCCATAGCGCATGCCTCAAAGCTGTTTAGTTTCATCTTCCCTCCCATTGTTGTGCAGATATATGAATCGGGCGGGAAATATTTGTATCTAGTTGGAAGTGGATATCTCTGGGTACCTGCTATTTATGCAGCAGAAATGGTCCAAACCTTCATTTTAGCTGATTTTTGCTATTATTATGTCAAGAGGTGAGCTAACATCTGCACTTTGTTTTTTAGTAAGGATATATTTACACCCAAGGACAACTGTAGTAATATGACACCGGATATTTGAGGCTCATACATTGTTCTCTTAGACATCGAAGTTGTTCCTAGTTTTCTACCCCTTGCCCAAAAGAATCTTTCTTGTTATTTGCCCCCACAATCGAAGCAAAAATGGCAAATTTTGGGGGTGGAGAACGTCAAACGAGGGTTTTTTTTGGGGGGGGGGGGGGTAGAGGGGATAGAAACAACTTCGGGGTCTAATAGAATATCGTAAGATCTTGATGTCATAATATGACATCTAAATGTGGTGCGAGGAGAAGTTTGATGCTTTTTTTTTCATTTGTATGAATGAGCTCACATTTGTCATTGTTTTTTTAAATGTTTGTTATTGCAGTGTCATGAGCGGAAAACTACTCGAGACCCTCCAATCACCGGTCTAAAGTTGTATCTTGATTCTTTAAGAGTTAACAATTGTAACATTTATTGGTGTTTTAAGGTATACATACAAACATGGTTATTAAATTATACGAAAAATGTTATGTGCACTCCCATCTTAAAAGTGCAAATTGAAACAGCGAATCATAATGAGCATGTTTGGAAATAGCGTTAACGATTAGCGTTGGCGTTTTGAAAAGGCTATCTACGCGCAGCATTTAGCGTTTTCAAAGTAATCTGCACCGTTAAATTTTTTTATCCAAAATGCTAACGCTAATCTCTAACGCTATTTCCAAACAGGCCCGATATTTCTAGATTTTAGCACCTGCATTGGGTATCATATCCGACCATCTGAGGGTTTTACAGTGGTACTATTGAATTTCAAATTGAATCTTATCCCCCTAATCCTCGCACCACTATACTCTTAAAATTGTCAAAATGCCAGTGTTTCAAAAATTGCTAAAATAATATTATGGTACTGTAGTATTTCATCGATTGATTTCATAAAGCTAAGGTTAGGGGTTATGATCCACTTCGGGGCTAACAAGGCACTCTATGGTTCTGGTGTCATAATATGATACCCATAACTCTCACCCTAAATGTTGTATTGACTCTGTAGAATTCCATCGAAAAATTCTAGAAAGTTGGAGTTATGAGATAAGACCCACTTCAATGGCAATAGAGCAATGTATGACTATGGTGTCATAATATAATACATAAAATTGGTGTCAAAAGAGTTGTATTATTATTGTAGAGATATGTCATTTTGATATTGGATTTGAATGTCATAATTTGACATCGTTTCATTGAAGGTATGTGCGGGGCATTGTTGGGCTTGAAAGTGATTTCTATTCTCCTAACAATCAAACTATCCTAGAGTTGTGCAACTAGGGAATCATTTATTCTTGAGCCATTTTCTGTGATATACTGATATGTCGCATTATTTTTTAATGTTTTTGGGGATATGTCTCAGATAAATTGAATCTTTACCCCAAAACTTATACTTCGTAATGTATAACTATTGGTGCACTTCTCTATTTTTTATCTGAAACACTTTTCACAATTTATCCGATTAAAATATAAACACTTATTTTTTAGTTTTAAGATATTTTTATTTTAAATCGACATTTAGGGAGTAATTATAATACATTCAAGGTGTTTTCTTTATTCTTTGTAATTAATTATCTATATTCAGATTAGTTGGTTGTTTGGAGTATTGGTGTAAAATGAAATGATTTCTAGGAGTAGTAGTGTAATTAATTGAATTTCGGAGTATTAACGTAAATCACAAATTTTTTGGAGTATTCATATAAATTTTTCCTTTTATAAAATATAATTATTAAAAATCATATACTTTAAATTTTTGTGTTACGTTAATTTGATTAAATCCTAGTAATTTAACTGCTCTTTATACTATATTAGTTTGCTTGACTACTGATGTTGAAAACATGATCTCTGTGTGTGTATTTGAATATTTGAATATTATCCGAATTGAATCACCTCTATTTGTATTTGTATTTGTATTTGTATTTGTATTTGTTTAATATTCAAATCAAAACTAATATTTGAATTTGAACTTGTATTTGAATTATGCGAATTCGAATCATTATATTTGAATACGGATCACGAATCAAATTTAGAATATTTGATTTGTTTACATCCCTATTCTGACACTCAATTTTAATTTATTAAATGATTACTTAAAATGCATCTTGAGCAAAAAATATAGTTCGGCCTTGAAATAGTAATGAAGTTTTTGTTTGAAACGGTGGGTGTAATTAAAGGGAAAACGATTATAAATGATCAAAATATTTTAATTTTAAATGAAAAAAGGCAAATTCTATGTACGGTGGACCTAAAATTCACCATAGACCTACATATGAATAAAATAAGTATTTTCTTATTACTTAAATAAGCATCAACTTTTTTTAATTAAAAAATAAAAAAAGATTTTTTATGTGAAATGATCCGAAAAAATAATACACACTCAAGATGCATTAAAGAAGCACTCAATGAAAAAATAGATTTGTACGCAAGAATTTATGAGTAATTTAAAGGATACTTGATGATCATTGTAGACCTAATATTTTGTTCCAGGGATCCTTAACTAATGTATCTAAACCTAATATTTTTTCTAACCCTAATATTTGTTCTAGGGATCCTTAAATAATTTAAAAAAAAAATTAATCATGTCATTTGTTCTAGGGATCTTTAAATAATGTATCTAAACCTAATATTTTTTTTGTGTTATGGTTATTACTCCCTCCGTCCCAAATTATAATGCCTGTTCACTATTCACAGGGTCAAACTTCATTCACTTTCTTTTTCTATTTTCGTTAGCATTTTGGTAAAATAAAATATTGTTGTCACTACTAGTTTTGTAGATCTTTTGATGTAGTATTTTAATATGTAATTTTTATTTTTTAACTCTATACCATTTGTCGTATAAAATGATTTGAAAATAATTTCAGTCAAACATCGTAAACCGAAACAGGCGTTATAAAATGGGACGGAGGGAGTACTATCTATGTGATGCTGGCTACGCTAATGGAGAAGGGTTCCTTACGCCATATAGAGGACATATTTACCATATTAGAGAGTGGAACAATGCTACCCATAATCCACAAAGCGCGGAAGATTACTTCAACTTAAAGCATGCATCGGCCAGAAATGTGATAGAACGATGTTTTGGGTTACTGAAAGGGCGTTGGGGTATTCTTAGAAGCCCTAATTGGTTTAACCTACAAACACATAGTCGCATTGTTTTGGCTTGTGCTTTATTACATAACTTGATTACAAGATACATGTCATCTCGACCTGGTGATGATGAAGAGATATTTGAACACATGATGATGGAGAATGTGAGGATGAAGTCGAGTACATAACCTCAATTGATACATCAGATCCATGGAATAATTTCCGAAATGCAATGGCTCAGAACATGTTCAACACTTGGAAAACTAGATCTCGTAGACTCTAAAAATTTGTGATTTTTTATTGTGTTTTTGAAGTTTTAGACGGGTAATGTTTTTTGAAATGAACGTATCATCTTGAAAGTATGTTGTGATGTGTGAATTTTGTTTAATTGTGTCTTTGATAAAATAAATAAGTATTATTTTAAACAAATTGATCATAGCTGTGTAAAAAAATTTGATTCCCCTGTTTTGAACCAAACACGAACAAAGGGAATTTTATTCCCTTTCCTGCACTGAACCAAACAGATAGAGTAATTCAGGGGTAATCATTCCCTTTCTTCCTGATTCCCTTTCCTGTTTCCTTTCCCTTTCCTCAGGATGAACCAAACGCCCACTAAGTATAAGTGAGTGATTACCAAAACTATAATTTGTGAAAAAACAAATGAAGTGATCATAGAAAAATTTCTACTTTCACATCTTGTGAATAAATTATAACTCATCCAACTATATGAACAATAAACTTTAGTTTTTTCATGAAAAAAAAGTACGTTTTAAATCATGCTATAAACATGCAAGATTAATTTGAAATTACATTTTGAGTCACCCAAAAGTGCCTCTACTATAAGTAAATTTAAAGAAATAAATTTTGTTATTCCCTTCATCCCAACATATTTACGACATTTTTTTCCAAAAGTCATGGGAGCTTTTTGTTCATTTGTATATTTTCATTAATTATTTGATAAAATAAAATATTCTTGACATCTCTTATTTTGAAAAAGTTTTCATGTATTTATTAAATAAAATGAATTGAAAAAAATTAATATTTTACTTAGTTTTTTGAAATGTGATAAAATTTAGAGACAGAGGAAGTGTGAGTTATGATATTATGATTTTTTTTGTGGTTGTAATTTGTAAAGAAGAGGATTTGGGAGTAATTCTTGAGTGGACCTTGTCCAAATTAACCATCACCCAAACGGGGCCTTGTCTAATGAAAGTTGGGTGCTTTGAGAAGTAGAAAGGTGAAGTGGGGCCGTTGAGATACAAAAACGATTTTTCCCCTGACCAAGACTTTCTCCTCCCAATATTTCTGCATCTAAAACCCTAGTTACCCGCACCGTCTCCGGCTCCGGCTTCCGCCGATTCGAGCTCCGAGCAGCCGACTAAAGACTCCGGTGACCGAAATCTGACATACCTATCTCTCTCTTCGGTCAGATTCGTGTCCAGGTATGCATATAGATGTCCCCAATGCGGGCATGTTCGCCTGTACTCGCGTGTGTCTATTTCAGTATTTTGTTGTTGATATATGCTGCTAATCGAACGCCGTTTCTTCGAGATCCAAGGATACTATTTCAATCACATCTTTGTTTTTGTCTGACTAGGGTTTTTGAGGCGATCTGAGTTTAGATTGGAAGGCGATGGCAGCTGAGACGGCGGCGGAGGCGGTGCCGATGGAGCAACCACTTGTTTCTCCTCAAGTTGTAAGTCTTTCTTTTTAGTAATCTCCACTTAGTGAAGCGCCCACGTAACTGAGTGGGGTATAGAAAGTTCGTAACTACTTGATGATGAATGTGTTTATGCTTTTCTGAACAACAGGTGGGAAATGCATTTGTGCAGCAGTATTATCATATACTTCACCACTCTCCTGAGCTTGTATACAGGTTTTACCAGGATGGGAGCAAGCTCGGTCGACCAGAGGAAGATGGGTCCATGAGCATTACCACCACAATGCTAGTAAGTCATTAATATATCAGGTCACTGACAGTTTTTTAATCTTTGATGAAGTATTTGTGAATCTGACACCTTTGTTGTTCTGTCAAAGTTACATGTGTTACACAATCTAGTTCTGTCTCTGATTGTTCGCTGTTATCTTGCTAATGTCAATGTCTTGTTCTTTGTTGGTGCACACAAACACTTTGCAGGCAATCAATGAAAAGATACTCTCTCTTAACTATGCAGACATTACTGTAGAAATAAAGACAGTTGATGCCCAGGAGTCTTTTAAAGGAGGTGTAACTGTCCTGGTCACCGGATGTTTGACGGGGCAAGATACCCCTGTCAGGAATTTCACTCAGTCGTTCTTTTTAGCACCACAGGACAAAGGGTTCTTTGTTTTGAATGACATGTTTCGCTATGTCAAAGTTTCCAATCAGGATGACAGAAGCCATATCCCAATGGCTGATACCATGGACACTGTTCCTATAGAGCAAAGTAATACTCCGTAATTGTAGACACAGTTAATTAGATATGGATATCGTTTATGCCCAGCTCATATCATGATTGTAGCCATTGATCTCCACGTGTTACTCACAGATCAATTTCCAGCTCAAGAGACTCTCATTTCAGACGAAAGCACTCCATCAGCTGAAGGAGATGAAGTGAATGGGGGAGAAGTGTTTAATCCGCACGAGGATCAGAATGTCCCAATTGTTGAAGAAGAAGAACCTGTGGCTGAGGTTGTTAATGAACCACAAGATGTTTCTGCACCAGAGGTGGTCGAGCCCATGCCTGTCCCAATAAACGAAGCAGTTCCTAAGAAATCTTATGCTAAGATTGTAAGTGATGACTATCTACCTTCAAATGGCTATTTTCATTTGTCACAATGTTTTTTCTATGGATATCTTGAGGGTCATTTGACTCATTTAGGTAATTATCGTTTATAAAGGTTCTATGTTAAGCTTAGTTGCACTTAAAGGAAATGCTGGGTGGTTTTTGAGAGAAGGGACTGGGTTGGGCGGTGGTGGTCGATTTTGTTTATGTTGGTTTCTGGGAACTATAGTGGAGCTATAGTGTTACTAGGGAGATTCCTCACAGATATGTGTTGAATCTAACCTCCCAACTAATAATTTGATGTTGTATAAGGTTATTGAGCTCAAGGAAAGTGCTGCTACTTTCTCTCCACCCCCTGCGCCTGTCAATCGTAACCCTGCAGTGAAGCATACCGAGAGAATGCATCAGCAGCCAGCACCCGCAGTTGTTCTCGACAGTTCAGCATCTGTTGATAACCTGAATAACCAAGAGGGAGAAGGCATGTTCGAGTGATCTTCACTCACCCCCATTTATTTTTCTAAATAAATAGTCCCCTAACTCTCTTATGTTTCCCTGAATGGTGTTCATATTATTTTTATTTAACACATGTATTACCCTTGAACAGCGGAAGGCTATTCCATCTACATAAGAGGCCTGCCCATGCATGCAAATAAGGCAATGGTAGAAGAAGTATTTAAAAACTTTGGACCTATCAAAGATGAAGGCATTCAAGTCAGAAGTCACAGAGTGCGTTAATGTTTGCTTGTGTCTTTTATGTGTTCTTAGCAATTTCTAAAGTTCTGTATTTAATATCTTGTGATTATTTTTAGCAACAGGGATTTTGTTTTGGGTTTGTGGAATTCGAAGAGCCAAATGCTGTGCAAAAAGCAATTGAGGTACCCTTCTTGCATTTCTCATACCATTTAACATATCAATCAATGTTTGCAATTTCAATACAAGTGTACTCGGTTGATGTAAAATATGATTAGATTTTTTATTACAATTATGGGGCAATTACACAAAACCACTGCAAGTACTGGAATATTATAATCTAAGTTTGTATGACGTTTGGTTCAACATACAATGCGTCATCTGTTTGCTTCTATCACTTTATTGAATAAAAAACTCTAAAATGATCCTTTTACTTGTGCTTGTTGGGAACTAACCTTGCTACCTTTTAAAGAAAGTGAGAAGGTTTGTTTAGCAAATCCTTATATACTAGCTCCTTCCTAAGGAACACTTAGGGTTGTGAGGTAGGCCTCGAGGAGTGGTCTACCCTCATGTTGGACTACTTGCTTTAGTTTGTTGTATTTAGGTGCATGTTTGCTTCTTTTGTGTTGCTCTCTCTTGTTTCCCTTCTCTCTCTCTCTCTCTCACACACACACACGCATTTTGGGTTTTTTTGTGTTTTTAGCTGAGAGTCCCTTGAAAACAACTTTTTTACTCTCCAGGTAGGGGTAAAACATGTACACTAACCCTCCCTAGACCCCATTTGGTTCTATTTTACTTGTCTTGTTATAAGGTCTTCGTACACAAATCCTTGTGATCATGCAAGTGAGATAAAAGTTTCTGACAGGATGTGCAGAAGGTAGAGGGGACATGTATGCTGTTCAATCTGAGATTTTTTTAAATCTCAGATCATGTTTTGTTGCATATTCACCCTATGGGAGTGCATTGTTTACAACTTTGAGTTTAGGGAGTTCTAATCCCATTCATGTTCCGCAATGCTTTCAAGCACTACTATCTTACTCGGTATAAGGATAGACTGTTGGCGCCCAAGACCCCATTTCCTACTTGCCTGTTGCAGCAGTCCAACAGAAGCAGAGCTGTATCACTGTTGAGCTTAGACCTTCATTTTAGTGCTGAATACAACCCAAAGCCAATACATAAACAAACATCCCACAAGTTTGCTGAAAAATGATGCATATTTGATCATGTTTCTTTTACTTATCACTATATCCCATTCATCTCATCTTAAATCTTTTCATTACGCCTTTGTCACTTGTTTTAAAATAAGTTGTCTATATAAATACAGGCATCGCCTGTAGCGATTGGTGGACGCCAAGCAGTTGTTGAGGAGAAGAGGTCTACTAGTTCACGAGGCAAGTTAATTATTCAACACTTAACTAATATTAAGGAGCTAATGATATGCCCTACTGCTCATTCTATGCATATAATATATGTACATCATTATCTTAATGGTATGTTTAGGAACATGAATCTTGAATTCAAATTCGGATTTGGCTCAAATTCCATGTTTGGGAAACTTAAACATTTTGAATTTGGATTCGAGTCAAATTCTTTTCGTTCATAACAAAGCTTAATTTGAAATTCATGCACCTCCCCTTGTCATTTGAAAGTCAGGAGTTCAAATTTTGGAATTGAAATGCATGAATTGAAATGAAATGCTAGTTGCCAAACACTACCTAAAAGAAATCAACCAATGCTTACAACACCTCATTCATATTCCCAAACTGTCACCTGCACCTAAGTGTGGAGTATTTATATTTCGAAAGTATTTTTTTTTTCAACTTCCGAGTGATCCCATGGTTTATTTGTCTTACTGTTTCTTTCTTTTTTAAAAATGTTTGTGCCCTGTAATAGGTAACAACCGAAGATTCTTGCCGGGAAGGGGGTCAATGTACCGAAGTGAAGGAGTAAGAGGGCGAGGCTATGGAGGTGGGGGTGGGGGAAGGGGAGGACACAACAGGGGAGAGTTCAACAGTGGGAGGAATGAATTCAACAACCACCGGAGTGGCGGCGGCGGCGGCGGTACTCGTGGAGGATCGTCAAACCGTGGAAACGATGGATATTATTGGTCAGATCATGGCGGGAACAACTACGGCGGGGGGCGTGTGAATCGTGACGGCGGGGAAGGAATGCCTTACGGAAATGCAAAGAACATGGCCCCACGAGTGCCTGCTACTGCTTGAAGACAATAACTTGGTGCCTGGGTAGAGGCTTTTGTTTTAGTAGGCTTTTGTTTTTTTTTAACTTTAAATTTTAATTGCAACATTAAAGAGTTCTCTTTCAGGACCCATTGGAATTTTTCTGAGTTTTTTTTTTAATTTCCTCCAATATTGTGGGTATATGAAATGGCAAGTGAGATGAATTTATTGTTATTTTTGTGCGAGTAGGAGAGGAGTGGTATGGAACACGGATGATTATGTTATTGCCACCTTTAATTATTATTACTTCTTTAAACCATTTTTGTATCTGTTTTGTACTTCGTTTCAAATTAAATTGTCTGTTTAGTATTCAACGTGTCAAATTTTATTCATTTTTTTGTGGATTTTTTATGTAATTTTTATTTTTCAATTTTGCACCATTTTTTTATAAAATGACTTGAAAATAAATTTAATCAAACATCATAAATTGAAATAGGCAATTTAGATTGGGATGAAGTACTATTTTTTTGTCACATGCAGAAATTCTATAAACCAGTTTAAATAGTCATGGGAAATACGAATACTCTATTGACTTATAATTGATCTCTCTTCTAAATTTTGTCTTAGTTTAATTTTTTCCTTTTTTACTACTCCGTATACACCAAAGATAGTATTTAATAAATATTGTAAATTTTGATTTATAAATATTACTAATGTGATCATGAGTGAAATACAACTCCTCTTAGAACATTTCTAACTATGCTAAAATAGCTTGCTATCTGTTACTCTGTATAATTTGACAAGTCAGGCAAAACTTTATGCTTCAAGGACCTTGCCAATTTTTTACAAGCTTGTTAAAAATGAAAATAACTTGCTATTAATAACAAGTTGGGTAAAATATAACAAGCAAAAGAGAAGAAAAATGTTGTTTGAGTTGACTTTTTTTGTGTGTCACAACGCATTTGTTCCCTCATGTTTAGTGCCACAATGCAAGAAAAATAAAATAGTATTTTATTTTATTTTTTTAGAAAAAAGTATTTTAATTTTTTACAAAATTAAAAATAGTATATTATTTTAAATTATTATTTTTATATTCCATACTTACAGGGTATTACTTAAATTTTATGTAAATACTATACATTGTGCTTATTGTAATGAATATGTGCCTACCAACAATGCTTTCTTCTCAAAACAAATTCTAACGACACATTTTACTTTTCAACAATTTAAACTTTGTTTTTTAAAAGTGTCAAAGAGTTAATGGGAGGGAGGGAATATATACTCATATTATCTCTTGTTCATACTCCATATTACTTTTTATATAAATTGAATTGAAAATAATATTAGTGAAATACTCCGTAACATAATCTGTAATAGGAAAGTCGTTTTGAAAAGAAGAGAGTAGAGTTTTAAAGAAGTGTTAAACAGTGAAGAACATATCGTTGAAATTAGTTTAAATTGAATAGAGAAAAAACAAAAAAAAAGCATTTTTTTGTGAGCAGATTATGAGTGTTACTAAATCTCCCCTCAATTGTCTATATCCATACATATTTTCCCAATTATGATAAATCTATTCCAATATGAAATTTATATTAATGGGTGTATTTTATCACAAATCTTCAATCTTCTCATATTCATTACTCTTCTTTTACATATATTTTTTTCCTGGTTTAAATCTCTTCTTCTTTCGCTCTCTTGCTCGATCTTTCTTTTCCATCCTTCTGTTCTTAGATCATTTTTTTCTCTGATCGACTAGAGGAGTTTATATTTCTTTATAAGAAATTAGACTAAATAATAAAATAACAAAAAATTACTCTTCAGGTGCTTTCAGTTTTCTAGTAAGAACTTCTAAGTCCCAAATTATCACAAATATACTTCGGGCTATCCTTGGTTTTCTGCTACGAACTCTCAGGTCTCACATTATTTGAAACATAATCCGGGGCCTTAAAAATTTGTAATATTATACTTTGATGTACATTCTATCCATTTAGGCGTTTAATTGGAAATTCATTTACTTTGACAAATTGAAAGATTTTATTAAAATTTGATAAAATTATGATTGTAAAAATAAAATTAGTTTTTGTCAAAGGAACAAGAGTTTCAATCCCAACCGCCAAACAAACCTTGTGAATTCTTGCCAAAAAATCAAGAGTGCGTCGAAACATTTTTTTAATTAATGTGAAACCAAAGAGTTCTTAACTCAAAAATAAGGGTACTAAAAGTAATTTTTTTTGATAAAATGATTTCAAAATTATTTTGAATTGACCTACGTTTGGTACTGTTGAAATTAGAACAAACAAAAAATAGACATTTCTTATGAGCATAATGAACATTGTGTATGTAGCATGCGTCTCTCTTACACATACACATGTTTTATTAGAAAATACTTCTCTGTCCCAATTTAAGTTGCTACAGATTCAAACTTTAACCATGTTATTGACTCATTTTTGCGACTCATCTAAAAAATAATATATTCTTGTAATCTACTATTTTGTAGAACTTTTGATGAAATTTTTAAATTTTTAAATTTATTTTTTAATTACATACCAATTTTCAAATAAATTGAATTAAAAATAACTTTAGTCAAACATTATAAATAAAAACTGACAACGCTTTTTGGGAGGGAGGGAGTAATTAGTGTATAAAATGAATATTGAGTTACTCGTAAATATGCACATGTCAAATTCACATTTTTTGTATAAACACAATGCTCAATATACAATTATCAAATATGCATACATACATTTATAGTGTGAATGCTTTGGTTATATGCTAAACAATGAGTGTACAAAACGAGTATTATGTTACTCGTAAATGTATATTTTAAAAAAATATGATGGATATTTGTAGTTCACAAATTTGCACACATACATTCTAAAATATTCTATGTATATGTTTTGAATAAAATACTACTCCGTAAAAAATAAATATAAAACATGTTCAAATGTCATATCATGCTCTAAAAATAACACTAAAATGATTGTGTGTGAGAATATAATGTATTTAATGAATGTGAGAAATAAACGAGGCACTTGATTACATTTTATACACAAGTTTTGCACAGATACACAAAGAGTTATTGTCTATGCAGAACAAACAATTTTGGGATCATGGTAACCCCAAAATGTTGGTTTGCCCTAGCACAACTCTAAATTTAGAAATGGCAATCCCACTCAAACCCGTCTTAAACCAACATGACCTTAAAAACATCTAAATCAAGGAAAGTACCCACCTAAGTAAAATCTAAACCTTGAAGATGGTGCTCATTCTTTTCTTTTTTGCTAAAACCAAAACTAAAATTGAACATTAGCCATCCCTATATAGGATGACTCTTGATGATAGCAATGACGACATGGTACATAAGTACGGGAGTACATAGGTGACTTTTGTGGAGGGGTTTCATACTTGTAGTTGTGAAGTTACAACATACGAAGTACAAGAGAAAAAGGGTGATTTTGCCACGACACGCATGGGCCTTCCATTCAAAAATATATGCCTACATATATTTTTAAATGATAGGGCCATGCGAATCATGACCAATCACATTGCCCTTTCTCTATGTTATGCAAGTTCAAGAGGAAAGCCACTGCTGAACCCAATGGTCTAAAATCCTAGGACCATATGAACCACCTAATGACTAGGCCTCTCTTAGCCGCCTAAAAGGACCTAAAATTTTATGGCAACTTTACTTGATTAAATCAAGCTTCACTTGATTGTGAAGAATGATTATTCAAGCTTTAACAGCAGAATTATGATTATATACACAAAACAGAAGCATTAAGGATTTGTAGATCAAGTCTTTGCTGAAAAAAACATTGTTTATTATGCACTACACCATGAGAATGGGAAGGAGTACTATATAAGCTGTGCCTGCTAGTATACGAATTGCAAAATATCTTATCGAGAAGTTTAGCCATAAATATAGATAACAATTATGGACAATTGGAGATTATGGAATTTATACTATTTCAGAAAGTAAATATACTAAAACTAAGGTTTATGCTAAGAGGTTCTATGATATGAAATGAATACTAACTTTATGTGTAAGAGGACGTGGAGAGAATAGTTGGATGAGTCTTCTCCGCAGAGCTTCAACAATCACCACGACTTACAGGCCAAAGTTACAGGCCTGGATGTACTCATTCTCAAAATCAACATATTTTGTCCAGAGAGGCCGAAACTGGGGGATGGCAATGTCGAGCCATGGCTTCATGTTCCCATTGAAGTGGACAACTGCAGCATTGGTAATTTCGTCCATGCTTATGCTTGGATTGTATCCAAGCCCTAGGACATGCCAAAATTTATCTAGAGGCTTTGTTGTTGCGTAATATGTGATCAACCCGGGAGGCAGCGTTCCCAATTTCCACAAAGTTCGGTTTTCATTCTGCGCAAAAAAATATATGAATGAATTGAAAATCAGAAACTAAGCATAGTAAACAACTCAAAATAAGAAAAGCAGGTGTATTCACATACTGCAATCAATCATAAAAAGATGTGCAAATAGTAGACGCTGCAAAATAATGATTAATAAAACCAACAGTGCCTGGACCATAATATTAGTAGCCATTAGAATACATCATGAGAACATGTCGTACCAGACTCTGCCAGTAATGGTATTGTTCTGTGCATTTCTCATTGCGCCAAGCATCCAAGTCAAAGAAGTTCATCCCATATGCCCATGCACACGCTTTGGGGTTAAACTTCTCTTTGATCAAAGGATGAGAGAAATTCATGTATTGTGCATACCGATGGAATGAGCCAAAACAAGTCTCCACGGCTCCATTCACCTTACCGTCCATATCTATCTTCCAAAGGCCAGTCAAATCCCTTTGAACAACAATATCATCATCCAAGAACAATATCCTATGCAGTTTTGGGTACATTTCAGGCAAGTAGAATCGAAGATGATTCAGTATTGATAGATACTTTGGATTCCTGAATTTCATATTTGTGGTGTCCTTTGTTGCATTTTCAAGCTTATTTTCAAAGTAAAATTTCTGGAGATTAGCTGACTCAAGCTGTCGAAGTACTGGGACATAAGAAGAGTTCAAGAACTTATAATCTTCAACTGCCTTAACTTCAATATGTGCCCCATTATATTCCCTCCTCTTGAACATTACTTGCATTGCCCCAAGATTCATCTTATCGGTAACTACATGAAACACATGCTTCTGGGGGTCTTTTGAATTCTTCACGGCTGAATTCACAACAACTGAGGCTGCAACCACATTGTCAGAAAAAATTGCATAATGGTAAAGTTTGGGATCCTCAAATTCAGGTGGGATAGGCTTTCCTTCATCTGTGTACTTGTCTGGGTGCGCAATGCGCTCCTCCATTAGTCTCATAGTGACACAATGCAAGCTTTTGGGAATTGATTTTGCAGCAATCAAGCTTGAGAAAGCACCTTGCTTCTTGGCCTTCGTTAATTGATCATTCACAGCAAATATGGTATCTTTGAGCTTCTGAATCTTTAACTGGTTGTCAAAAGACTCCTTTGCATCGGCGACAACTTGGCGCGTGACTTTGATTCTTTCTTTCACTTCCTTTTCGAACTGCCGAAGCACCGATTCATCCAGTGAGATGGCATCTGACTTGAACAGTGTTTGATATGAAGGCTTTGCGATCAGATCAGTATAGTTTTGAAACAGCTCAGCAAAGACCCGGACAAGTTTTGAGTTCTCAAGCTTGAGCTTTCGAGCATAGGAAGCATAAGCCAGAGCCAGAGTACGGTGATCATCAGCTTGCTTCCTGATCAGATCAAGTCGTGGCTTTAATGGATCCGATTTCAAAGCCAGCACCGATCTTCGAACAGGCCCAACTCCAAAAGGGTCGTGCGGGATGCCCTAAAATCCTCAAACACTAAGTTACAACCATTGGAAGAGTAAATACTAGTACAAAAACAAACAGAAAACGATAAACTGAAACTAGATCGGATCCATTACGAGTGAAATTAAGACACAATTGAAGATCTTAAATACACACTAAATACATCACAACCAGAAATAAGGCTCCAAATACACCATTGGTACAAACTCTACCAGTCCGAGAGCACATTTACTTAAAATAACCAAACATTAATGAAGAAATCTCAAAATTCAAATACAAACGCTTAAAACTGCCAGTAAAATTCAGAACGGGGAAAAAAACTATTGTAAATCGTAGAGCAACCATATACCGGAGTATAAAGAAGAGGGATGCATACCACGTCTGGATCCGAGGGATCAGAGGAATGAGTGTAGCGCAAAGATAGAGACACAAAGAGGAAAACGGCCATGGCTAGAACGCAGGCGAATAACTTGACGGTGAACACGCCAGCGGCGGATCTACCGGCGGGCCGATCCGCAAACGATACAGACCGGGAGGTGCGAGGCATCGGCGTTATCGCCATTATTGCTTCTCCTTCGCCGGCGGAGAGGGAGAGATCAGAGTCTACTCGGTCGGAGTGGTAGTTTTTTCTTCTTCTTCTTCTTTTCTTCTTCTTCTTCGGAACTGGCAGTGAGATGTGTAGTTGTAAACGCGGATGGATGACGACGGTGCGCGTTGAAATAGGAATCTCGTTAGTGGGTCCCACTTCAATTATGGAACGGCTGATATTAGATCACCGCTTTAATTCCGATTGATTAATTATTGAATTATTGTATGTGTACCCCAAGGTTTGTACTCTAATTTGTACCCCGCAATTTTGCACTAACATTTTGTGTTGGTGTAAAACTAATTTTTGTTAAACGCACCAATATTTGTGTCTGTGTGAATTTTTATTAACGCACCAACACTTGTGTCGGTGTAAACCATCGAAATATTTGTGTAAACATGTGGTGTACAAATGGGGTATATTTTTTGGTGTAAGTGTAGCATGGTCCTTAATTATTTTAACAAGTTAATCATTTTGCCTAAAAAAAGTTACTCTCTCCGTCCGGAATGTTCTTCCCATTTGACTTTTCACATGCTCAAATATTGTACTTTGATCATTAATACCTATATTTATACATAGATATATTTTATAAAAATTTGATATTTGAAAACTACATTTCATTATGAATATATTGATATTAAATTTATATCATAATACAATGTGTTTTTTCCACAAATCGTAGTCAAAGTTTATAAAGTTTGACCAAGAAAAGTCAAATGTGAAGAATATTTCCGGACGGATGGAGTAAATAATTTGCATTAGTATTAGGTTAACACTCCATTCATCACAGATTAGATTACAATTTCTCAGAGTTAAATAGAGAAGTGATGTAATAAGGAAGACAATAAATAATAATATTCTATATCCTATTACATATATTATAATGAATTTTTTTCGAGAGAAAGAGTGGTGAGGATGATGGACGGCGGCTGTTGTTAGGCACGCTCGTCAAGATTGGTCGGTGACGCCATGCTGTTGAACGATTGATCGCCGTGAACAGTGATCGGCGATGTGCTCGGTCGGAAAAGGAATGCTATATTTTTGAGAACTTTAGCTCCCATTTCATGATACAATTTGATAATAATTGATTTTATTGAATAATGTTACATTAGAGAATTCTAATCATAGTAGGAGAACAACTATGCTAATAATATACTCCCTCCGTCCCAAATTATCATGCCTGTTTACTATTCACAGGGTCAAACTTCATTCACTTTCTTTCTCTATTTTCATTAGCAAATTGATAAAATAAAATATTGTTATCACCACTAGTTTTGTAGATCTTTTGATGTAGTATTTTGATATGTAATTTTTATTTTTTAATTCTATACCATTTGTCATATAAAATGATTTGAAAATAACTTCAGTCAAACATCGTAAACCGAAACAGGCGTTATAAAATGGGACGGAGGTAGTAATAAAGAAGTAATGTAATAAGGAAGACAATAAATAATATGGGTCGGTTCGGGTGACAAGAACCCCTTAAGTCATCCTATGACATGAGCCTCTGGTTCAAAACAATTGATGGTTCCTACCCCCTAACCATCCCGTAAACCCCCACCCAGTCCCGGTCCGAATATATCCCTGCACCCATGTCAATTGCATTCCACAAGATTTAGTTGACTTTGGAGTCAAAATTTGACTCTAAAGTCAACTAAATCTTGTGACATGTAATTGATGGGGGTGCGGGGGTATGTTCGGGCCGTGCCGTGAGTGGAGGGTTTACTGAGAGGTTAGGGGAGTAGGAACCATCATTAAAATAGGAGTTAAAATACATTTATAATACTCCCTCCGTCCTATAATAATCTTCCTAGAGCACTATTTCAACTTCACGGGAATTTATATTTATTTGTGTTTTTTCATGGCCTATATGATAAAATAAAATATTCTTGTCACCACTTGTTTTGTTGAACTTTTTGTGTAGTTTTTAAATATGTATGTTTCATTTTTTATTTCTATATCAATATTTAAATAAAATAGATTGAAAAAACTTGGGATTTTTCTTTGTTTTGCGAACCGGGAAGATCATTATAGGATGGAGGGAGTATTAATTATGATCAATTACATAACAATGTCATATTACTACAATGCGAATTCTTATTTTGAGAATAAAAATATGAAATTCTCATCTTGTGAAATGACATTTCTTAATGCCAACATAAAAAACAGCGAAAATTTAAAGAACATGTGGGCTGCTAACAGATTATTTTTGCTGTAATGTTGGTCAATATCCGGCCCAATTGTTGTGGGCTGGAAAAAAGCCCATGTTTAATGATCCCCCCATCTCCCTCTTCCCTCCGCGGGGAAGCTCATTGAGCGCGGAGGAGGCCGACGATGGCCGCCGGAGACGAAACTCCGAAAGATTTAACATCAACTCCTTCGATTTCTCCTTCTTCGTCTGAGATTTGGAAGGATAAGATTATCGTCCCTACTATACTCGCAGGCAGACTTTTAGTCTTCTCTAATATATTTTTTTTAAATAATACGGAGTACGAAATTTATCCAATTTTTCTGCTACTGAGTTTGATTTTTGTTTTGTTTCGATCTATTTTCGTTCCAATTTAGGTATTGCTGGTGGAGGAGCTGGACTGGTATCGAAGCATAGGAAAGTTCATGGTCTTGCTAATATTTGCACTGCTTATGCTACCAATTTCGCAATCGTAACAGGCTGTTACTGCGGTAAACTGCTTGTTTTTCTAAAGAGAACTTTGAATTTCCGCATTTGAATTGTTTAATCTTTTTTTTTTTGCTCAATTTTTTGGTCTGAATAAATGATTTCTAGATCATGATTTAAAGTAACTGAAGTTCTGCACTGAAATGTTCATATACTTACCTTTTTATATAGACATGATTTATTGGATCGCGAGTTCAATTTCCTGCATTAAAAATCCTATAATGGAGCTGTAATAGAAAATTTAGCTCCATTGAAATGGTCATAAAATTGCTTTTTTGTTAGACAATTGAAGTTACGAATCGAAATGTTCACAGAGTTGCTTATAAGTGTTTTGGAATAGGCAATGGATTTTCAGATCACAAGTTAAATTTAATTGAAGTGCTTCGTTGAAATAATTCTTGTGCTTGTGAGCTCTTTGTGCCTTGGGTCTGAGTTCCTAGTGTATGTATGGTTGCTCCCTTTGTATGTGCTCTTACCTTGTTCGGGTTACCGTGTTAACTTTATTTGCATGTTTGCCTGTGTTTTTGTGTTTGAGTCGGGTCTCTTGAAGACAAGCTCTCTACCATCAAGTAGGGGTGAGGTTTGTGTACATGCACCCCCCTCAGACCATAGTTTGTAAGGCGGCAAGGCAAGGCGAGGCGCGAATGTACCTTCATATCGCCTAGGCGACTAGGACCACTAGGCGCACACCTAGGCGACATACATACCTACATATATATATATATATATATATATATATATATGTATAGGTCTTATACATTTTAAGGAAGCTTGATCGAGACAGAGAAGACCGAGAGAGAGTGAGAGAGAAGATAAGTTTAAGTAATGGGCTGCTCTAAAAAATGGGTTTTTTCAAAAATTTAACGGGGCCCAAGGCATCAAGGCGAGGTAAAGCGAATTAAGGCGAGGTAAGGCGATGCCTAGGCGAGCGCTTGGTCGCCTTAAGGTTTTCTAGGCGAGGCAAGCAGACAAGGCGTCCCAGTGACAGCGCCTTATCGCCTAGGCCACGCCTTACAAACTATGCCTCAGACAATCAGACCATACTTTTTGTGGGACTTCTGTGGGGTTGTTGTTGTTGCATTGAAATGTTTGCTTGCATTTTTTTGTTATAGACAACCGGTTTTTAGATCCTAAATTAGGAAGAACGACCCTAAAAATGGAGGTGTAATGGATGATAATGTAGCTTGGTGCATTTTACTTTTTAAAGAAATTCAGTATATGATCTGTCACTTCCATGAAATGCTCAGTATAAGAAATATGAATGAATGGATGTGGTGACAATGATGTTCTCCAGGTGCTCGTGAGTTTGTAAGAGCAAGCAGAACTGGGAAACCCGATGACCTGTTGAATTCTGCACTTGGAGGCATTGGCAGTGGTGCTATTTTGGGAAGGCTTCAAGGTAAAACTGATGATACTTTATACTACACGCTATATAAAATAAAAGGCAAGGTTCTTTTGACACCCACCTTGAGCAGTTGAGTGTCATAACATGACTCCTTANACCCCCCTGCCTTCCCCTCCCCCCCCCCTGGATTTGCCAAAATGCTATAGTATCCCCATATAGCCATGTCACAGTAGCTGATGTGAGTTAATTCTGTCCCAACTTAGCAACAATCTACATAGAAAAATAAGGTCTGTGCATCATCAGGAAGTCAAAGCACTATTGTTTTCGGGTTGTTCAATTCGTTTACCAGTCAGAGTCAAATAGTTTAGAGACTGTTTTGCTTATTCTGAAAGAGGAGAAGTGTTTGGAAACATCCAGATCAGCTAAACTAATGCGTCAAAAAATATATTAACAAGCACAATAAACAAAACAAGACAACCAAATAGAGCCTTAGGATGATGCATTGTTGTCGAACTGATGATTCATTGAATGTTACTATGGCAGGTGGTCAGCATGGTGCCATTCGCTATTCTGTCATATTTGCCGTCGTGGGAACGTCTGTCGATTTTGCCACCCTCAAGTTAAAACCCATGTTGAGGAGATTCTATGACTCGGCAGTTGCCGGCAAAGACAGCTGGTTGAGGCTGCCGGAATGGTCACCCATTCAAGTCCTTGACGAGGATGCCCTTGCTGCAAAACGCAAACGCGAAGAAGAAATCTACAGGAGAGTTCATGATTTGGACAAAAAACAACAATCTTGAGACCCAACTTTTTTTTGTTGGCATGTATACTGGTCGCTCCTTGTCCAATCGTGAAGTGCATTTGTAAACAAGCATTGAACGAATATTGGCGCTTCTGTTTGCTTCAATTTGCTCTTTTAAAGATCAATTGGGTCTCACATTATAAAGCACTCTGTGTAACATAATGCTAAGAAAGTATGAAGTTTTGTTTCATGCCTTTGGGCTTGTAACACTTCCCTTGGGCAGGGAAATTGACAAACCAATATATGCTGGTGTTTTCTTTCCAAACAAGTTTTTATACTATATACTCTGTACTTTGCAGACAATAACTAACACCCAAAAAAAAGAAGAAGAAGAAAGGTAGTACTAAAAATCTCATTTTTCACCATCAGGTGGAGATGAACCACAGTGAAGAATACAACTAATACCTAAAAATAATTGTACAAAAGGTGTCAAGAGAGGAGTGAGACAAGGGAAACGAATTCCAAAGCCACACGTCCCTTGGATCGCGTATTGATGACAAAGTGCTCCGGGTATTTCCTCAGCAGCATCAGCAATCCATACCATGGCTTCGACTTTGCTTCAGCCGTAGCGTACTCTTCAGACGTCAGATATCTCCTCACTCGACTGTGATGCCACCTGTTCCCAAAGTGTTCCACCAACTGTTTCACCAAAAACAAAAAAACAAAAAAGAATTGTAATGAGATGGTGAACATCATGAACATAGGCGGTAGGAGAGGTCTTAATGATAAAAGTTAAGCATCTCACATTGGAAAATCACCCCTATTTAACCCAGTATATAATACCCGCTTTGTCTCAATATTTACGTCCATTTTTACCTTTTTTGTCCGTCCCGCGATTTTCATGATTCTTACTATAAACTTACTTTTTAATATCAATATTAACGAAAGAATCTTACTTTTCTTAATTTCTGTGACCCAAAAGTAGTTGGAAGGAAGGAGTAGTTGAATTTCCCCACTTTGTTGCATAGGTTTTAAGATTCAGACTAAAAACTACAACGGTGTACTAGGATTGCATACTGTATTTAAAATTTAGGCAAGAAAGATATTAAACAAACAGAAAACCTAGAACTCCATAGCCCCCCCTGTTTCACAAATGGTGTTAGTTTATACAGAGTAAAACCAAGAGTATTTACTACCAAATTTCTGTTTTGCTGTTTTTCACCTGGATTCTCAACTAAAGTAGCTTCTGATGGTTCAAATGATATCCATTAAGGGTAGTTTGGGTGTTTTTTGCGAGATTCTAGGAGATGTTTACGTTAAACAAAACAAATGACAAGGGATGCGGAGAATAGAAAAACTATGAATCTGGGACCAATGAGCACAATATAGCGGATCGGTAGTATGGCATTGTAAAGGATGAAGGCAAAAGGATGCCTGTTAAAAAATCTGTCAAAACCATACTATAGTGGTTCATGGAGGAAGCCACTTTTGGAAATTTCTCACAGACAATTACTGGTCAGCGGAAAAACAAACGAATTGGAAAATGGTAAAATATGAGTGATGACCAAATGTCAAGTGCTCAGGTTATAAGAAGGCAATGTGTAACTAAATAGGGATGTGTCACATTGCCCTTTAGTAAGTTTAAAGTACTCCTGTCCGGACTTAGTTGTCCACTTGTCCGAACCACTCTATTCAAGAAATAGGGTGAATTCTCCCCCACTGTCGGCAAAAACCTTAATGCTCCACTATTCACGGGTCAAACTTTATCTTCTTTCTTTGCCTATTTTTGTTACATATTTGGCAAAATAATAATAGTCATGTTATCTCTTGTTTTATAAACTTTTTAATGTAGTTATTAAATATATATGGAGTATATTTTATTTTAAAACTTTATCCTAATATCTTTATAAAACAAATTCAAAATAATTTTAATCAAACTTTGCAGGAAAGTGGTGCCAATGTGCCATTTTAGGACAGAGGGGGTATCCTCTTTGAGGGTATTTTGGTTAATTTCCCGTCATTCCTTAACCAAACAAGATAAGTTGACAATTAATTCCGAACATCCCAAAAGGAAAAATGGATGACTAAATTCAGAGGGAGGGAACAGAACACTGCACAGCCTGCACCGTTAAGTAAGAAATCAAACCTCAGCATGAAGCTTCTCCATTGCCATCCATTCCCCTGGACCACAGAGATCCGAAAGCACATTAGCGACGGAAGACACGACATCCTTTTCTTCTAGTTGCAACAGTTGTTGATTGTCAACATCTGTTCTGTCAATACGCAATCTTCCATCTACCCTCTTTTCTGTGCACAAAGTGGAGGACCCAAAAATATGTTAACAGCAACAACAACCATGTCTTTATACAAAATCACTGGTCAACTAACAAAAATTTTTAAGAGCTTGAGAATATTTCAACAAAGCAGAATGCTATCTGTCACATTTCTCACAGAGCCATCTCCATAGCAGTTCAAGTTACAATCTAATGCACCATAAATGAAAGCTCATATTTCAAAAAGAAAAACCTAGGGGGCACATTGAAAAGTCCCAAATCTCCCAATTAAGCAAATATAGAAAATGATGATAACAAATACGGAGTAATTAAAAAGGTTCAGATAGCTACAAGTAACTGTTGGCTACTTGGGTCAGTAAAAAAAATGTACTCCGTACTTTATCCCTGCCAAAGTCATTGTTTGTTAAGAGAACTTTCCCCCCTTAAAAACAACTCTCAACTTTGAATATCAAGATAATATTGATGACACATATTCCACAAACGTCCTTCCTCGTATCTCAAACCACAACAATCTACATAACACATAGCATTAATACAACCACACAAGCACAACCCAGCAAGCGGTGAAGTGGAAGGATGAAGAAAAGCTGTGGCCTAGTTTGGATGAGTCTCACATTTCATTGCAAAGAGTATGTGCAGAAACAGATCCATTATACATTCACATACATACTTATAGGCTTATTTCAAGCGATCATTTTGTAGGGTGGTTAAGAGAACCACAAAAAGGAACAAGCTTTGCAAGCAAAAAAAAGGAGGATCATATGGCCATATTAACCACCTTTTACATGCCACAATTTAATAATGACAATTACAGGGTATGACAGTCTCACCTATTAGAACCTTCCCTCCGGAGCCGCTAGAACCATACCCATAACCACTTCCATCAAAGCCATCAACCCTCCTCTGTTTCTTAGCTTCAAAACCCTCGTCACCCACCTCGTCCTCATAGTCATCGTCATAATATTCTTTCCCCCTCTGAAATCCCTTTCTTCCGACCCCACCGCCATAGGCATTCACCAGAGGGGGAGGCAAGTGCTGCTGGGGCTGGGGATGGTAAGGCGGCTGCATCCCTGAAGCCACAGCAGGGGCCACCGGATAATTAGGATTTATTGGATGTCTCGGCCCAGTTGGGCCGCCAAGGATGTTTCGAACAGGGAGAAGGAAGTAAAACTCTTTGTCCCCAATCTGGAGGAGGTCCTGAGAATCGAGCTTGACGGGAGGGTTACCAGGGAGGTGAAGAACTCCCTCAACAAAGCATCCGTTCTTTCCCAGGACCTCGAGAGCGAATCTCCGGCGCTGGAAGTCGTAGAAGATGCGGGCGTGGTGGCGGGAGATGTTCATCCCGCCGCCGAGGGAGGAGAGGTCAACATCCACCGTCGATTTCTTGGAGTTACGGCCGAGGATTATGGAGTATGTCTGCATGTAATACTCGAAATCCTCTCCCTGAAGCTTCGCGAACCCCGCTTCCACATCGCTGCCGCCGCTGCTCCCCATCTCCAAAATTATCCGCACAAAACTTCTACAGAGAGATCAGAGGGCGGCCGCGGTGTATATATACAAGCAGTCGCATCCGGTACCTGGCGGCGATGGCAAATTTCCGATCGGGAAAATGGACAAATTCGGATCCTTCAGAGCTTGAAATCGGAGTATCCGGTGGCAGGGGAAGCTTGAACTTGAGATCTCCGACGGGTCAACCCGCATCAACAAGTTTGGTAGGAACGAAAACGGACTATCTAGTCCATTGGCAATAAGCCCATGTAGATTCTCATTTGTATCTTAGGCCCAATTAGAGCTTCTTCCTTTAAGCTTAAATTTTTAACTTTTAGGGTCCGTTTGGTATACGGAATTGATGGAATTGGAATTGAATTGGAAATGAAATTCCATGGGATTCAATTCCATAGAATTGAATTCTGCCAATTCCAATTCATTTTTGGAACTATCAATTTCAAATCCACATAATTTTTGTGCTACCAACACCAGAATTGGAATTGAAGTCCTCAATTCTAATTTCATAGTTTGAATTCCGTACACCAAACGGGGCCTGAAATTTTCTTAATTCATTTCACAAATTTGTAATATCATTTGTATGGACATTTTATCCTTTTTGCCTTTATTTCCTTTTTTTGCAGTAATTACAGTTTTTATTTTCCTTACAGAAAATACAAATTAGAAGCAGTATTTTCTATAAATTTTTTAGAAAAATACTAGGGATACACCAAGGTGTACCCCATATGTCCCTCACCCCCTCCTTGTCCACAAATATAAGCAAGAAATTCAAAAAAAGTAAATAAATAAAAATCAAATAAAAATGTATGGTGGAAAAGGGGGTGCTGTAAACCTTTGGTGTACCCCTAGCATTGCTCAATTTTTTATAGTATTTCTAAATTCATGTACTTGAGAATAAGAAATTTGAAGGGTACTCATGCAAAATCAAGTGTATTGTGATCTCAATCTAGTAGATACATATGTGAGTTCTTTCTATCATACGCGATATTTAAAAAATCCATACTCCGTATTTTAAATCATGCTCGGTAAAATTAGAATGTGATTGTCAAAACTTGAGTTTCAAGTGTTTTTACTTACAAACCATACTACAATCACATCTCTATACTCATTATATATTCACAAAATTCATGTTACATACTCCTTCCGGTGATTATAACATATTCTTTTTTGTTTTACATTTCGATAAATTTTGTTTACTTGTATGTTTTTCTTTGATTCTTAGTTAAAATAAGATGTTCATGTCACTTCTTATTTTATTGAATAACTTTTTAATGTGTGAGTTTTATTTTTTATTTTTATACTAATTTTTGAGTAAATTCCATAATTGGTTCTTTATAACCGGAGTGTTTCCCTATTTAGTCCTCTATTATCAAATATTACCCCAATGATCCTTCTTTTATGGGTATCTTTCTACAAATAGTTTCTTTTTTGATCTTTTATCATGTTGGTGTTAATTTGAGGGCTAAAAGTGTTATTTTACAATGATAATATATCTTTTTTGTCATACACAATTTCAAAGGTTGTTCTATTTGCGTTGTTTGTAAATTACATTTGCTTTCTACTACAAGTCTACAACCATAGTCTACAAATGTGGTCTTCTATCGGAATCCTATCTCACAATCATAGTCATTATTTTTGTGTTATCCGCATAACCAATATCAGAACACGTCACTTGACATAATGTTGATGTCAAATTATACTTTTAGCCTTTAAATTAACACCCACATTGCGGATGATAAAAAAAGGACCATTTGTGGAAAGACATCCTTAAAAAAAGACTACGAAAGTAATATTTGATAATAAAGAACTAAATATGGAAACCTCCTTATTATAAAGGACTAATTATGGAATTTACTCTTAATTTTTTAATAAACTTGTGTTTCCTCACTTTCCTGTTGGGCGTTTGTTTTTCTTCTTCTAAAAAAGGAAGTGTACTCCTTAATAATGGAATCACAAATTTGGATGCACTGGCTGCACTGAGTAATGCTTTAATTCGTCTTCTTCTTCTTCCTCCCTTCAATTACTCTATCCTCCATTAATGCAGCAGAAACCCTGAAGCTCGCAGAATGAAATTTGAGCTGAAATTCTGGATCTAAGAGCTTGGGATTTCCAAGAAACTACGCAGTGGCAGTCGTTTACGAGAGAAATCAAATGAAATAAAAGTGAAATCTGGTCCCTGAGAAATGAGGGTTTTGCGAGATTCGTGGTGTTTCTGCAACGGCGGAGGGAAGACGGAGCGAATGAAGGCCTCCATCTTCTCGAGCAAAGGTCCGGCAATGGCTCAAATAGCCTCCTGTAACGGCGGCGGCGGTGGCGGAACTGGGTTTTTGATCCACCGGAATCTGCTCCTCACCACCCACCTCAACCTCCCTTCCGCCCCTGCTGCCGAGGCTGCCGAGATCCGCATCCAAAACGGCGCCGCCGCTTGCCTCTTCCCTCACAGGTCAGCTCGTTTTATATGATCTGTACATGAATCAAGCTGAGATTTAAAACCCACTTTCGTTTCATTCCTGTTTTTCTTTTGCAGTGAATTTCTTTGATGGTAATTTCCCAACATCCTTCCACCATTTAAATTGCCACCTCTCTTTACCTGCAGGTTCTTTATAACCAGCACAGTACTGGATCTGAGTATAGTGGGCATCGATGCCGTGGATGGAGATGCAACCGGGCAGCCTCATTTCCTGAAAACATGTTCGAAACCGAATCTCGAACTAGGAAGCTTAGTTTACTTACTAGGATACAACAGTGAGAAGAATGAGCTAACGGTGGGTGAAGGGAAGGTTGTAATAGCCACTGACAATCTCATAAAGCTCTGTACAGATGGGTTAGCATGGAGCCCGGGCTCAGCCGGTTTTGATGTTCATGGAAATCTTGCATTCATGGTCTGTGATCCTATGAAGCTGGCTACCACATCTCCAAACTCAAGGTCATCATCTACGACATCATCATCTTCATGGAAGAAGAACGATAGCACGTGTAGTATGCAATTCGGCATACCAATCCCAATTATATGTGACTGGTTAAACCAGCACTGGGAGGGAAACCTTGACGAACTCAACAAACCCAAGCTGCCGTTGATGAGATTGGTGGTGTCTGGTGGTGGTGGTGGTGGGGGGCACCAAAGGAGTGACCATTCTTGTGGTTCCTTCACGATGAGGCAAGTCTTCAAAGGTGAGATTGTTGAGGGAACCCCAACATCCTCAAACTCGCCGCCATGGTTGAGACCCAAAGAGCCTCTCGTTGGTCCAAGTGGCTTGACGACAACAACAGATCAACACGGAATCCCAACTCCTGAGATTTTTGAGTCGCCAAAGGTAACTTCTTCAATAGCCGCGAGGAAGAAGGAGAGCATTCCAAAACAACAGCTTTTGGATATCAACTTCCCACCAAAGGTATGTATGGATCATGAAAAATGCTAAGGAAGTTGATTTTTTTATGTTTGGTGTTACCTTGAAAAATGCAAAAGAAAAGCACATATCCAAGTCTCTTAATCTTTATTTTATAGACATAGATTAATAAAAAGTTTCCATATTCGGTCCTTGAGGGACTATATGCGGAAAAAATATTTAGTGATATTTGACCTAAATGACTATTTATGGAATAGTTTTCAAAACTTGATGATCATTTATGTAATATCTTAGAATTGGGGACAAAACATGGAAAACCATACCATATATGGAATTTAGTCTTAATAAAATGAGTATCAAGCATCAACAAATATCTAAAAGAAATTGAGTTCCAGAGCCCGTTTGGTGAGGGACCTAAGGGTTCTTTGGCTTAAATTTCAGAAGGAACCAGTTTGGTTGGGAACTAAGGGTTATTTGGCTATATTTTCAGAAAGACAAGAAGGGTATTTATTCTGATTATTTTAATTTTTCTTGTTTTTCCCCTAGTATTCTCCGGGTTCCAAACGAACACCAAGAGTTTCCAAAGCAACAGCTGTTGCTTCCCCAAAATTTGCAAGGAAAATGCCTTCAAACTACCACGAAAAGGTTTGTGGTGAAAAGTCAAGTGATGGCTCAAATGCTGAGATCGCATCAATAGGGTCGATAAATGGGCCACACAGTGATGTCCAAAGTTCATCCCCCGTCGTTGAGGCATCAGAGATGCTGCAACAACAATCCGACAATTATTACAGTAGCGAGGGGGAGACGACCACAATGTACTCTGCAGAAACTGCAGAAAGCCGTAATATTCCAAGAAGTAATCAACCTCCTCCTCCTCCTCATCCTGGAGGGGGGAAGGCAGTGGGGAGGAGCCAGAGTTGCATGAATTACTCCAACAGATGGGGGGCTGCTGTCCAAACCAGTTCATCAGCTGCACATAGGAGGAGGACGACTCCCGAGAAGGGCAGAATGGTCTATTCACACGGAGCAACAGCTTCACAGAGAAGCAACGACTTCTTTAGCCCCACGGTTTCTTCCATAATGAAGAAACGAATCAACGCCGAGGTGGGGCCCAGGCCCAACAGGGTGCCACGCCACACTCCAATAAACACGTCCTCTCCCAGATGGATGTTCTAATGAAGCTCTAACAGCTGACACAGCCCCCCCGGACAGGCAATTCTTTTGTCCTCTGCTCATAGTTTTGGCTTCTTCGTTTTTCTTTCGCGCACTGTAATTAATTTTTCTTGGGATGGGGAGAGTATATCAAAGAAATGCTGCTCCATATTGGAAGAAGTAATAATCATCTGTTACAGCCGAGGCTTGTGGAGCTTCGCCATGACGGGTTATGAGAGGGAGTTTTGGCATGTCCCTTCAAGAATTGTAGTAACAATTGACTCCATATATTGTAGAGGTCATATGGACACTCAGAGACTGAATAGGGTTATAAAATGCCATGCTTGTTTTCCTTTCTTTTCTAGCTATGTTATTGTTCTTTTGTCATCAAGGATCAATGTCATAACATGACACCGGTCCATTTTAGAGCCTATTCTGTTCGACTCATAAGTGTTTCCTACCCCCGCCAATCGGTGAGGGGGTACAGGGATGCAAGGGCAAGTTAGGGGAGATAAGAAATACTTCCAAGGTTAGAACTAAACATCATAGGACTTCCAAATGAAATGTTGTCATATTTTGATATGGGTTTGCATGTCAAAAGATCCCTATGCATTTATTTATTACTCCGTAATTTATTTTTGTGAATTGTCTTCACCTTTTCTATGAATTGTGTAGTGATGATGATGATGAATTAATTTAGTACGCTGCACAACTCGCAGAACATTATGCTAACTTGCAAGTATCATGAACTAAAACCATTCCATCGAAATTTCGTAATCGTTACCTCGTTTTATGTACATCGATTAAAGGATGACTATACAACATCATGAAACAAAGTGTTCCCCAAACACTAGAATCACCCTTGAGACATAAAGAGATGCCACCAGCACCAAAGATCAAACTGAACAAATACACTAATAAAACAAAGCAATCATCACTTTTCTCAAAAAATACAACATGAATATTTTGCACAGAGATCATTTTCAAAGGACAGCCCAAGTGCAAAAAGCATATCCTTGCTGTGGGAGTACTCTTTAATTGACTACTATTACAAGGGTTGAATCATCAATCATCATGAAGATAATGCTATATATGTCAATACATTCATAAAAATATGGTTTCTCTTAGTTATGCCCACTACCCAAAAAGTGGTCATCAACTTGTGGAAGGTAGGTACACTCTAATGGTGTTCTTCATTGTAATTTTCCTCCTACAAGTGGGGCACTTACCCTGAGCATCAATTGAAGCTTTGATGCACACCTTGCAAAAGATATGACCACACTTGGTTGACATCTCCTCAACCAATGGACCCATGCAAACTGGACAATTAAACACCGCTTCCTTTGGCGGCAAGGGTGGTGGAGCCGGTACCAACATCAGGCTTCCGTCATTTTTGCCCTGGTTGAGATTTTCAATACAACATAAATATTACTGAGAATGGAAAAAAAGAAGCACATGCCGTGCACTTAGGGAGCAATAAGGAGCTTCTGTTATCACCTGTGAATTGTTATATCCATCGAGGTTTATGCACATCTGACTGTACATAACTGATTGATTTGTAAGAGATCTGCGCTTGTAGGTGTTAGTAGAAGCCGCCCTACACGGACGCTCTTCTGCACAATTATGGACCAAATCAGAAAATGAAACCCAGCCCTTGATTCCTTGGGGGATTTTAATTTGGGAGGTGGTGGAGTTATATTTAAAAAATTTTATAAGACTTACTTTATTCTTAGATTAGCTGGTCACAAGGAAAGTAAATATAAGACTAACACATTATATAACAAAATATATACAGAATAGTTATTTCTAATCTAAGAAAAGAATTAAAGTAGAACCCCAAACCAAACAATTCTTAGGAGTGTTTAGCCTGTGTGTGTGTGGTGGTGGGGGGCCCGGGGGGTATCAAGAAAAAATTTATGGTATCCATGCTTTAGGGTCCATTCCCAATGGAGTTGAAAGAGTCATTATTGACAATGTTCTGGCTTAGGGAAATTAAAGGACTTAATCAAAATAGAATACAGAGTATTCTATGAAGCTTTGGGTAGTAAATGCAACTCTCCAACATACTTGGGATTAGACTAGATTTTGTTGGTATGGTCTCGATGTACTAGTTATTTGTTTACTAACAAATTTCATATATTCTCTTAGGTTAAAAATGAAAAGGACCCCCTCCCCTACTATCCCTCCTCATTCAAAATCTCCAAATATTGAACTCACAATCATTCCCCAAAAGAAATCTAGCAGAAAAATGGGTAACACCCTCTGGAACAAGAATTTTTCCTTTTAGGTTGAACTATTGAAGTCCCAAGACGAGCAGCACATACAGAATCAAACTCAAAATGACTCACTTATTGCTCCCCAAACAAGTTTCAAAGGGCAATTTCAACAGCCCAGTAAAATCCCACAAAAGTAGGGTCTAGGGGGTGAGTATATGCATGCCTTACCCCTACTTGAAGTAGAAAGGTTGTTTCCAGCTCAAAATTTTAATTCATGACTATATGACCAGTATAAAAGATACCGAACAAGGAATTAATTGAGCCCATAAAAGAGAATGTATTCACCAGAATCTACATCAACCACAATAGCCCCTCCACGGTTCCTCCTGGGGTTGTTTTTTCCCTAAAGCAAACAAAAAGATGCCTAAAATTATTAGTCGTGACACAATTAGGTATAGCAGTTTAAGATATATACTCTGTACTTGTAATCTACACATAAACAAACTAACAAAGTATAGATGACATACTTCAGCAAATGCGCGAGGAGATAATATAATGACATCATCATCATCATCAAGCCCTTCAACATCAATCGGTTGTGATGTGAGAGTGACTCTTGGAACAGGGGTCTCATCCAGAGAAACAATGCGAGAAGAGGTTCCCTCCTGATTCAGGTTCTCCCGTGGTGGCATAGCATTGAGATCGACATTTAGTAATCTCTTCCTCCTCTGAGATGACCTTACGCACCTGAATGGACGTGTCATTTGTTCCCTAGAGCTCATACTACAATCAACTTTTCAGTTGGTCCTTGGCAGACAGTTGTGCCCTATTGCAAAGCCTAGTGAAAATTTCCTGTAATTAGATCAGGGACAAAGCACGCATGACTTAGACTTTGTTTGGGAACAACATCAGCAATGGGTTTTAGTGTTGTGGATAACTTTATTAACTTTGAAAATGATAACGTTAGAAGCTAGTGCCAAACAGATCCTTACACTACCTCCATCCCATGGGTGAAGATTAGATAATCAAAATAGGAAGTCATGGAAATTTTACAGTTTGAAAAAATAGAAATAAGGCCACTGCCATTTCAATCCAATATCTATAATCAATTATGTATGCACACAAAAAAATAAGCCCACTAATTCATACAAAAATAGCGCAATCAGCATTTAGATGGAAGAGAAGACTGGAAAAAGTGAAAAGATATTATTTTAAAAAACTAGAAAAAATCCAGGCAGATGCAGAAGCTAAAGAAAGAGGAGAAGTAAAGAATTTTACCGGAAAAGAAAACGGCTTCAGTGGATCTGAGAGCTGCGGTAGGGTTCTACCGGTGGCTGCGCTCGTAAGGAGTGTCGAAATCTACATATGGTAAAATCCAAATGATCGACCCGTTGAGGCAAAATCAAAAGAGATGAGATCCGATGAATAATCAACAAAAATCTGAAAGAAAAGAAGACGATGAATCAAACCTAAATCGAGGGAGCGCTCCGAGATCTCCAATCATAAACGTGTGAATGAAAACAATGGCGCGGATGCCATGGATGGAAAGTACGGACTACGGAGTAGAATTCTGTCTAGTCCTTCTGTGTAGTCTAGAAGGCAATGGAAAAAAAGAAAAAGAAGATGATTTTTGAAACGAGGGAGAGAGAGAGAGGGAGACAACTGTGTAATCTAGAATTCTGTCTAGTCCTTCAATTTGTTCCGTAAGTAAAAGTTGGGAAGCAATTATAAGAAGCATGGTTGACAAATATCCCTCCCTCCTAAAACTTTCTTCCCAAAGCACTATTCCAATTTCACGGGAATTTATATTTATTTGTGTTTTTGCATGGCTTATATGATAAAATAAAATATTCTTGTCACCACTTGTTTTGTTGAACTTTTGATGTAGTTTTTAAATATGTATGTTTTATTTTTTATTTCTATACCAATATTTAAATAAAATAGATTGAAAAAATTTGGGATTTTTCTTCGTTTTGCGCAACGGGAAGAAAGATATAGGACGGAGGGAGTACTTTGGACATGGGATATCTGGCCTTTATATAATATTAATCGGAGCGGCTCAGTCTGTTGAGCCGACCTTCAAGACACAAATTTACAATATTCATTGTGAATTTTCCTCTTCATATCTACCAATATATTCACAAATCTATCATTGGTGTTTTCATTGAGAATTTCGAACACATCAAACATGTTCTTTTTAGTTTTTTGTTAATCATTTTTTCAAATTCACCATTTTCCACATAATTTGGAAAATTTGAGTCTAGATCCACCATTTTTCTCTTAATAATGGCTCGAAAGTGCGGGTCTCGTGGGAATTCAGCTCCCTCCTTAGGAACAATTGATAAGTGAACACTTAGGTGCAGGCATCATCCTCAAGATGCTTACGCAAACAAAAGTCATCAAAAACTTCGAAAAGTAAAGAGAACAATTAATTTGTAACGGAAAGTGTATTATAAAAATAAGATATTCCAAACTACATTTCAAAAATAATCTACAACAGCATTACCCCAGTGCCTCAACGGCTCCCGCCCATTGCAAGGTAAGGGGGGTCGGATGTACACAGTCTGATCCATATGTTTAAAACATAGAGCGGCTGTTTCCAAATGACCAATGATGAACGTCGAAAATTGCATTGATCAACTGCTACTTCACAATGACAAGAAGCGCAAACAGTTTAGAGAACCAATTTGCTTTATTCCATCATACCTCAAAGCCAAAAAATAATGAATCTTTGGCTCCACATGGGAATGGAAATACTTTATATTAATACTTTAAATTCATATTAAAAATGTTAACCAGAAAAGCCAAATTAAAAATAAGACAATAGAGTACAATTTGACCCTATAACTATCTCTTTTATTTTAAAACTAGTATTACACTTAAAGAGTTTGTGTCAATAATTTGAGGGAATTGTTATGATGTACTGATAGAATGGTACATTACTACATAAGCCAGACTACTAGCATGGCAAGTTACAGCACACTCAGTTTAGACACCTTTTAAGCTAAATGACTGCAGCCACTATTTAATGAAAGGAGAACTCTAAAAATGGGCAAAGTGTTAGAAAGACAAATGTTCAGCGCCTATGAATATAATTAAGATCACTAAGAAGAAGAAAAACACAGTTACAATGGAGAAATCACATATCTTCACTCTAACCATCACCACAGCTTGTCTGTGAGCCGGATCATAAACGAGTTCACTGCACCAGCATCCAGCAGTATCCATGATGATTCAAAGAGTTCATGGAAGAACTCGGCTCCTGTCTCCTCAGCCGCGCTCCTGAAGGCAATCCCAAACCCGTTCCCTTGGACTGCCCCAAGCCGCGGCTTGCCACAAATCGCGACAATCAACACTTTGGTGCGCTCTTGATTGTAGCAGACGCATATCAGTGGCTTCATCCTTGCTCCCTTCTCGCGCAACGCGTCCATGAGGAAGTAGCCCAGCTTGGTCAAAGCTTGTGGGTGACACAAGAGTAATGTGTCAGCCGAGTCCTCCAGTTTGACCCATCTGAACTTGCTGCCGCTGCGTATGGATCCCTTCTTGGTTATTGCAGAACTCCCTGCTCTGAGAATCGCTCTTTGGATTCTGATGGCTTGCCTCATCCCTGTTTCCAGCTTCTCCAGGTTGTTTAGTGACAGTGCATCGTAAGCCTCCCCAAACTGTCTAGAAGCGCTGGAACCTTCTAGCAAGGCTGTGACACCATACACGACGTCAGCAGCGGAGAGTTTTGAACTGTAGCCATGTAGCAGAAGGAACCCGCGGTAGTAGAAATCTGTGAGTCCGAATTCGGGCAAGTACTGGATGAACATGTCCTTCATCCTCCTCTTGATCTCCACGCTCATGTATTCGAACTTCTGTTTGCACTCGTCGCGGGCGAAGCCCATCCGGCCCAAAAGGAGTTGCATTTTCTTGATCCCATTGTCACTCCATGTCTTCAGCTTGGTCGCGATGTAGGAAGAACAAAGCATCGAGTCAAACAGGTTCCATTCCTGTAACAGCATTAGCCTTGGCTCATCATCGTACGAGATTCTTGAGGATTCTGGTGCGGAGACCTTGGTTCCGTCCTTGAGAGTGACAGAGGTAACAGTGGAGTCTAAGTTCCCAGAGCTGTTGATGTGTTGCTCAAGCTCCATTACTCCGGCTTGGTATCTTTCGTCTGTTAGCCTCTCGTGAACAAACTGATCGGTTAAAGCTACGCAAGCTAACCAAAGCAGTTCATTTGTGTTTTTCCTTAACAAATGAGAGAGCTCATACATCAGGCATCCAGATGGCTTCCCATGGAAGGTGCCCATATAATAGTATTCCTTTTTTAGTTTCCTGAACAGTTTTACAGGATCACCACCCCCTTCGTTGTCTGAAGAGACTCTCCTCTTCTTCCGTGTTCCTCCCATCTCATCACCTTCCTCTTCACTCTCGCTTTCATTCTCGTCATCACTATCAGAATCATCTTCAAATTCATCATCACTATTTAGATCGCTTGCATTTGCCAACGCAGAAACATCAAAATCATATGATAAATCTGTCTGTTGTTCATCATCCCTAGTGTATAGAATAATTACCCTGTCATTCTCATTGCTCAAGTTGTGCAAATGGATAGGCCTGTGACTGTCTACAACAAAGACTTGAGCCAAAGGACTTATGTCAAGAATCTTTCGAAGATCCCTTTGGCACCCCCAGTTTATCAGTAAAATCGTAATGGGCTGACAGGAAGTTGAACCTCCCAGATCACCCCCTGTGTATTTATGGATCTCTTTAAAAGTAGATACAGGATAACAAGCATACCTAACAGAATCCGATTCAAGAACACGGCCTATTATTTTTAGAGCGCATAGTGAATCAACATCTGAAGTTGAGGGAAACACTAACAGAGGGGTTGAAAAAGCTGAGGCCAAAGCAGCATTGCGCAGCCTGGCATAGAATGATTCAATGCTGTGCTCCCTCACCATACTATGTTCTATGTCTGCATAATAATGCAGTTAGCTTTTCCAATTTTCACTCTATAGTTTGGATTTCTTTTCTTCTCAAACCGGATCAATCTGTCCTGAATTATTCCATTTGTGTTATCAAGAACCTGTGACAATCAAATTAAGAAATGAAAGGAGGACAAAGAAAAAAAAGATTGCCAGTGGAAATAAATATTTACTCCTATTGGTTTGGAGCAAAAAAACATCAGATTAAGAAAATGGTATTTTGCCTTGGAGATGGTCTTAGAGTACTAAGAAAATGTCTCAATATAAAATATGCTTGTTTTCTTAAGACTTGAGCCATTAAAAAATTTCAGCACACTTCAGAGGCAAAGATTATAGCTTGAAGTAAAGCTAAACACCTAAACTCAGTTACCCATCATGAGAAACTTAAGAATTCAAAGCTATGAAAACATGGGTACTCCAGTTTTGGAAAAATATGCCTATGATACACCTGTGTTTAGACCTAAATAACTGGATTTTTTAATTTCAACATGAATGTGCACGGGTATTATAATTAAATAAATGACAGAAAACTTATAAATCAAACAGTAATTTTATCTGAATTAATGGTCAAATCCACAGCTCGTTAAAGTCAAATAATTGATCAATTGAGGCACAATCAAAAGAAAAGAGATCAGATGATCAATCAAAATAACAGAAAGAAAAATTAACTATCTATCACTAGGACGCTCTCTGAAATCTCCAATCTTATGTGTCTGAATGAAAACTAGAATTGTATCTTGCTTTGCTCTATGTAATCTGGGGTTCTAATCAGAGAAGAAGATTTTAGAGAGAGACTGGGCAGTATCTAATAATTGTGTTTCAGAGAAGAAGATTTTTGAGAATATTGATTAGGTTGGAAGTTGAAGTACCAAGGATGAAGATGCGTCTTTGAAAATAAAATACCTCTGGTTATGGATGTGAATTTCCGAACGAAAGCTTGTAAAACCATGGGAAGCTGACCTCCTAGATGCAAGAATACAGTAAAAATTGTTGGAGATAAACAGATCTGGAGGCTGACACACTAAATCACTGTGAACCGAGCTTCAACAGTTCCGATTCCCCCCGTTTGAAGCTCTAACGGAATTCACCTTCTTCAAGCTACTCCGGGAGGATTTGCCGCTCGAGTTGAACCGCGAATTAGGGTTTCGTGAAATAACTGAAGCAGATGCGATTGAATTTGAGCTCGATTGGTGAATTTTTTTTTAAATTTTGTTTAGGTAACCGGAAAAGAAGAAGAGGAAGAAGGAGAGAAGAGCGGATGAATGAAATTTCAGAAAATTTGAGCTTTGAATCTGGCGTCTCTTTTTTTGTTCTCGAAATTTTTGAAATTTTTGGGGGCGGCCAAATTTTGGCGGTTTAAGTCTTTTCGCCCCGCGCTGAATTACGTCCGTTTGACGAGATTGTCTTTTGAAACAGTTTTTTTAAAAAAGAATAAATTTCATGTCTTTATTTACAAATTGTTTTTCGTATTTAGTCTTTAATTTTAAAATATTACCCCGTAGTGTATAAATGGTCCTAAATTTTGGAAAATTACTCCATATATAGATCTTAATGCAAGACATGACAAAATATTTTTTCTCATGTATAACTCCGGAAGGATCGATTATGGAATAGTCTTCAAAAACTATGTACCATTTACGTAATATCTTAGAATTCGAAACTAAATATGGGAAACCCCGTGTAATTATGAATTATTTATGAAATTTACTCTTTTTAAAACTTCCATTAATTAGTAATGGTTTTTTATCCTCTCTTCGTACTAAAATTAACTTTTCAGCTTAAGTTTAGTGGTTAAGCTTTTTAAACTTAAGAAATTTCGTTAGACAAGGGTAAAAAAAGTATTAAAATACCAAAATAAGAGCATTAAGTATTTTAAGATTAAAATATGAATATAATGACAGTATGGTGTAAGAGTATGCGTTGACGGTGTGATTGAAAAAATGATGACACTATAACATGTCAGTGTGATCAGTCCACCGCCAATGATTCGTGACGACAGATGACAGCATAACATTGATAGTGTGACAGTTACAATGTGACAATGTAGTACGTATTGCGATGTAACAATGACTGCGTAACTTGTATTTTTGTCTTAACTATTTTGGTATTTTCATAATTTTTTACTCATATCTAGAACTTCCTTTAAACTTTAACCGTATATTACAGAAAAAATATATTGAATTTTTTATATAAATTTAATTTCAATATATTTATTTTGAAACATAATTTTAAAATATTTTATTTTTATAATATATATTTATATATAAATAGAGATATTAATCGTCAAAGTTTTACTCGGAGTACATCGAAGACCGTGAAAAATTAAAAATCAATTTAAGGATGGAGAAAGTATAATTTATCAGAGAATAAATTTTATAATTGGTTCCTAATAACGAGAAGTTTTCAATATTTACTTTTCTATTATCAAATATTAATCAAATTCGTGATCTTTCTTTTATTAATATCTTTCTAGAGATAGTCACTTTTTAATATTATATAATATTATATAATATTATTGTTAATTTAAAAGCTAAAAGTGTTATTTCACATCAACCATATGTCCTTTGACATATTCTAATGGTAACAAATAACAAAAGAATAATGACATATTAACATTAGTTCCAAACTTACTTCCAGTTGAGACACTTATACTATTTGGTTCGATTCCATCTTCCTCACCTCCCCTTCCCCTACCCCCCCCCCCCCAAAAAAAAATGGATTGTATACTTCAAATTTAGTTTTCACTCCCTAAGATTAACCCCCACCTTGTCTCTAACTCCATTCTTTCTTCTTACGAACACAAGACGAATTTTAGTATTTGTGTGCTTTTGCGAGAAGAAAAAATGGGAGTAGACGATTGATGATTTGAGTCATGACCATTGTCGAAATCTCAATATCATTCTTTTTTTTTATTGCGGTAAAACATTTTGTTGGCAGCAAATACAAAATCAAATGCCAATTGGATGAGACCACTGAAAGTTGTAAAGCTCATTGAAATGGTCACTTGGTGCCACGAGCTTAAAAGAATGCTAAGAATACAAGAGTTCTTTTTTTTTCTTCAAAAAATCAAACAAAAGATAATAATAAGATTTTTTTGGGTACGGAGTATAACTTCCCGAAATTACTTAATCACAGGGAATGGAAATTCTGTATAAATAGAATGTGGAAGACACAACTCATCTGCATGACTGCATCACAAAGCTTTTTCGTCTTCTTATTTACACAACTCAGTTTGCCTGCTCTGGAAAATGAAGGAGCAACTCAGGTTTCACCCTTTTCACCACCATGGGCAGCAACGTTTCTGCCCGGAAATAGAAAACAGATGAAGAGAAGATGAAAACGCATACACGATGATTATTGCAGAGACGAAGAACAAAGGAAATTTTTCATCATCTTTGGAATTGAAACTGCCCGGAGGAGTAGTGTACCTGAAACTTATCATCACCATCTTGGTTTCTTGCGTTGGGACGGGGTCGTGTTGGGGTCCGCATAACATTTGAGGAAGCATCTGTGTGCCTTTCATCACGGTGCGTGTTGAAAATGTAAGAATAGTTGTCTGCTGATTGAGAATCCTTCTCGTCCCATTCCCCAAATTTCGGAAGTGCTGCAGCTCCTTTCCTGTCAGGCTGTGCACAAAAACAAGTACACATTTGTCACATGATAAGATTCTCAGTGCATTTGATGAGATCTCAAGTTTCGACCATCCATTCTTTCCAAAACGGATTATTGAGATCCATATGCACGATGCATGTCGTGAACAAAAGTGCAGATGAGAGAAAATTAAAGACAAGAATCCCATGAAACTTACAAAAGAGCCGCATTTATACATCAAGAAGGAAAGATGAAGAAGAAATATGTGAAATTTGATATNGAGCTGACTCCCATATTTTTTTCCTCATTACCAAAATGACATTGCTTTGGCAATATATTAGGGAGCATTATTATTTCATATTTTCAAATGCAAAATCATAGTTCTTGGGGAATTATTCAATTTTTGAGATATAAATTGGGTCTTTTTCATTTTAATTATTTGAATGGTTCTTTTATATGACAATTAAAAAAAAGGCGCTGCCCCAGGACCCCGTAATGTTCCCGCCCCCTTTACAGAAGTCCCAGAATACGCCCGGTATTTTGCACCACACATTTGTGTTTATTTAACTTTGCACCCATCTTTTATTTAGTGGGACACAAAGTTGCAAATTAGGGCAAACATGAGGTACAAATATCAATTTTTTTTTTTGAAAATTTATCCTTTAACTCCTACACTAAAGGTGAACGATCAAAGAAAGTAAATCATCGAATGTACATTTAAATAATAGATCAGGCATGAGGTGCAAATATATCCCAATAAATAATGTGATGTGCAGTGAAAACTCTTACGCTTTCGAGCTTTTGCCGAGATCTCCCTGGTGTACCATATGACTTTCCCAAGGTACCTTGTTGGCTACTACCATTACTGTTATTATTGTTATAAGTTCTTCCTGGTGTTGTTGAACCACGTGTATTCTCATTTGATTTCCTTCCATCTCTACCCTTTCCTTGATGATATTGTGGGTGGTGGGGCGATTTTTCAAAGCTTCCTTTCTTGCCCATGGTGGTGCCATTCCCGGGTGGAGAATTAGAATGATTCAAGGGGTCACTGTTGTCTTTACTCGTTTGACGCTTATCTATAGTGGGCCCAACTGATGCACCATACCCTACCGGTGGTTCCTCATGTTGAAGAACTCCATGATCAGATGTAGGAGAACGAGTAGGTGCAGTAGCAGCAGCAGCACGAGGAGCTTTGCTTGGGAACATGTCTGGATTTTCTTGGGGATCATTTGGATTTATAATTTTTCCGCCTCGATGTTTCCTTGCCTTTTCAAAATATATTGTGTAAGGCACATCCTCTTCGCTGTCCCAGTTCCCAAACGTCGGTACATTTGAACCCTGCTGGTTGGATGGAATAGTATTATAAGGGCCCTTTTATTAAATTCATTTTTCAACACTAAAATGTTCGCATTCTTCAAATTAAACATTTATCTAGGAACTCAAACGATAGTATCATCCTCATTCTGAAAAATAAATCTCCACTCCCCCCCCCCAAACAGAGTTCAAAATGAATCAATTTTTAATTAAGGAATGATATTCATTAACCGCACAAAATACTAGTCATTGTCAAATATATCCAATATCAGTCTTACAATAATATACCGGACCATAAATCGAGATTCTCAAATAAACCATTCAACATTTTGACAAAATCTAAGCATTCAAACTCCACTGTTATGCACTCTATTGTGTGTGTGTTGAGATTATCAAACCAATTTCATAAAATCTTAGCCATCGATCTCTACAATGTGTTTGATATAAAGTATCTATAATACTCTAAAATCTTTTTGAGAGAACTATTTGATCCCCAAAAAAAACTGCTTTACAAAAGCAGTGGCTACTAAAATACAAGTACTAAACACAAACAATCTAACATTAATTCAAGCATAACATTAATTCAAACATGGCAATTGTGTTGTCAAACAAGAATAAATAAAAATCACACAATTAATTCATCATGAGGAAATGAGTATAGAATTCAAGATCAAATGAACAAATTGAACCTAAATCAAGATTTCTCAAACCCTATTTGAGCTGTAAACACTCTTCAACACCAATTCATACCAGAGCACTCACAAGATGCATATGCAATCAACAAGTTCATCATTCATTGAATTCAATATACAATAGTCATAGTACACCAATCTTCAGAATTGGAACATTCAAAGCGAATATCTGGAACCTAAAGAGAAGAGAACAAATAACGCAAATCCAAATCAAAGCATAGATTTATAGTATTTGTTATGGAAAAAAAGGAAGGCTTACAGTCATGCTTCTTCTCCGAGCTTCTCAACTCAACTGCGAGAAAGAAGGGAGAAGAAATATTGAAGACGGATGATTCGAGAGAGATAGAGAGAGTTGCAGAGCGGATTTTGATGAGAGACAGGGAGAGAAGGGGTCATCATATCTCCTCATTGACCTCCGCCACCGGTAAAGTTTGACTATTCGCCGGTATTCCCACCCTATTCCACCGCGCTATTAATGCACCGCTGTCAAATTAAACGACGGGCAGTCCGACAGTGACGACTGTGACGGACTGAATCAATTATCAAACTGGAATTTACCCACACCCTTTCTCCCTCCAGACAATGGTGACTGGTGAGGGTAGTACAAAATATTTCGGTTCAGTATGTATGTGATTTTATATCTTATTGATCTCAATTTTGAAGTATCTGTTCGATTTAGTTTAGTATGGTTCGAGATAATTCGATTTCAGGAAATATTGGGATACGTACCTAGTTTAGATTTTGGAATGTATACATTCTTTTTTTAAAAAATTGAAAGCACATTCAAATAAACAAAGATAAAAAATTGAAAATTGAATAAACAAATGCAAAAAATACTTATAAAACTTAGTGTAATATATACTTCGTATTTTACAAACAAAAGAAAGTGAATGATAACAAAATACTATCTCAAATGTTTGTTAATTTTTTTATATTCATCTACAAAAAATAAAATTTAAATAAATAATTATTTAAGTAAAAGATTAATTGTAATTCATTTACACTTGAGCCAAATTTTCAAGATCAATTCTGTATTTTATGAAGAAATATAAAAACATTAATATTTTTATAAAATATTTGTATATATGTTTGGTTCGGGATTTTTCAATATGGGAAAGTTACCTCGTACCAATCCCAAATATCGGACCGACCATTCGATTCGGTATGGTACGATTCTTTTTTGGTACCTTATCGGTTCGAAAATCTTAATTTTTTCAGGAAATTTCGATATCATTGTGGTACTTGCTCGCCCGTAGCTGAGGGACTTTGAAGATGGAGTTCATCCTTTTGCAAAGGTGGACAAAAATCTAGATATCATTATGTAGATCTGAAATATTTTAGTCTCGTCCCTGTAACATTATTTTGTTTGGGATAACAAAATTAAATTTTGATCCAATCAAATGAGGCCGTATTCCCACTTTCCATAGCTCACCAATAATCCCCACAAGAGCAAACTCCATCTTTGAAGTGATGAAACCTCTTCACATCACGCACAATTATTTCCCTTTTCACAATCATGGAGATAAACTTGGTTGCTTCATGACAATCCCCACACACCCTCAGGTTCTTGGCGACCATCACTTTCGACCCCGGGGCGGTGTTTAGGAGCGCAAAGGCGATGGCGAGCCTCTCGCTGTGGTTGCACAACATCGCCGCCTTCACCCCCTCCGCTGCGATGTTGTGCAGCACGAACTCCGTCTTTGGGGCGTACCCCAGAGACGCCATTTCGTCCTCCAGCTTCCTCAGCGTCCTCGCTATCTCCTCGCGCTGAGGGTGGGTCCCGTCTTCGGTTAGAAAAGCGTGGAGTCTCTCGTTCGCCTCCACGACGCTGTGCCCGGGGGTTTTCCTCATGCCCGTGGCTCTCATCGTCTTCCTCACTCGAGCCACGTCCTCCCACTTCTTCGCGGCGGCGAAGAAGTTCGAGACAAGCACGTAGATCCCGAGAGTGTTCGGTTTCAACCCGAGGATCTTATTCGCCGCGGTTTCCCCGATCAAGAATTTCTTGTGGTTGAGGCACCCGGATAAGAGTGCAACCCATATAGCGACCGTGGGTTCAATTTCCATGCCCTCGATCACATCTCTCGCTTCCTCGACTAGTCCCGCTCGGGCTAATAGATCAACCACGCACGCGTAATGCTTCTCGGTGGGTCGAATCTTGTACTTCTCGACCATGGTGTCAAACCAAAACCGTCCTTCGTCTACCAAGCCCGAATGGCTCAACGCAGATAAGAGGGCGGCAAACGTTGCATCGTCGGGCTCTATCGCGGCTTTCATCTCGGAGAAGAGCGATAGAGCTTCCTTACCGAGCCCGTGAATCCCGTAGCCCGCGATGATCGCGTTCCAACATATCACATCCTTGTTAATCTCGATGCTGTCATAAACCCTACGGGCACACGCGATAAGCCCGCATTTCGCGTACATGTCGATCAAAGCGGTCCCGAAGACTCGATCCACCTCGAACCTTCGTAGAACGTACGCGTGGACCGATTTACCCTTCTTCGAAAAACCGACGTGGGAGCATGCAACGAGCGAGCTAACGAGCGATGTCGTGTCGGGCGAGAGCCCGAGACCTTGCATGTCGATCACGAGCCGGAGTGCGTGGTCTGCGAGTCCGTTTTGAGCGTACCCGGAGATCAATGCACTCCAAGAAACAGAGCTGTTCTTGCTGCAATGGAGACTCTCAAACAGGCGAGAAGCCGTGTCGAGATGGCCATTCTTGGCATACATGTCTACCAGGCTTGTATTGACATGAACACTCATGGGAAGACTTTTCCTGATCATGTAACCATGGATGGAAGAACCTAGGGTTAGTTCCCCTGTATTCGCGCAGGCACGAATCAAGCCCAACATCACGACCTCGTCTCCTTCCAAGCCATCTCTCTGCATATTCCGGTAGACTTCCACCGCCTCTCTCGGCAGCCCACACTGTGAAAGGGCGGAGATCATGGCGGTCCAACAGACCACGTCTCTCCTCTCCATCTTCCCGAACAGGAGACGGGCCGCATCGATCTTCCCGCATTTCGCGTAGAAAGTCAACCCCGAGGACGCCACAAACACGTCGTTACCGTACCCGCACTCGCGCGATTTCCGCAAGACCTCCTCGCCGAGACCCAAGTCCGGCAGCGCCGCGCACGCCTTGAGCGCGGCCGTGAAAGTTGAGCTGTCGGGTTCTGCCCCGGAGGAGATCATTTCTCCGTACAGATCCATGGCCTCGCCGGGGAACCCCTTCCGGGAGTAGGCGACGATCATCGAGTTCCATGCGCAGATGCTTCTTCTTCTCTGGGGCAATTCGTCGAACACCTTCCGGGCGAGTTCAGTGTGGCCGGCTTCCGCGTAGGCTGAAATCAATTGAGGATTCAAGATTGGGTGGGACGATAGCCCGGAAGAGATGAGAAAGGTGTGGATTTTGGAGATGGAGATTCTATCTTTACATGTCGAGAGAAGGGATTTGAGATCTTTTGGGGAACATTTCTGTAAATGCATTGAATTGAAACTTCGAAATGGCGGGGCTGTGCTTGCTATCAGGTTCCGATATACTTCATAATGCATTTCCAGTTTTGAGGTCGAGATACCAAAAGTGTACTTCAAATGTATACTATTCCCTCCTCCATCACTCATTTATATTTGATTTTTACTGTATTTATGTATTTATTTTTAAGTTTCTTGCCTTTTTATATGGACAAGGAGGGGGTGGAGAGACAAATGGGGTACATCTTTGGTGTCCCCCTAACATTTTTCTTCCAAGTTATATTCCATCTATTTGTCCATTAGAATCAAAATATAATCCTTCAATCTTGTAAAAGTAAAGAAAATTTCAATCCTAATTCCTAAAGATGAAATACATTATCAAAGTATAATATCACACTTTTTAAGGATTCCGAAGTATATTGCGGATAATGTGAAGATAAAAGTTCTTACCAGAAAGTTGGTGGTATCACACAGTATTTTTCAGATAATGTGAGACCTAAAAGTTATTATTAAAAAATCAAAAGTATCCGAGAATAATTAATTGTAAAAAAATGACTTATGTGTTTCTACTCTTTCACTCCAATCGTGAAAATCAAAGATATTGACTTCTCTCTTGGCCTGAGCTTCTCTCATAATGCGAGTTCAGCAGAGGCAGAGATATTGATTCATGAGACGTTATTAGGTTGACAAAGTATAAACAGATATACATGGTAACTAAGTCAATAGCATTAAAAAATATCTGAGTGGAGTTCTTGTGAAATCAATTTATTTATAAATTAGTGCTAAAAAACTACATTATGTATTTTGTACTTAAAAATATAGAAAGTGTCAAAAGTTATACAAAAGAAATTGTGACATAACTATATTATTTGATGAAAATAACTATTAAAAATGCAATGATAATTGGAGCAAAGAGTACTTTTATTTTGAGACAAGGTGTATTTTTAATGAAAAATGCTAGAAGTACATCATATGATGCACCCTATATATACCCAATGCATGCTCTACCACACACTTTGTAGTGCTAAAAAAATAGAGAAAAAGAATAAAAAGTTATGGTTTTGAAGAACATGGAATACATTTGGTGTATTCTTAGCATTTCTTATTTTTAATATTGTGCACTCGTAGTATTTAGAAAATGTTTCTCTGTGCTAGTGATTATTGACTTATTACTCATAAATAATTTTTAACTTATAAGCTGATTATAAGTCAAATATTCTTTTGTGAAAGCATAATGACTTAAATGATAGATAAATTATTTCCAAATATTTATAAATAGCGAGGAACGATTTTGTAAATAATATGGTCAAAAACGGCCTTAAAAATAAGTAACAAAAACTTACTTATTTTTCTGGCTTATAAGCAACTTATAAGCACACAGAAACATGTCATCAACTGACTTATAAATTAAAAATTGCTTATAAGCAATTTTGACCAACTTATTACTACAGAGAAACACCTACTTAGTCCACGTGAAGTTACCGTTTTACTTGAGCCATCAAACTTTGAATGTTTTGGCTACAATTTGTTTTTTTAAAATCAATATTCAGTTCTAATTTGATTTTCATATTGAAATGCAATTCTATAATATGTTGTCATTTATACCGAGTAATTTTTATTTATCTATAAATAAAATTATTAATAATCAAAGTATTACATTGAAAACCTAAAACTTAACCAATTAACTCTTATATATACGGCACACCAATGATTTTTTTTACTGTCATTCACTCGATTACAATGCAGTATCTCTTCATTCATTTCTTAACCTAATGAAGCACAGTGACCCAATGATAGTTTGGTTTAATTGTTGTCATTTCTCAATTAGTGATGGAAGCCATAGTGACATTGTTTGGATATAACAGAAACATACGATTACACACAATATATAATGAATTTACAAGTTACAATATGGTGTGTTGAGGATGTTCACTAGCTTCATATCATACATTGTCCTACATAAGTCTTTATCATCCATTCTTGAGATCTTCAGTAGTTTCTTATCCTCTTCAAAGGGGAAGAAACACCCATATTTTCGTCTTCTTTCCTCTGTTTTGCAGCATCACAATCTAAGCTGCAAGGAAGATGTCTTTCTCGTTTGTTCGCAAAAACCGGACCTCTCTGTGTTATAATATCTGAGAATGCAGTACATTCAGGAAATGAAATATCGCAACAACAGTAACAAACAAACAAACCCTGTAGAATCCCACAAAGCTCTGGGGGAGTGTGTGTACAGAGCTTACCCATACTTGGAAGTAGAGAGACTGTTTCCAAAATATCTGAGATATATGGAAGAAAAAGTGGAAGAAGGAGTGGATGCTAACCGGGATTACACTCATTCGTCCTTGTTCTCTTAACTGGAATGCCTCCATCTAACTCAAGCTTTCTCTTCAAACCTAAGCTATTGAGTTGAGAAATTTTTCTGTTTAAGAAATCAGATGATCCTGACAAAGAGAAGGGGTATCAGATGGAGAACTTGAAAATGTCAAGGCTCTCTCTGTTTCAATTGAATAACTTGGTGAAAACCATTTTCAAGGAAAGTGTTTTTTGAAATATGTTGTTTTGGAAAGAATGCATGATAATGTTTTAACCACTTCAGTTTTTTTCCCACTTGGGATCCTTATGAAGTGCGAGAATACACTCCTCCAACAACAAACACAACAGCACATAAATTAATTTTGAAGATGTTTTCCGCAAAAAAAAAAAAGGCGAAAAGAACATGCCCTTAAGAAAAATATATGTTTTCAATGGAAAAGTTTTGTATGCGCAAAACATATGAAGAAAATCAGAAAATTTTTCCAAGTAAACAAACCGATCCCGAAGGAGAATCTGGATTGACAATTTACCTAGTGACCCATCCTTAATCCTTTTGGGACTGATCAGTTTAATACATTGTGGATGTGTGCTTGACCCCATAACACTTTGTATTTCATTTTCCAATGGAATATGTGCTCCTCCTGCCATAGGGAGGGGGGTAACAGTCCCTTTCAGTTAAACTCATAAATATCACTAATCAAAGCTTTGCAATTTCAATTAGGTTTTGAATATCTGCTGATACAAATTAAACTAATAATATCACTAATCAAAAGTTTGTCCCTAATGTGTGACCTTGATGTAACATGGGTGGGAAATAATGAAGATCCTTCAAGTGGCTGTAATGAAAATAGTAGCCACGGTTTTTACCTATAAATCTCAAAAAATTATCCTAAATAGGAGTAAAACATAGAGAAAGTACCAAAATAGGAGTTCTATATTCTTATTTCCTAAATAAGAGTTCAGATTGTGGTAATGTGGCAGTGTACATGTGCATATAACTATACTTTTTGGTAATGTAAATGCATTTTAAAATTTTTAACACTTATTTCGGGAATAAAAACATGTAAGGCTCCATTTGGTACATGGAATTCAAACTATGGAATTGGAATTGAAGAGTTCAATTCCAATTCTGGTGTTTGGTAGCATAAAAATTATGTGGATTTGGAATCTGATGGGTAATAACCCATGGATGCCACCCGGTTGGTCCGACCGCCTGGGTGGTACCGGATGTGACAACGCGCGACCTCTTCAACCCGGGTGCCTAACCGGTCTGGATGCATAGGCCGGGCGTCAGAGACGCAGATTCTATTCTCAAAGTGTGACTAGGGAACCGGTCAGAAGCTGACCGGTTGGATAATCAGAGACGTGCTTGACGTGCTTAGGATTATTATAAATACCCCTAAAGGCCTCATTTGTGAGGGCATGCTTTAATTAATCCACACGGCCTGTACTGTTGTAATAGTTCCTATTATCATTAAAAACAAGCCGGGTTACAGGTGTTTCCACCTACAACCCTTCCGATTACTTTACTTAGCATTCGCGTGGTAATTTACACCATCAAATTGGCGCCACCCGTGGGACCTATTACAAAAAAAGTCATGGCAAGCAACCAAGAAACCGTCATTTCACAAATCTCTACTCCCGCTGAGAACGTCACTCTGTTCCCGGGAGGGAGTACCCAACCCTCAAGCCAGATTCCTACCCCCATTCTCACCATTCCGCCATCTACCCTATTCACTTCCCCTACCACTTCTGTCCCCGCTTTTTCTCAAAATTTCCCCGGGCCCGTGGATCCGATGTATTCCCAGGCTTTTCAAAATTTTGGGCAGTTCATGTCCATGTTTCAACAACCGGGGGGATTTTCGCCTTTCGTTCCCGGGTTATACCCACAATCTTTGCCCCAAACCAATATCATCCACCCGGTCATCCCGACAAATCTAATCGGGGAAATGGACAAAGTAGGTCCATCCCGATCTAGAAGAAGCCGGTCTCGAAGGTCACAGACCAAAGTGACCTCGGATGGGGATGTGCGCTCAGTTCATAGCAAAGATGAGGACTGGGACGTCCCCCAGGCGCTCAAGAAAATGAAGGGAAAGGCGGTCCAGCCTGAAGTATCTAGGAGGTCAGCATTTCAAAGGCTGGGGCACGACGGCAGGAACCAAAATCGATCGGCCAAAGAGCGATTGGGAATGGAAACGACCCCAACAAGTGCCTTTGACCGACTGAGGAAGGGAACCGGGCGACCTGGTTGGACCAGGCGCACTGAACCACCCCCTCGCGATGAGCCCCAGAACAGTCGGGCGCCCCATGGAGAAGAAGAAGCGGAAAGCCATCCCAGGCACACGGTCCGTTCCCACGTTGAACAACCCCGGGACCGTGTAGGCCGGGTTGAAGCACGTTTGGAGAAGCTGCAGCGCCGGGTAGACCGGGATGAAAAGAAGAAAGTCTTGTTGAACGAATCTCCGTTCACAGACCGGGTTCATGAGACCCCATTCCCAAAGAAGGCAAAGCTTGAGGTCCCAAAATTCACCGGGAAGGAGGACCCGGAGATACATGTCAAAACCCTTCATCAGAGTGGAAGGATGATGGGCCTTTCCGGGGATGAGAAGTGTTTACTCTTCTTCCAAACCCTCCGCGGCCGCGCCGCTGAGTGGTTTCACAACCTCCCGGCCGGCGAAATCGATTCGTTCGATGAACTGGCCGAGGTGTTCCAGGAAAAGTTTAAGGAAAACTGTACCAAAAGGAAGAAATTCACCTACTTGAGTACGGCCGGGCAGAGGGAGCACGAGGACCTAACCAGGTTCCTCACCCGGTGGAAGGATGAGGTGGATAAGGTGGAAGAAATGGACGACAAAACCGCCATGTCCCTCTTGGTGTCCGGGCTCCGGTCCGGAGAATTGTACAAAGAATTCTACCGAAGACCCCCCAGTCATACCAGGAGGCCTACAACACAGCCTGGGATTACGCTGACGCCGAAGCGCAGGTGTCATCCAAGAGGGAGGTCGAGCAAGGCCATTCTAGAGGGAGGGTTTCCTTGAAAAAGGTAATCGAACTGCCCGGCAGGGTAAAAACGGAAGTCATGGAGGTGAAGCCAGTCAAGTCAGAAAAGAAACCAGCCGGGGAGAAGCAATGGACAGAGAAGTATTGCTCCTTCCATAAAACTGACTCCCATAACACCGCTGAATGCAATAGTGTTAAGGGAGTGATCAAGCAGATGATCGAGGCCGGAGAGCTTGACCCAGAGTATCTGGCTCACGTAAAATAAAAGAAGAATCAATGGGTCAGTCCGGAAGAACAACCGGCCGACCAGAACAAGAAAAAGAAAGCAGCCGGTAAGGAACATTTGCAAGTTATCTATGGTGGACCAGAGGGGGGAGATTCTGCATCGCAAAAGAAGAAATGGGGGCGAGAGCTCTACATCAGCACGGTGGCCCTCGATCCTCGAAGGAAACAGACCAGACGGGAACCGATCACTTTTACTGATCGGGACCTTCCCGCCACCGGCGAAGATCACAATGATCCCCTGGTCATAACCATGGATATGGGTGGAGTCAATGTCTCCCGGGTACTCGTTGACACGGGCAGTAGTGTCAATGTTTTGTACTTAGAGGCATTTGAGAAACTCAAGCTGTGTCGCACACGGCTTGAGCCTTTGAAGACTCCCCTGTCCGGGTTCACTGGGGATTCTGTTGAAGCTGAGGGGTCAATCCTCTTAACTTGTGAATTGGGCACGGGAGACAATGTCGTCCAAAAACAGATGAGGTTCGTGGTAGTGAACATCAAATGTGTTCACAACGCCATCCTAGGCCGACCTGGAATAAACAAAGTCCGTGGGATCATGTAATTGAAGGTAGCTGGCCAGTTGCCAATTGAGGCAGAATTCCCAACGTTTAGAGAGACCGTGTATCAGCCCGGTCAAAACGAGGCCGACCACTTAGCTGAGTTGAATCTGGTAGAAGAACGAAGGACCATGGCGGCTGTCAAGATGGTTGGCTACCAACAGTCAGTAAAGAGATATCATGACAACCGGGTGGGTCCGCGATACTTCCAAGTGCATGATGAGGTCTTACGCAGAAGGGATGCCAGTAAGCCTAATGAAAGGGGTAAGCTGGTACGAAAATGGGAAGGACCCTATCGCGTAAGGGCGATCATCAGGCCGGGCACTTACCAGCTGGAGACCATGGAAGGTGGACGAGTTGACCGGCATTGGAACTCGCACCACTTGCGTAAATTTTTTAGATAAAGTGTAATGAGTCCCCGGTTATTAATAAAACTTTGATCTTTTCAGAAAGATTGTTCTTATACATAGCCGGTAATTGGTCGCACACCAATCTGCCCGGTTAGATGTCCAATCGAATTGGGCATCTCAAAAAAAAAAGAATAGAGACCGGTCGAACCGATCATACACTTCATCCGTACTAACACGGAGGTCAAACGGCGTAACTAAAGGGAGAGCATCCCAGTCAGTTATGTCAAACGTTTGAAGAAAAATATAAGGCTTACCTTTCCACAAGGGCAGCAAGCCGTTGTGAAAGGACGGCCGGCTTCACAAGCGCCCGGGCAAAAGACTTTCCTTTCGAAAAGGACAAGTCAAATAGCCATCGCGGGTCTATAAACCGACCGGGAGGAGATTAGTCGAATCTATTCTCTCCCCGGTCTCCCAGTCAGTCTTTCGAAAGGACTTGGGTAAAATCGTGTAATAGATCGGGTAATTGCAGCCGGGCTGTTACTTACTAATCTACACGGTTAAAAATTTTTATATTGAAAGGAATTTATAAGACAAAAAGTAAAGTACTCAGGCACTCAGCATACGATATGGAAAAAAGAACTTGCATTAATATTGTAAAGTCTTACAAAAAGTTCCCGGAGGCTAATCATTACATATAAAAAAATAAAAAAAATGATGAAATGATCGGAGAAGAAGGCCGGGAGGTCAGATCCCAAGGAAGGGCGGAACCGGCGCCTCATCGTGCAGCTCGGGTAGAGAAAGGGCCTTGGGCTGAAAGCCTTGGATCCGCTGCCCAAGGATGCCGTATAGGGCCCGCCGTTCATCGTACTGGCCGCTCTCAAAACCGTAGGTTCCGATCTCGTCGACGATCCCGGCCGAAACATTGTGCTTGTATAGGCCCTGGAAGAAGCGGATGGCTGTCTCCCGGTCAGGCAGAGCTCGAGCGGTGAACTCTTCCGGCTCTTGGGTCACCCAGGCAGCGGCAAGGGCAGCACGCTCCGCCCGCTCCTTCGCCAGCTTGTCTCCCAGCCGAGCGATCTCCTCAGCAGATTGGGCGTTGTCGGCCTCAAGCTGCTGAATCTTCTCTTGGGCCTGCGCATCAGCCTCTTTCGTAGCCTTGAGGAGACCATCATGCTTGGCATAGAGCTGGCGGTAAACTGCACAGTGCTCTACCAGCTTCTCCTCTGCCTTCTCCGCCTTGGCGTGGGCGGCCTGGGCATCCTTCCAGCATTCTACCATCATGGCCTCCAGCCAGGCCTTCTCCTCATCCCTAGACTTCACCAGCCGGGTGAAGTACTCCAGGCCAATCCGGCCGACCTGCTTTAAAGACATGGAGATTTTTTCAGCGAAATGGATTAAAATAGAAAAAAATAGACAAAAAGAGCAAGGGATTTACCTCTTGCAGATCTGATTGGAAGGCTTGGAAGAGCTCTTCATCAGACCGGACCATCAGAGCGAACGATCGGGGCTCGCCGGGCTCTTGGCCGACGTCGGAGGACTGGGCCACGCGCTTGGCCGGCTGGTCAACGACTTCAGCCCTTCGTCTCTTCCTCGTCTCTTCCTTTGAAGAGACTCTTCAGCAGCCTCCTCTTCGCCGTGGCCTTCCCCGTTTTGGTGGCCACCCTGACCGGCCTCGGAGGTATGGCCGGTTTCAGCCAGCATGTTATCAAACTCCAGGGTATCTACATTTATGTAGAGTTCCCCGGAGTGGATTGGCCGGCTGGTCCCCTGTTGAGACTGGGCCGGCTGCTCCTCTAGTAAGAACGGCTGGCTGGATGGTTGGCTGAGGGGCTGAGCAGTGGAGGGCTCCTCAACGACGATTTTTGGGGTCGCAAATTTGGATTGGAATTTCACCACTGAAACAAAGAGAAAAAAATCGGTTAGTAAAAAAGAGTTGGCAAAAATTTTAAATGAAAGAGTTGAGAAGGGCAGTGGGTGGAACCTTTCTCCTTCTTCTTCTTCCCCGGGCGCGAGGGATCGGCAGCGGCGGTGACCGGGGCTTTGGACCCCCTCACCCGGTGAATTGGGATGGCATTAGGGATCGCTTCGGCCAGGACAATCTCCAGCTCGGGATCAGTCTCCCGGCCGGGATAGACGCTGCACTTCCCCACGTTATAAAGACCACGGGTGGAGGCGTCCCCGGCCCGGAGAGTGGTTTCCCAAGCGACCAGGTCATCGGTCTCCGCGGGTTTGACCTGGCGCTTCATTCTCTTCCCCCTGACATTTTGGGCAAAGGGAAAAGCTGCCGGGGGAATTTGATAGACACGTATTTGTCCTTCCACTTCTTGTTAGAAGGAGGAAGGCCACAGAGAAATGCCCGGCCTTGGTGGGAGGATACAACCACAAATCCAAGGGTTTCCTTGGACCCGGGCCGGACATCAAACATGTGATCGAAGAAACGGAGGGAGAGAGGGATACGAAGGAACCGGCAGACATTGATGAAGCTATTGAGCATACGGTGACCATTTGGGGCCATCTGCCCGGGCATGATCCTGTATGTCTCAAGGAAGAGGACTTTGAATGGGTGAATGGAGAATTCACCCAGGTCCTTGATGGAATGATAATGAATACCAATCGATGTACCGGTATGGAGAGAAATAATATTCTTCCACGAAGCACAGTAAGTCAATTGGTACCCCGTCAGGCATAAGGTTGCGCAACTCGTGGACTTGGACTTTCTGCATATACGATGGTTGCTCTTGAAGCAACTGGTCGTCTAGCTGAATGAAGCCCTCATCCCCAGGCTGGGCAACCGAGACCACTTGTGCCGCAGAAGAAGAAGGGGCACCAGTGGGGGCATCAACCGGCTGCCTCTGTTGAGAGGTAGCCGGGCGCTCAGAAGATGAAGAAGAGGAGGAACTAGAGGTCTGAGACCGGTCACCAGAACCGTAAGAGTGAACAGAAGAGTTCTGGCTGTCCTCACGATCAGACATGACTCAAGGGAAAAAGGGAGAAAAAGAAACTTACTTGGAATAAGAGGACTCGGAGGACTCATGAAATAGTAGAAGCAACCGGGCAGATTTTTAGTTGGAGATTTGCAAGTGAGAAAATTCAAGGGGGAACCTCGCTTTATATAGGGGAGATGCCGCCCAGCCAAACGAATGGCAGAGCGACACGTGGCAGCCGAAATGATTCATCATCATAACCTCTCGGGGAGACGAAACGGCACAACAAATCAGCGGCTCCGTACCAAATTTCAATAAAATTCTCCCGCCTTGGATTCCCGGTTTTCAGAAATTCAAATTTCAAATATTTTCGAGTTGGTTCCGGTTTGCAGAAACCGTTTTCCCGCCAAAAATCGACTGGGCAGTTCAAATTTCAAAGGACGATCGCATGTGCTTCCCGCCCCTGATGGTTCCCACAGGACCGGGAATCGGAGGACTCCTTGATGGGTAATAACCCATGGATGCCGCCCGGTTGGTCCGACCGCCTGGGTGGTACCGGATGTGACAACGCGCGACCTCTTCAACCCGGGTGCGTGACCGGTCTGGATGAATAGGCCGGGCGTCAGAGACGCAGATTCTATTCTCAAAGTGTGACTAGGGAACCGGTCAGAAGACTGACCGGTTGGATAATCAGAGACGTGCTTAGGATTATTATAAATACCCCTAAAAGCCTCATTTGTAAGGGTATGCTTTAATTAATCCACGCGGCCTGTACTGTTGTAATAGTTCCTATTATCATTAATAACAAGCCGGGTTACGGGTGTTTCCACCTACAACCCTTCCGATTACTTTACTTAGCATTCGCGTGGTAATTTACACCATCAGAATCGATATTGCGAAAAATGAATTGGAATTGACAGAATTCAATTTTATGGAATTGAATCTCATGGAATCTCAATTCCAATTCAATTCCAATTCCGTCAATTCCGTATGCCAAACGCACCCTGAGTGTTATTTTAGTTTTTTTTTGCCCATACTTTAGTCTTTTTCCCTAAATCTTAGGCAATTGTCCCCAAAATTGCAGTTCCTTTTGGTCAAGAGATTAACAGATTCCGCTTAAAACCTAATCATCCAGGCAATTGAAGAGGGAAACAGAAATAAAAGCAGCAGAAAGAAAGCGCATTTACTTACGTTTGGTGCCGAGTTTAGAGAGCTTGCCGTCCACAGTGAGGGCGTCGGAGTGGGAGTCGCCGGTGGAGAAACCGCGAGCCGAGAAGAAGGAGAGAAGAGACTTCCAGGTTACAGACGAAGCTATGAGATCGACGCCTCTGCTTATGAAGTGCCCGTTGAGCTTCAACGTTGCTGGTTCAATCCCGAAGGTCCGGGCTATGTGCCCCAAGTCGATTCTCTCGTCTTCCCAAGCAACCACCGGCACTAACTTCGATAGGGATGGGCAGAACAGATTTATCGTTCTCTTCTTCTCTTCCGCCATCGCTGAAATTCAGAGCTCTCTCCCTCTCCCCTGCGCGATCCAAAGGTTTCTGGAAGGGTCTACTGTCTAGTTTCAGGAAGACTGGATGCAAATTGCAAAGTTGCTCTGTGGGTTTAAAAGCCCAAAAAAATCCATCCGTTATAAACTTCGTTTGAAGTTGGGGCTTGTGTTTTTTAGTTTCTAAACCATCAAAATTTAACCAAAAATAATAGGGGTACACCAAATGGGGTATCCCATTTGTACCCCTCCATCTCCACCACACAAATACAAGAGAGAAAATAAAATTTAAAATTGAAAAAAGAAATGGAGGGTTATGATGAGTGATGTACAAATAGGGTACACCAAATGGTGTACCCCTAGCATTCTTCAAATTTAACATACTCTAACTTCAAGTTAACAAAATAATTCACACCTTTACACATCATCAATCCTTTTCGCGCGTGCACAAACATCATATCATATACGGAGTATATTTTAATCATTTTGTGTCATACAATTAGACAAGAATATTATGACATTAAGTTTTAATAGTATGACATTAAGTTTCAATATCATATTATTATGAGAGATTATGTGTCGATCATGCGAGGATGACCAATGATACACAAAAGATGGGACAAAGTGATACTTGAGGGTTCGCCAAAAACATGGTCGCACATTGAAGCATTTGACTGCCGAAGTTTACAATTATAGAATATGACTTGGTACGGGTGGTTCTATCTATGTTTATGTTTTTTTTTGCGAAGAAATGTTGTTTCACTATTGAATAATATCAAAGTTTAGAACATCACAAATAAAAGTTATATAAACAAAAACCCATTCTAAAAAACATGTATGAAATCACGTGTTCGAGCTAACAAATGAACCATCTCATAATTTGAATTTCTAAACTTTAGTAATTACTTGTATTAAGGTTTAAGACTTCAGTGATTATTAGATGTAATTACATACTCCATATTTGCATAGTTTATATATATCTTGCCTCACCTTAGTCAAGCATGGGCATTAAATTAGAGGCCAGGACTAATTTATGTTAGTGTTAATTAATAAAAAAGTGTTAATTGATCAAATCATAACCAGGGTTGTTGAACATTAGGCCCGGATTGAAGAAATTGACCGAACCGGGCTGCTACGTCTGGATAGAGCAAGAACCGACAATATTTAAGGTCGGTCTTCGGTCCAAGTTTTATATGTTTTCAGGTTTTGGTCTGATCCGGTCCAAACCTGAATTTATTTTGACCATGCCCGAAAAGACTGATTACTACTTGGTCCGTCACTGAGTGTTTGTCCACTTTTGACTTTTGGAACTGTTCATCTAAGCACTTTGACTCATCAAATTCTCTCAATGTGTAAGCCTAAAGATAAGTCATGTGTGATCTTGTTTGATTTTTCTTAACATATAGATTATTAATATATAATTTTTATAATTTTTTAATATATAAATTACAAAATAAAATGGATTAAAGAAGTGCATTGGATGGTGTGCAAAAATGAAAGTGGACAAACACTCAGGGACGGAGGGAGTAATAAATACGAGTATCACCTATTTTTCTTTCAATTGGGCAGTCACAAATTTACGATTGTATCTTTCTTCTTCCCGACGAGGCATGACCACATCTCTACCCCAACCCCATTCTTCATAGTTCACATCTCTCCTCGAGATTTCCTCACCAATTCTTCATCCTTTAGTGACTCATCTGAGACAATAAAAGGTTCATAATTTCCTTACAAATTTCTGATTTGATAATATTACTGTAATTTAATTTTAATTTTTTAGTTGATTACAAACTTTTGATTACTGGTGGTCACTTCTCAGATTTAGCCCATATGTTCATTTATTACTTTAAGTACGTTTAGGTTTGAATAAACATGTTATCCAACATCTACAATAGTTGATAATTGATACATTCTGCATTTTCAATTCAGACTTTTCGGTTCTAATTGGTTTGATCCAATCAATTTCGGTCTGATTCGATCTAAACCCGACTACTTATATATCCGGTCTTCGGTACTCCTTTTATTTGATGTCAGTCCTCGATCCAATTCGGTTTCGTCCGATTCTGTACCCGATGAACCGCCCTAATCACAACACAAAGTGATTCCAAAGTTGGGCTGGATTTCAATGGTTATATGGACCAAAAAGCGTAGATGGGCAAAAGGATAAAGTAAGTCCGAACACAAAAAGGGCCTTTCTGTCGTCGTCTGCATGTCCAGCCCAGTCACAGGCAAACGACGAATAGCAAACGAGCTTAGAGAGAGAGAGAAAAAAGAGTACCGTTTAGAGAGAAAAAAAATTTGGGGCAAACGAGCAAGCACGAAGACGAACCAGGAAACCATTTTTACCAGTACCAGGATCGCATATATGCATTCATATTCTCTCTTGTTTATGCGCACAGCCATAATCATTAGCTCCTGGGGCTCTCTAGGGTACATATTCACGCCCGTATTGGTTCTAGGGCAGGTGTCCTACACTTCAATTTGAAGCCCCTTTGAACATTTCAACAAAACAAAAAAAAACCCTAGAATCCAGAGGAACTTTGCGGGACGACGAATTTCTTTCAATTGCTTGCAATTCCTGCTCCGTATTTCGTGACTCAGGTATTGTATTCATGAATATGTTCAGGAAACCCTAGAATTTGCTGCCCAGTTCATCCTTCTGCGAACCCTAGAGAGCTGGGGCAGGAGCTCGGGTTACTCTCTAGGGTTTTCTCTCAGTTAGAATGTGAGTTTGGGGGCTGTTCCTCTAGTTTCTTGCATTTTGCCTGCATTTATGGGACTTGTGCATCTTAGGTGATGTCGTTTGTCATGGTACCAATACCAGAGGCATAACTAAATGCTTTAACTATGTGTTCACCTTACATATGACAACGTGGAATTATGATTTCTGGAGCTGGGTGTAATAGGGATTGACATGCCTTGTTGCTAAAGCAGTCAGCTTGTTCTTAGCTGTGCTCAGTGTGCTGCAAAAATGTGTGCAACATAATTGAGACACTTTTTGGTGAGCTTGAGTACCCTCAGCTTGAAGTTTGAATGGTCACTAACATGAATTTGTATGTCATCAAGCAACCAATGCCATGTAGTGTTTACCAAAACACCGATTTAGTTTTTTTTGTCCTCCTGTCATTGACAACTGAATGGTTGTGTTTTGCATTTCATGGGTGTCATATGTGCTAGAATAAAAATGTGAAGTGTTAAGTATTACATTATTTCCTGTTTTGTATAGTTTTGATTTGTTCGATCTCAACATAATTTTCTCTCTCCCCATTTGGTTCACTCAGTATGCCCAATTGTTGTAAAGAAAACTCAATGCATTTGTGAAGTTATGTGTGTTTTCAATCTTGGAGCAAGTACCAGAGGCAATTGTATAGAAATGCATGCATCGAGGCTTATTTAATTATTGTTTCTTGTACACGCAAATTAAATATTGTACTCATTTTGTCTCGCTTTAACAACTCCAACTAAAATTTTGTGTGGTCAAAGATATCAACTTTGTCTAATATATTTCCTAGTCGTCCCCAACAGAAATTCATGGTTTGACTTCACGGATTTTAAAAAACGTATTGGAAAGTACAAATTGTGCGGTTAAAATTTGTTTAAAAGAAAGAAAAATGTTTTGAGCCGCATATTTATTTCCTTAAAAGGAAAGGAAAGAAGTGAGGTTGCATTACCGAGATGGTCTTCAACGGAGGCAGAACTGAAGAAGTTGACTGCAGCTGGTTGGGTTTTTGTTAGGTTTTGGGCCTTCTTGTTCTGTTTTATCAATTCACTTTTGCTCTTATTTGGAGTGTTGGGCTCCTTTTGTATATGCTTCTTGAATAAAATTTGGTAAGGGTTCCCTAGGGCCCAGACATTACCACACCAATTTTGGTGGAGTTCACTGGGAGAAAAAAATAGCGTGAAGTTTATTTTGAGATGGGCAAAAAAGAAAGTGTGGGTTATGGGTTAAGACTTAAGAGTACTCTGATAAAAGTACACAATATAAAGTTTTACCAAAATTTACCAATTAAAAGCCTTGGGTTTTGGAGAGATGACATACCATTTTCGTTTTACCACACTATACCTTTTTTTTATCCTTATGTTATGCCCTTTTCTCCCTTAATTGTTAGTTGTGTAAGCATATCACCTTCTTTAATATACATAAATGCAAGTAGTGCAGGTCTTCCTATGAGTTTTGAAGTTCTGGAATACGAACACACATAGGCACACACCTTTCTTGGACAAAATTGTTATTTTTTCACGGTCAATGAGTATGACCAATTGACCATATGAGCCTTTCTAGCTTTCTTTTCCAATTATGCCTTAGGCAAGACATGCTTGAATGTATTTTTAGCTCACTTCCCCCATATTGTCACCAATCAAAGTATGAACATTTGTAAGTATGATTGCATTTTTCAAACCAAACAATATCCAGCGGAGCTTGGGTAAATAATCGACTAAATCAAAAGGGCACATTAAACTTACTTTGTTTCTTACTTTCTATGAAGCTTTTGGTAGTAAATGCAGCAGCGCCTAAGGATCCATCGAAAATTAAAACAATCTAGACTCTTTAATTTTTTTAGGGTCTAACACCATCTCTATTGGGCACGTACATCTTGACCCCCATGACCCCAACAAAGTTGGGATTGTATGGGTTTTTTGTTGTTGATGGCATTTTTTAAACCAATACCACAATTTTATATTTGTTTGTAGTTAAATGAAAGTATAATAGTTGTTGGTGTTAGGAAGCATAGATGCACTGAATGTGCTCTTGTAGTCAATGCCGAGGTTGATTTGATGGGAGGAGTTGCTGAAGGCGGACCTGGTGGTGGTACCAGAACCTCTCCTTGGAGTGCATCCCTTGAGAAAGTTCAAGAAAAACTTAGGTAGTGCATCATCTTTTGCCTACACGTTTTCTTATTTCAGTTTTCTGACTAATTGGTGTTTCATGGCAGGCAGGAGTTTGATGTCCGAGAGGAAAGCAGAAGGCAATTAGAATTTCTTGAGAAAGTATGCAAAAGCATTTAAGTTCCATGTTTGGTCTTTCTTTTTTCTTTTAAAAATCATCTACGGATTTTCTGAATGCTTTGATCCTTCTACCTACAGGGTGGGGACCCACTGCAGTTCAAATATGGAAATGCTGCTTCAGTTAGTGTCCAGTCCACTTCATTGACACAACCAGATCAGTTCGGCATTAGGTATATATCTGGGGTTGTATTAATAGCCTATTCAATGTCCTATATTTTCTGCCATTGTGGTAATTATGTATTTCTCATGTAAATTTCAGCGAAGCAAAATGTAGTTTTGCATACACTGCATCACCTCATGGAGATTCTGTTGAAAGCATTGGTAGGCCTGGGACCACTCAACTTTGTGAACCAAATAGTGCTGATAACCTTTTGTTATTTGATGGTGAAAATGTAAGTGTCCAAGGGGAACGGATGTCTAGACATCTTGGTAGGACTGTAGGTTCTATGTTGGAACAGTCAACCCAGATGCACGGAAATAGAGGTGCTAAGGAATTAGGAGATTCTGCAGCTTTTGATGTTCCACGAAAAGCGTACAAGCGGCGGTTCAGGCCCCGGACAAATCGTGATGGTGGCAGATCTAGTTCCAACGATACCCTAGTTTCCGTTGGATGTGGATCTTTGCCTTCCCACAATGGTTTCACTGATGCAAAAGGAGTGACTGTTGATGCAAAGAACAAGACCATCCAAAATGGTATAGGGCTTCCAGCAAGTGCAAATGATGATGTGCCTTGTAAAACTATACCTTCTAAAAATCAAGATAATTTGGAGTCTGCTGGTGGGAAGGCTGCAGAGTCAACAGCAGGTGCAATGAAAGGTGGTGAGCATATTGTACCAGATATTATATATTCTAACGATGAAGTAAATATCAAGCAAGGCCAGTGTTTAGTAGATGTTTCTCAAGAAAGTCCAATTGAGGTGGCCCGTGCAGGACCTGAGTCATTGCCAGAAAAAGAGAAGATTGGCCTTGCCGGCCAACTCTGTGGGGATTCTGTAAAGGTTGACAACCTACCGGATTCCAGCCAGATATACGGGTTATCCAGTGCAAATGGTGACAAGAAACACCTATCAAACAACAATGAGATGTTGCCCACCAAGGGTTTAGAGCCCAAGTTGTCTTGCACTCACACCTGTCATCGTATAGATGGAAATACTGAAAGTGAAATGCGTGCTAACTTAAAAGTGTTAGATTCCTATGTGGATACAAAGGTTAACCCCTCATTGCCTGAAGGAATAACAATTACAGAAATGAAAGACGTGGAAGATTGCAAGGCTGATGACGGTTGTCCTTTTATTGGAGAAGGATGCAATCCTATGCATAAAACTGACCAAAATATTGACTTCGGACTAAAGCCATTGAAAGAACTAGCTAGAAGTGAACCTGATCTCCACGATAAGGCAAAAGATAGAAATCTTATTGAAGGCAAGGAATCAGTCAGCTTCCCTTCATCAGAAACTGATTCAAAACAGATTGTAGCTGTAGGCGACAATTCTAACCATCGAAATGACAAGGCGTATGGTGTTGACCTTCAGGTTTCAATTGATTCATCCATTCCACAGCTTGTGGAAGCCACTCCAATTGATGAAGTTCCAAGTGCTCCCTCTGTGGGACATCAATCTGAGGTCAACATCCAACTGGTTAGCAAAGTTGATGAAGATTCAATATTGGAAGAGGCACAAATGATTGAGGTTGTCTTTTATTTTCAAGACTGACTTGTATTTGTGCTTCTGTTTGTTCCATGGATGTTTGCTGTTGACTTTGATCTTCCAATTTTCTAACACAATTTCAAAAATTAGGCAAAGCACAAGAGGATCACAGAGTTTTCTGCTGTAGGCTGTCCAATGGAGAATCGCCAAAGATCTCACTGGGATTATGTGCTTGAAGAGATGGCTTGGTTGGCCAATGATGTTGCACAGGTTTGGATGTTGCCCCAAAATGATTTCTTTTCCCAGTTCTTATCTTTCTGTTTATGGATGAATATAGCCTAGAAATTGTTTATCAATGGTTTAAAACTACATGGCTCATGTAGGAGCGTCTCTGGAAAAGGACCGCTGCCTCTCAAATCTCTTATCATGCTGCTTTTGCCGCTCAGTCGGGATTCCAAGAACCAAACAGTTGTTGGAAGCAAAAAACTATAGCTCATAGTTTGGCCAAGGCTGTTATGGGATTCTGGCATTCGGTGAAGGTATGAACAAATGTTGATTTTTATATGCTGTAGTGTTGTTCATTCTGCTTTTGATTGGCTGTGGTATTTGCCTTTTTTTCATTTTCATCAAGTGACTTCACCCTTCATTTCTTTTTAAAAGTTTTTCTTCGGGCATAATTTACTAGCAGGGGTCTATGAACAACCTGGTGCTGCAATGTCCCAACAAAGGTTCTGGTTCTGCTATCAAGGAATATGCCGTGAGATTTCTGGCGTATAATTATAATGAGCATGCAACACCAGGCAAGATAGCTGATTCAGAAGTTACAGACTTGTCTTGGCAAGACCATTTGACAGAAGTATGGACAATCCTTGGTGACTCTTTCATTATTATTGTTATGTTACATTTCCTTTTGTGGCCTCTTTTTTGGTCTGTATAGTATGGATTGTGTTTCCATCTAATAGAGAGTTCCTTGTATGGAGGCGAGGTGGATTTTGTACTTTGAATTGGTATTAATCTTTTTGTAAGATTTGTAGTCGCTTAGCCCTGCTCAAATTACATTGATGTTACCTTCTTGCAGGAGAATCTCTTCTATACTGTGCCCTCTAATGCAGTTGCAATGTACAGACAATCTATTGAATCTCATGTGCTACAGTATGAGGTAATCATTGACCTCACCTGTTTTTTTATATTCTCACTATGAAAAAAGGGCAGCCGGGTGCACTATCATTGAAAATAATATGCTCCTTCCATCCCTAAAAAAGCGTATTGTCTCAAAAAAATTCCCCTCAAAACGAGTCCAATTTCATCAACAAAGCTAGTTTATCATGTAATGTAGAAAAGGTTACAAAGAAGGTAAATTTAATGAATTAAGTAGAACCAACAAAGAAACTTTATATATATATATATATATATATATATAGGGCCCGGTTCCTGTGAGAATGGTTCATTTTTGTTCGCCCATGGTGCATTTTTCTACGCGGGTAGTGCATTTTACAAAGTTTCATTAAATTACAAAACTGCCACCGTGTTTTTTTCAATTTTTTCTTATTTTTAAAATTTTTATGGCCCTTAGATCTCACATTCTAAAGCACCACATGCATTCTCATTTCTCTCCTAAGATCTCATTCTCACCAGAACCTATATATATATATATATATATATATATATATATATAGACACACACACACACCACAAACATACTAATGCATGCATGCATGCATACATACACTCCGTATATAAAAGATTTCGTGACTGTTAAGATCTGTACCTTGCCAAAACTAAAAAACTACGGAGTATTTCTTAACAGAAGTCTCTGGCTTAGGTTTAGTCTCTTGTGATGAACTGATGAATAAAATCAACTGGTGAGCTGGCCTATTACCATTGCCATCTGTTCTGCTAGTAGTTTAGACTCATTTCAGGAATTTGCTTATTTCTCCATCTGTCAAATAATTAATTTCATCGGTTCTCTACTGATGCTGGAGTTAAACAAAGGACAACAATTGATTTACAGGGTTTGTAGCTTTGTATAATACAACTGCTCTAGGGACATCACTTTGAAATGTCAATGATACACTTTTGTCATCGGGACTTGGGAGACCCCACATAATATTACAACATAAATCTTCAACATAATGGTAGCACACTATCATCATAAAATAACAATTGTCAGACATATTCCTTCAGTGATCTTCCAGTGTATTTTTTAAAAATGAAGTTCAAGCTTTTGCACACAGCCAGTTTTTTTTCACTGTTGTCATTACCTACTTTCAGAAAGTTGGCAGTAGCATGCAAGAGGAGGTTGATATGTATGCTCGTGAGGCTGTTGCAGGTTTATTTTTGAAACCCATCACTTAGTTATCTCTGTAGCCTAGTTTCTTGACTGGTAGACTGTTCATTTTTGGCAGACTTTGGGTCTCAAGATCATGCCTATGAAGAGGATGAAGGGGAAACAAATGCATACAACATGAAAATTACCTTTGTAGGTAGCAACCCGTCTAGATTTGCCCAGAAAAAGCATAAAATCAAGATGCGGACAAATAATGGAAGATCGTATGACATTGGTGCCCACTTATCGTTTTCCCACGGTGTTGAAAATAAAGTATTGAACCAACGGTATTTGAACCAGTCTAAACGACCTTGCAGCAGTATGAATGTGTCTTTTCCAACAAAACGCATACGAACTGGTTCTAGGCAAAGAGTTTTGAGCCCATTTATTGGTAGCACATCAAGTCATCAGCTGCCCCTCAAGACAGATGCTTCAAGCGGTGAAACCAGTTCGTTTCAAGATGATCAGAGCACTTTACATGGAGGATTACACATATCAAATACTTTAGAAGTTGAATCTGTAGGGGACTTGGATAAACAATTACAGTTTGACTCTACTGAAGCATTTAGCAAACCAAAAAAGAAGAAGAAGGCCAAGTTTCTGGTATTTGATAACTTTTTTTTGAACTCTGGTATTTGATAACTTAAATTCACTGAGAAGTTACAACTTTGAAATCCACTGTTTTGCTTTTGATTTTTTGTTGTGTTTATTTCATTTTTCTTTTCAGAATTCTGCATATGAACAGAGGTGGCTGAATGAATCTGGTTTTCAAAATGAGCAGGTTCTTTACCCCCTTACTTGCTACCATTTTTTCTTAATTGTTTATACAGTATGCTCATATGGCCTTCAAAGTTCATGATTATGGTGATGCCAGTTTTTTTTACTTTCCTCTATTAGCATTATGTTGTTTTTTTCGGCATGTACTGTTCTATGCTGCGTAAACTTCTCTTTCCATCACTGTTCTTACGTCTTCTTTTTTAAACCTGCCCCTCTAAATATCATTGTGTGTCTACTACCGATCAACCATATCTCTTGAACAAATTTTCTGAAGATCTCAATGAATAATTAGACTATTAGAGTGAAATGAATGTGTTTTAATGCACTGCATTTTTTGGGCCCAATTTAAGAATTAGTTGAAGGATAATTGAAGTCTGTTTTTTTCTCGTAGTGCCCATTTCTTAAGTTTGTATTTGAATGTTTGTTCATGTGAATTAAATAAATTGTGTAGTTATCTCAACGGATTTAAGCCAGTGTTTCAATTTTATCACAACCATTTTTCTTGGATTTGTTTCAATGAACTTCTAAGAACATTTTCTCTATTTCAGTTTTTTTCTCTTATTTGTATTGAGGGTTTGTATAGAATGTCATGAAAGTTAACACAATTTTTGAATAAAAGTAAAGTTACACACTATTATCAAATGTAAAACTGGTGGGAAATAATATAATTGACATTTGACACATTCAACTATATGAAAGCCTCTGTTTGTTTAAGAGCCATGTGGTAGCTTTCTTGAAACTTCGCAAGCTAATTCTGTCAACTTTTTCATTTGATTTTTTGGATTGCTGATAGCTTACATTGTTTTCATTCACAGAGAGAGAATTCCAAAAAAAGGATGGATGGTCTTCAAATTGAATCCAACTGCAATGCCGGTAATCTTTTTAATCAATTCACTTAAGATCCTTACATTGACTGGTTTTACTCTGTTTTTTACTTGTGCCGTAAACACATCATTCTTTTGAAGGTCTATATGGTCTTCAAGTTTCAAAGAAGCAGAAGATTATGCGACCCTTAATGGAAAATTCTTTTGACAATGCATCTCCTGTTGGGGGGTCCATCCCATCGCCTGTGGCATCCCAAATGAGTAATATGTCCAACCCCAATAAAATAATAAAAATGCTCACTGGCCGCGATCGCAGTAGGAAGGGCCGAAATTCAAAGGTACTGAACCAGATCCAGTTTTTCTATCTATTTACCTTTTTTTGTATTCTCTTCTATGTCTGTTTTGAGAAGTTTTGAAGAAAAGTTGCATTAAGATATTTTTATCCTTCTCCCAGAGCCCAGCTGGACATATCACTTCAGGAAGCCAATGGTCACTACTTGAGGACCAGGTAGAATCTGATTGGCTTTGATTAACTGTATTTTGGTTCTTGTAAGTATGCTTCAACTGAACTGAGATTGATGCCAGGCACTTGTTGTATTGGTGCATGACATGGGGCCAAATTGGGAGCTTGTGAGTGATGCGATCAACAGCACTTTGCAATTTAAGGTTAGCCCATTTGAGATGGTCTATCATGATTTTTTGCTAACTTTAAAGATTCATTTCTAAGTAGTATGCTATGCATTTCTTTTCTTTGCTGCAATATTTCTCTCCTGAAGTTCCTGGCAACCTTCACATACAAACGAGTTCTCTCCACCCTTTTTCCCCTGTCCATCCCTTCCATAAATCAGAATTTTAGAACTGCTAAAATGTATGCAGTGTATATATCGCAAACCTAAGGAATGCAACGAGCGGCATAAAATATTAATGGACAAAACTAATGGTGATGCTGCCGACAGTGCTGAAGAATCAGGACCTTCTCAACCTTATCCTTCAACATTACCTGGTATCCCCAAGGTATCCCTTCCATTCTATATTTTCAGAGGCTATATAACATTTTCTCAAGCTAGTCTGTGTGATTCATAAAATATTTACTGTGAAGGGAAGCGCAAGACAATTGTTTCAGCGTTTGAAGGGTCCAATGGAAGAGGATACCCTCAAATCTCATTTTGAGAAAATCATCTTGATAGGGCAAAAGTATCTATTTCATAAAACTAAGGTAAGCTCTATATTACCTTAAAAAAGGTAAGCTCTTTATCTGCTTGACAGTCCAGCCGCATTTAAAGTCTTTTCTACTTTATATGACAAATTTCAAAAATTAAGATGTTAAACATCAATTTTTTTTACTGGATCTTGGACATATTTTCTCACAAACTTTGCATCATTCCCTGGGGATTACTACCTTAAGATTATTTTTTTGTGGTCGAGAAAAAGAGCTGCTTGTTTAATTAGTACTTGTAGAATAGCTTATTTTGCTGTAGGTCTTTTGAATAATTGGTGCTTGTTCATTAGTCCTTTAGTGAGATTTTGCTGTAGGGATTTTGAATAAAATACTTTGGTGCACATTTGAGAGTTGAGACTTTTTCCTAATTTAATGGATTTCAAAATGAAGAAATTAAATGTGCAATGAGTTCATGAACATTCAAGCCCCAAAAAAGACCGTGCAATATGCTCCCTTTGCTGAACATATAGCTGGGAGCTATTATGGAGCATTTTTTAAAATCAATTTATTTTTTTTTACTGTTGTTCTGTGTTTAAATACTCATGTATATTTACTCAATATCTGGCTCAACAATTTGAGAATTGAGAAATGACATTCCAACAGGAGGTTTCAAGCTTTCATGCCTCTTTAAGACTACCAGTCTACCACTATGTTTAACTTTTTTATCCAGCCATAAGAGTGTGGGCAGGTGTTTGGCAGGAATATATGGGTTTAGTTTGGCTTTAATTTTTTAATGGTAAATGCTGTACTGAAGCATTTTTCAAAACCAATATACTTTCTTTACTGTTGTTCTGTGGGTAAATACTACTCCGTAGTATATAGCTACTCAATTTCTTGCTCAACAGTTTGAGAATTGAGAAATGACTTCCCATCAGGAGGTTTCAAGCTTTCACGCCTCCTTAAGACTACCACTAGGTTTAATTTTTTTTAATCCAGCCATAAGAATGTGGGCAGGTGTTTGGCAGAAATATATGCCTTTAGTCTGGCTTTAAATTTTTAATGGTAAATGCTGTACCTATGCAATTGAAGTGGTTTATGGAAACATATGATGCTCGTTCTTTGTGAAATCTTACACTTGGACAATCACTTTCGTATTTGGACTCTGTTCACTTTGTCTAATTTGCTTAGGTTTCATATGGTTGTTGCTTTGTTTCCATATGACTGTTGTCTCTTTCTTATTATTAAGGGTGATAGCCGTGAGCCGAAGCAACTACAGCAACCACACAGCTCGCATGCACATGCTCTTTCTCAAGTATTCCCAAATAATATGAATGGGGTACCACTATTAACGTAAGATCTGGATTCTACTAGACCCAATTTGTGCACTTCATGATATTTTACACTTTAGTAGTTTCAATTGATAAATCTTTGTTTCCTCTGTTATTAACACTTCATTTTACTCTAACCTCCTTTATTTGGTTACCCAAGGCCGCTGGATCTTTGTGATGCAAGTCCACCACCTAGTTCGGACATGGTTTCTAATGGACACCATAGTCCAAGTACATTAGCTGTTTCCAGCCCCACAGGTCTTCTTGGGGTTGCATCTGCCTCCACATCTGGTACGAATTCTTTCCTGCAAGGGTCTTCTAATATGGCTGCTGGAAACAACTTTCCACCTTCTTCAACTACTCCAAATGCAACAGCAGTCAGGTATTTTTGCTCAGAATTGTATTATGGTGCCACTTTTTAGTTAGTCCTTTTTGAGGGGAGCCATGTGAGCACACTTTGATGTGTCCACAAAACTAAATGTGGAAATAAAGTTATGTTCATCCATTAGACCCACATGGGACTCACATGGACTGCAACTAATGCATGCGTGCATGAGCTCCGTATTCTTTTTTCCACTGATGACCTCTGGACATTATTATCTCAATGTGTCATTTTTTACTGCCAGGGAGGGCCGATATTCTGTTTCAACATCTGCATCTGTGCCACCATTTACTGAACCACAGAGAATGCACCCGTGTAATCGTGTGCTGCCAGGGAGACCTAATTCTTCTTCCCCATCAGGTGCTTTTCCAGGGGCTAGCCCCAGTGTCCGTATGCTGCCAGGTGGCTCTACCAGAGGTGGTATGCCAGTTGTGAGACCTGGCTTTCAGGGAATTATTCCCACATCGCCTATGTTAAATTCTGGGAGCATGATCTCCTCTGTAAATATGCACTCTGGAATCGGCTCCAATAATAATAATAAAGGGAACCCAATGTTCAGACCTCATGATGCCTTGAATGTGATGCACCCCACCCCTCAAAGTAACAGCCAATTAATTCCTTCATTTAGTGGGGGTCTGAATTCATCATACCCCAATCAGATCCCCTCTCCGCCTTCATCATCATATGCAGTAGTACATCCACAAGGATCTAACAACCATGCAATAAACAACCCTCAGAAACAAGCTCTTATTCAGCTCGCGAAAGAGAGGCAGTTTCAACAGAGACTCTTACAACAGCAGTTTGGTGCATCAAATCCTGTGATTCCCTCCCCGCCCTTGCAAAATGGTCCCTCCCAAATTGCATCACAAACCTCTCCACCCACCACGTCACTTTCTCCCATGCCGTCTCATTCTTCCCCAATGACTCCAGCGCCACATAATCAACTGAAACAACAAAAACATCCAATACCACCACCTCATGGGCTGGGCCGAAGTGGTGCTCAAGGTGGGGCCAGCGGATCGCCTAATCAGGTGGTAGGTAAGCAACGGCCTCGACAGACGCAGATGCAGCATCAACAGAGTAGCAGGAGTCATCTTCAGCAACGTCAGCAATTGCAGCCACATCAGCAAGCTAAACTCATGAATGGTGCAGGGAGAGGAAATGTGATGAACGGGTCGGCTTCAAGCCCAGCTCAACCTTCAAATCCTCCGGTGGCCATTTCTAATACACAGATTCCTCAACCTATGCAAAAGATATATCCTGTAAATGCTTCTTTGCTGACAGAATCTCCTCAGCAAAAACCTTCTTGCTCTGAGGATGTGAACCAAGGCCATGGTCCACCAACTGCCTTGGGCTCCACGTCTTCTTCCGATCATCAACCGCCATCACATCCACCTCGGTTGCATCAAAAGAACTTGACAAATCAAAATCAACCTAATTCCCAGAGAGTAGCTAAGCATACCGTGTGCACTTCTTCTTTGGTGGGCTCAAACATGTCGGCACCTCAAGATGGCAGTGATGCAGCTGACGTAGGGATGGTCAATATTTCCCAATGGAAGGGTGTGGAGCCATTGCTTGATTCCGGTGGGGCCTTACCAGAAGTTAGCAGTAACCTAACGGACTGTGATATTGCTTCACAAGTTGCCCCGCCGGGAATGAGCCGGAGGAGATCCTCAGGCAACTTGTCCCCTGAGGAAGGGCACAATGCTGGTGTACAATTGCAGCAGTCACACTTGGCCCTGCACGAACCCCAACATCAGCATCAGTCAGGGGTTGTAGGAGCAGGGAATAACAGCTTGTATGATCGGCCAAGCAACTCCGGACCAGACTGAGTTTCGCTCAACGGATGTGAGGGTCTAGTGTTTGTGTGGCTGGCTTTACTCTGTTTGGATCAGCATGCTCCGGAATTAATGTGTACAGGTGATCCCATATTTTATGATATATACGCTTTATTCATTGGACTTTTATCATATTCTCCATCTAAAAAAAGCTCTCTTTGAAAATTTATTTTGTTCCAAAGTTAAAGTAAAATTTGAACAAAATAACCCATTTTTTATTATATCCAAGTGTATTTTTTTGAAAAAATTCCCAAACCACTTAGTGTGTTAATTATTATTAAAACCATCAAATACATTTTAAAATAAACCTATAATTCTAGATTTCAAGTAGCTGTAACTTAAAAGCTAGAACACCAATGCTGATCACAAATGTTGTCTCCAAACAAAGCCTAAAAAGCCTTGGATGCTTGATATAGTTTTGTCGCCACATTTGCTTGCGTTGAAGTGTGTAGTTCTCTGAGTAGTTCTCATTGTTCTTCGCAGAAGTCATGTCCATCGGAGCGCATTATTCACAGTGGTAATTCCAGGGTTTGCTCAAGTCAAGCAATGACAGAGGGCTAAAGTTTTTTTGGGGCTCTTTTTTTTTCTTTTGTATATTACCTACCCTACTTGTTTTAGATCCTCAGGCAGATAGGACCCACAAAGAGCTGTATACAGGGTCATGTTTTCTTCTTCTTTGCTTGTTTCTGTTTTTTTCTTCTTCTTCCCATCCTATTGTTAGAAGCCCTTCTAATCCTTAGTTCCCTGTGAATGGGAACCCCCATTTGTTTGTTCCAATAGGTCAACCCATGTATTATTGCTCTTTTTTGTATTATTATGGGGGCTTAGATGTCATTTTTATAGCCAAAGGCTATTATGGGGATTTTTTTCTCTGTGTGAATATATATTAGTGTTGTTAGCAGCAGTAGTAGCAGCAGCAAGAGCAGCTAAAATCACGTTGACCGTTTCGCCCTCCTCCATCAGGGCCTGTGCATTTCTTGTAAATTACTACCTTATTCCATTTCCACTTCAACAGTCCATTATTTGTGCATATTTGGGGCATGTTTGGCTGTGTGTGCATTTCGTATCTGTTTGGGATGAATGGTAAAATGATGGTTACTTTGCAACAACGTAAACATCTCAGGGTCTGTTTGGTTGCAGGGTTTGGAAGGTCCAAATGGGGTATGATTAGCTTATACTATTCCCCTGTTTCTGAAATAAGTTGTTTATCTTTTCATGAATTTTTTAGGAAAAAAAAAAGAAGAAAATTGTTGATAGAACTCCATAGAAGTTTATTCCGTACAAGCAGTTCATTTGTCTCTTTATATAGAATGGTTTTTTGGGTAGTATTCCTTCCATACTAATTTATATCGTCTGTTTTGATTTATGATACTTGAGTGAAGTTATTTTAAATATAATATATTTGAGAATTGAAGTGAAATTAAAAAATATTGTTGAGTACATATTCAAAAAATGCATCAAAAGAAGTTCTGCGAAATTAGAGATGACATAAGTATAATCTAATGAATTGAGCGATGAAAAAAGAGACAAAAGCGTATAATGTTTGACTATGAATAGGAAACAGATAAATTATTTTGCAGAGTATTGGCTTGTAAAGTTCTACCAGTACTATTTTGATTATGGAATAAAATTACATTTGAAACTTAGTAATAAACTAACTTTAATCGGATCATACATATGAAACCGAAACTATAGAGTAGACAAAGTGTACTACGAGTAGTTTCTTTTAGATTATTGAGAATGTGATCCCTTTGCCGTGGGTGGAGGGGTCATAGTTATATGTAGTGTATAAGCCGCTAATTAATTAACTTCGTTAATAACAAGGCAAATTCTTCTGTGGACCTAAAGTTCATGTTAATTCTATGAACCTTAGTGCATATAAGCACATGAAAAATGTGAGAAGGTCCAAACCATAATGGTATTGTTGCAATAAACTCTTTTTATTTAAGATGATATTTCAAACCTGTGAATTGTTGATAATAAAATTTGTACCAAATAGTACTAAAACATATTTCATTTCCCAAAGTAGTATTTAAACTTTTTTATTTTCTAAATAGTACTTGAATAATGTCTAATTGCGAAAATGATGTCTAATGATGGGATATCTAGTTTGAACAATGACCAATGGACAATGAACAGTGATACTACATTGAGACATGAAAATATATGATATTACATTGGAAAAGTCACTATGTTTTAGTAGTATTTAGAAAAAATTTACTTGTTCATATAGCTAGACATTCATAAACATTCAAAACACTATGGTCTCAAAGGTGGGGTAGATTATGCTTTTTTTTTCCTTTTCCATATCTTACGCAAGACTTTGAGTCATCTCAAGAGACTTTGAAACTTTGTGAATTGTGATCATCCATTACCCAAATGGGAATTGTGATTTCTCATGACTCCACTATAAATTTCGTAGGACTATCCAACTCCCCTCCCCCCAAGAACACATACAAAAACACTTTTCTTTTATAACAATTAACACACAAACACTATTTTATAAGTTAGAGTATATATATAGCTACAGTTCAATTCCATCCACATGGCGGCGGCGGCGGCTGCTGCTTCACTGATGAAACCCCAACCCCTAGCGGCGGCGGCGGCCATCTTGCTTGGCCTACTCCTCATTTTCATCTCATCCTCTTCTCCCCATCCCCTCAACACAAAGACGACGACAATGGCGACGGCGTTAACTACAGAACAAACTACCCAACTTCGTCCTTTTCGTATTTCTCCCCTGAAACAACCTACCAAAAGATTCTATTTTCATGAAGTCCCCTCGGGCACAAACCCTAAAGGTAACCGCCGGCGGTAGGTCGGTTACCATCTCCGGCGGGCAGATGGAGTGAAGATATATATACCAGGAGTCTATATCAAACCCTTTTAAGATGCATCCCTAGTGTCATTGTACAATGTGTACCTACTACCTAGTCAGGAATTTACCTAAATATTACTAAAACATGGTCAGTTTTTCAATGTAGTACTATATGTTTTTATTTCTCAATGTAGTATCGCTCGTCATTGTTCACTGGGCATTGTTCAAGTAAATGTTTTAGAAATCATCATAAATAGGACTAAAACATATAAAAAAGTACCAAAAAAGGACTTCCATATTTTTTTCCCGGAATAGGACTTTGCACTGTGGTAATGTGACTTTGCATTGTGGTAATGTGGCAATGTACATGTGCAAATTACTATGCTTTTTTGGTAATGTATATGACCATGTTTGGTAATGTAGTCCTATTTCGGGAATAAAAAAATGGAAGTCCTATTTTGGTATATTTTCAATGTTTTGGTCCTACTTTGCCTTTCTCCCTAAATGTTTACCGTCACTGGACATTGTTCAAACTAAATGTCCACCATCACTGAATATTGTTCCCGCTACTAGGCATTATTTAAGTACTATTTATGAAATAAAAAATTTCAAATACTATATTAGGAAATAAGATATGTTTTAGTACTATACTACTATTTGGTGCAAATTTCAAATACTCTATCTCTCTTACACAAAATTATTTAATACTTTGTGATTGAGTTTTTTGTGCTAACACTCCCTGAACTTTTCAAAAATTGTACGGATTGTCTCTCAACTTTAAAAATTAAATTTATCATTGCTGAACTTTTAAAAGCGTTGCAAATTATAAAGTCTCATGTTGTAAAAAAGGATGAGTCCCGTACCTGAGAACACCTTCAAAATCATGAACTTTAATCACAAATTTGTTGGCAAATAATACAGTCTGCACCTGATAATTGCAGAAATTCTATACTTAACATAATTACTCTATAGTCCAGTTGTCATGAATCGAACTCAAAACTTACACTCTTCACATCTCTTGCCTTGCCTGAGCCACACCCCCTTACATAAAAGTCATAAAATTAAAGTCTCATATTGTCTTTCTAGAAGTTGAATCCGACAATACGCCTATCAATAACGCTCCATCACCACACATTCTAAATCAGTAACCACTTAGCGTCACTTAGCTTTTTTATTTAAATAAAGAAAAAATATAAATAAAAAAGATTAAAGTACCCTAAGTAACACTAGTTGAGAATTGTATCGGTAACTTAACATTCAAATGTGTGAATATAATATTAGTAATCTTGTTGTACAATAATGAGCTAGAATTTGAAAAGCGAGATTATTTTTGGGTTTTTCTAGCCATTTGAAAAGCGATATTATTTTAGGAAGACTGCCAAAAAGTGAAAAATTAAAATGAGCTAGAATTTGATCCCACTACCAAAAGACTAACATTCAACTGAAAATTAGTTAAAATGTTAGCTAAAAATGCATAAATTAACTGAACTTGAGAAAAAAACAGATACATAGTAATTGAACCCTTGGCACATGCTAGACCCTTCACAAAAATGAAAAGAAAAAAAAAAGACACCAGCTGGTCAGTAAAAATCAAATGAAATCCGAACAAAGTAATCAGCTTGTGAGTAGAGGTTTTGCTTTGCGAACATGACCAATGCTATTTACAAGATCCTTTCGGGTGCAAACAGGGAACATGTTTATGCCATTCTTCATCACCTTGAGCCTTCTCCACAGAACATATGGGAAACTCAGTTGATCGCGTGACGTGTACCGGACCACCTCGTTAAACCAAAGACACATGAACACGTTGGTGGTCGGATTGTGCTCTCTCACGATTATCGACGCTTCAGCAAGAGCTGCACAAAGTTACCACCAAGGTACTGGTCAGTGAAAAAGAAAACTACAGCTGGAAAGGGAAACATTTACCTTAATCTCATCCCTAGGGTGTGTTTTGTATGGATGTGAAATTAACACTTTGGATTGTGTAGTGCGATTACAACAATTTAGGGTCCGAAATTTCTAACGGGGGTTCGATTTTTAACCAAACAAGTCAAATGATACTACCTTTGTCCACTTTTGACTTTTATTGGTCAAAGTTGGCAAACTTTGACCACAAATTAAATAAAAGGAGTATTAGATATTGATACAAATATAAATTTATTAGATTTATTTTATAAAATATTTTCAAAGTAGTAATATTTCATCTAATTAATATACCATATACGGACTATATTTTATTTAATTATAGGTAAAAAATTGAAAACAGTTAACTGCAAAAAGTCAAAACTTGACACATACTCAAGGACGGAGGTAGTACATATTTTGCTCATTCTGATTTATAAGCAAAGTAAAACAAAATAAGCATACTCATGCTACCAAGTACCAAAGAAGCATTAGATTCAGAATATCTTCTTATCTGATGATACTGGTAATAGTGTTAGCTACAAACGGAATTACTGTGCGCCCTACCTAGTGAACAATATGAGTGAGGAGAAAAATTACCTTTCTTCCCATTGAATCTCTTATCCTCGGGGAGACCATCGTGGCGATACTGAGTTAGTTGTACCTCCACCTCCTCTGGGGTGGCCTTGTTTTTTCTGACAACAGCTTTTGCCTCATCATATACACTGCTGCGAGCCCCGTGTTCTGAGATTGCCAGTACAGAATTTGAACGCCAAAGTAGGGATTCAAACACACCCATTGGGTCCCTCCTGAACTGGGACTTTGAGTCTACCCATATGGAAAATCTAGCATTTGGAAAGAGCCGGTGTGGAAGCATCTGATTAATATAAAAAATTCATAAAGTAAATCCTCAGAGTTCATCATGTATTGGCGACAAATGAACAAATTGAGCTACACGCCAGATTATATCCAAGGCACATGCATTATTAACCAATCCAGATGCCTTATGGCTAGTTTGGTTGGAAAATTTTGGAGAAGATTGGTTTTTGGATTACCATATATTCTGTTAGTCACATACAAGAAAATCACAATATGCTTTGTTCAATTACTGTCTTTCTAAAGATGGGGGCATGGGGCTAAAGATGGGGTTTCATGTCACTGACAAACACAATCCATTGACCACAAATTTAAAGAAGCATACCTTTGGGATTTTTCCATTCAATCTTTGGTCCCTAAAAGGCAGGTTTTTAACGAGTATAACACGCCACTTCCCAATATAATGGTCACCACCAACAGTACGACCCTCTGCCTGTTGTGCTGCCAGTGTGATTTCATCCCAAAATGCCACATAACAGACCTGCATACATTGATTTATGTCATAAGTGGGCATTAGAGAAAATAAATACCCATATTAGACAGTTGATAATAACAAGTCCTTTGCCAGGAACCTTCTTGAGGGATGACTCTGACATTCCTATTGGTTCGTAAAGATTATCTCCACCGCCAAATGTGCATGTTGACACCACGGCCTTGCAAGATTGCATATACTGTTTGTCTTCTTCAGAAATTTTAAACCCTCCCGCCTCACTGTAAAAGCCACAGTTGACAATAGCTGTTTCATTAACCTGAGACATTAAATAACAATAGCATACCTTTTATAAGGACTGTTTATTTTTCAATGACTCAAATACCAACTGCAACTGTGAGTATTCTGTCACAGGAAGAACTTTATTACTCCTTACTCCCTCTGTTCTTATTTATCTGTCTACATTGACTAAATTTCTTGTTCCTTTTTATCAGTTCATACACACAATCAATGCATACTATCCGATTTGCCCATTCTCTCCAGAGGAAGGTAAATGGGAGGGCAAATTCTAATGAAGAAATATTATGAAAATTATTAAGAGCTATGAATTCAAATGCTGTGTCATTTGCTTGACGTTGAGTGCAGATGGGAGTGGAGGGAAGGGAACACACAAACAAGTGAATTATACAACTACAGAAGTGAACCAAGTGGGATGAAGATAGAAATGTGAAATTTGTAACCTTAAAGCTTTCATCTCTTTGCTCAAGAGATTGGCCTCCTGTGAATAAATTAAACCTTGTTGATTCAGAGAATTGTTGAATTTGTGTCAGATTCCCTCCTTCAAGATGATGTTCATTAACATCTGCTGATACGTATACCACCCTTTTAATAGATTCAACATGCGCATTTCCAGTTGGAAAATCCAGTTGCTCGAGTTCTTCAGGAGGCAAGAGCTTCAAGCAACCTAAAACCATTCAAATGAAAATCGCTGAAACAAAGCATCCAAAAAGTACTCTGACAATCAAATTTCAATATCAGGAACTGAATTGCAGCAGAAACTCACGCTCTCTAACTCCACCACGAACACGAGTTACTTGATCTAGCCGATCCAAGTTTTCAGGGGGTTTTCTCACGACGGTGCCAACCTGCTTCTTCGGATCAGAATCTCTCCGAATCCGAGTACCGGATCTCCCTCCGATGCGTGAAGCCTCGAGGATCAGGAGTCCGGCAGCTAGAAGGATGAGAGGGACATGCCACCATTTCAGAATCAGATGGACGACTCGTCGAGAAAACCGGTTCTGGCCTCTGTTCGCCGGCCTCGTGCGCTTCCGCCGGACTCTTGCCTTTATTCTACCGGCGAGCTCGTCGGACTCTCCGTCCGAAACTGCAATTGGGATGCTATTGTTGTAGGACGACGCCATTGTTCAGAAGCTCAGCTCTGCTCAGATGGACAAAATCAGAACGGAGTTCTACAACAAGAATGGGCCTTCCATGCCTACTTTCAGACTATATGGGCTTATATTTGACATTGGCCTTATTAACCCACTACAAATGTATGGCCAAGCCCGCATTGCACGAAAGAGAATGAAACATTGCAGGCTTGCATATTTGCATGTCACAATCTACCGGGCCGTGCCAATCCCTCTTCCGAATGTACCATAGCTCAAAGTATTCATCTAGTTTGAATTTTTCGAATTAAATTAAACAAGTTTAGATTAATATTAGAAAAATATTGTTTCAGAAGATTAAATAATGTACAAATTATTAAACTTCATGAACACATTTAAACAACGGTAGTCATTGCCATATTATAACATCGTGCTCTTTTTGACCCAAGACCGAGACTTAAACCATACAATGGTTCATGGCCATCTCACAGCCACCAGTGTCATCCAATGAAGGCCATCCTGAAGGGGATGGATCCCATCTGATGCCGCACTTGAATTTCCCAAAAAGAAGAAATCAATCGGGATGACTGGAATCGAGTCACGGCTTCACCACCCATCCTGGGGGATGGCGGTGTTCCCGTCTATCCCGCCTACCACGTCAGTAATCAATGCTCCATCCCACACTACACACCCTGTGGTTTTGACCATCCCTCTAAATAAAACCCCACTCGAAGTCCTATCTCAATCCCATCTACCCTTACCCTTCGATGATGCAAATCATGCCATCACCTGTGCAAACAGCTAAACACGGGAGACATTCATTCTACAAAACCGCTAGGTGTTCACCACATTAGTGTACACCAGTGTGTTACAGACATACATAAACAATATTTTTTCTATGCACACAAACAATCGTTATCTAAATGTGTATGTAATACACTTAGGTATACATCATATATACCAATATGTTGTACACTTGTACACGTAGAATGGCACTGAGATAACTATGCTTGATTGCTAAAAATAGAATATCTACACGTACCAAGTGAGATTTTTTCGAAGTGATCGTCCGAAGGATTCCGAACGATTCCAGACATTGGGTTCACCACCAATCACATCAATCATCATCAATGTGGAAAGTTATTACCAATACATTACAATGGATTGATCTAAAAATCAAATGAAAACTATGAACCTTTAAATTCCCATCTTCAACCTTTTATTCTGCTGCTCAAAGATCCTACTGAAAGAATTAGCAATCTTCATCTGCGTCTCAAGAATCATGTCCGTCTTCCTCTTTTCCATCTCCATTCTCCATTTTTCGGTCTCCATGATCATCTCGATCTTCTTCTTCTCTAGCCTCATGAACTCCTCCGCAAAACCCCTAATTTCTCCTGCCAGTTTACTGTCCCCATCTCCCCCCTCGCCATCGCTGGGATCGTTAGCTCCATTGTTGTCTGAGCAATTCAAATTGTTTTGCTCGAAACCGGAATCTCCATTGCCGTCGTCGTTCTCGTCTTCGTACCTGTCGGAGGAATCGTAGAGATTCGAGTTCTGATGCATAACCATGGCGACGGGACGGGCGGCGATCGGCGAAGGTCCGCGCTCCATGTGATCCATGAGCTCGAAGAATTCCCAGGAATTCGGGTAGGGTTTGACCCGCTCGGATCTGTAGCGCTTCCGGAGCTTCTCGATCTTGTGGCGGCACTGCGTGGAGGTTTTGGAGAGCTCGTCGAAGCCGCAGCGGGCCGCGACGGCGACGGCCACCTCCTCCCACTGGTTGGCCTTGAGCGGGCCGCGATTCAGAGAGTACCATTTCTCTCTGTAAGTTTGGATGAGGCTGACCGTCTCCTCGGAGGTCCAGGGGAGGGGAGGGGTCTTCTTAGAGAGCGGCGAGGGGAGGGAGGAGAAGTTTCCGTACTGATCGGAGCCCGGTGGAGGGGAGGAACCGCCGGCCATTGGCGGTTGCGAGATATGCGGCGGAGAAGGATGAGGAAGAAATTGAGATGGAGAGGTGAATTTATCGATGGGGTGAAACTGGTGGCGGAAGAGGAGGACGGCGGTGGTTTGATAGGCGGATGGGTGGATAGCCTATGGGCCTCAACCGACCCGTTTCCTTATATTTGGGCTTTTCACCTCTTTTTTCCGGTACAAAATTTCAGTTTTACGTCTCTCTCTACCAAGTACCAACATGTTTTTGAATACTACTAGCCTACTATTGTTATATTGCCTTCAAAACATTTCCTATTTTGATTTTCAGTTTTAAATAATGACATATTTTGACTATAAATTATGAAAAAAAATTATATAATTATAATATGAATTTAATATAGGAAAATTTATCCAAAATAATCCCAACTTTACCCGGTCTTTCAAAAATAATTCAACATTTCACTGTAATGCATAATAATCCCAACTTTACTGAAATTTGCTAGTTTTGGGTCGCCGTTAAGTTTCTAACGAAGGGTTAACAGAAATGCCCGTTTTAGGCAACAAAAAGAAAGTTAAGATTATTTTTGATGAATTTTCATTTTTTTTATTTTTTTTTTAATTTTTCATTTAAATATTTAAAATTACTTTCTACCTCCATCATTATTTCTTTTTCCTTTTTAAAAGATTAGTCTTAGTTTAAAAAAATAAAATAATAGATATAAAAAAATGAAAAAAATGAGAAATGTAACTAAAATGATACAAAAATAATAAAATAAATAAGGTAATCAATGGAAACTAACTTGAAATTGGTAAAAGTAAAATAAAAATATACGGGTGGGTTTTAATATTTTAAGCACTATACAAAGTATTAACATATCAATTCTTATTTTTTAGAAAAAATTATCTACAATAATTCCAACTTTACATGACGGCTTGTTCTTTTAAAACATAAGTAGTACATTAAGACTCCGTATAGTATGTAAAATGTTAAACCCACCACTCCGTATATATTTATTTTATTTCTTACCAATTTCTGTTTAATTTCTATTGATTACATTATTTATTTGATTAATTTTGTATGGTTTTAGTTATTTTTCTCTTTTTCATTATTTTTTATATCTTTTTTTTTCTAATGTAAGAATAATCTTTAAAAAAGAAAAAGAAATGGAGGTTGAAATTATTTAAAAAAATTTAAATAAAAATTTCAAAAAAAAAATTAAAAAACAAAAATTCATCAAAAAAAATCCCAACTTTCATTTTGTTGCCTAAAACGGGCATTTCCGTTAACCCTCCGTTAGAAACTTAACGGCGACCCAAAATTGGCAAATTTCAATAAAGTTGGGATTATTATGCATCACAGTGAAAGGTGGGATTATTTTTGAAAGACCGGGTAAAGTTGGGATTATTTTGGGTAATTTTTCCTTTAATATAATTAGTTTCATCTTAGAATAAACTTTTGATACATCAAATTTCTATATCATTAATTTATTTAAATTATAATTAATTTGTCATAAAAAGTGTCACTGTTTGACCAAAAAAATCAAACCATGAAATATTCTAAGGACGGGAGAGAGTAATAAAGAAATCAATACAAATAGGAGTAAGACAAAACAGACTCCGTAGAAAAATTATTAAAGTAGGAGTTTAATAATTTTATCCCTGATATATATATATATATATATATATATATATATAGGGGCCGGTTCCTGTAAGAATGCACCTTGTGGAGAGAAATGAGAATGAAATCTAGCCGTTGGATCTGATGCATCATGCGGCTCAGATTGCATTCTGCGTTCAGATTTTGAGATAGTGCATTTTCAAAAGATTATAATGCATGTCGATGTGATGCATTTTCAAATCATTTTGTTGCACTTAATTTTGATGCAATCATGGCCCTTAGATCGCACAATCTAAAGCACCAGATTCATTCTCATCTCTCTACTAAGATCGCATTCTTACCAGAACCAAAATCTATATATATATATACATACATACATATATATATATATATATATATATATATATGCAAACAAAGTTAAATAAAATTTGACCATGTGAATAGTGAATGACAAATTTATTTTAGAGTCGGGCTCGAGTTTTATGCTCAAGCTCACAGGCCTGGCTCGATAAGTTGAGATATTTATTATTAATATAATTATAATAAAATATTAATAACAATAATAATAAAAAGAACAATACTATTTCAAGTTATTATAAACACACATACATACTTGGAGAAAAAAATGCATGATAATTATATTTAATAAAATAAATAAATCTATATTACTCTGAATTGTTTAGTACGTTTCGCCCATTGATAATGATGTTCCAATAAATAATACGGAGTACTTCGTATTCCGTACGCAGTAGCAATATGAAATAAAATACATTTTTTTATTAGTTGTTTTTTCATTTACTCATTACAATTATTATATCAAACATCTAATATATCAATCCATTAATTTATTTTTTAAATTTTATTTTAATTGTTTAGAAGTTTTTCTCGTGCGGCCCGGCCCGAAGCTCGCGGGTATCCATTCGGGCCGAGCTTGAGAATCAATTGTTAGGCCTGATATATGGGTCACGACGGAGTCGGGCCTAGAAAGTTTTTGTACTGTAACGTCTCGGCCCAGCCCGAAACCCGGTCCAGCCCGTACTTTAATCCGGACTAGTTGCAACACATTCAGATCTTCATAGTTCCACATACCATACGTTGATGTAGATCGAGCCCAATGCAAGATTGTTGATATAGGCCTGATGGCCCAACTCTGATTCTATTATGCTAGCCTGCTTTTGGAGGTTGGATAGGGGCTAGTGAGCCCGTCGATTAATATAGAGCATGAGCCCATAGAAATATCTAGATTTAAAAAAAATAATCGCACATTGGCACTATGTTTGTTTCAAGAAATTTGGTAGGAAAAATAAAGAAAATTATTTTTTTACATTTTTCTCACCAAAATGGGAGGATTTTGGTTTTCATTCCTCTTAATATATTTTGCCTTCTTCTTTAATTCTCCCATTTCATGTTACATTCTTTTTACTTTTTGATCGAGAGTTTTTGATGTCAAACGACGTGTTGAAAATTTCACCCGATAAAATATCATTTTCGTACAAACACGGGCGGATGACGCGGATCTGAGAAGGCCATATTTGGGGGGGGGGGCAATAGGCACAGTTTTTGAATGGAGGATATAATTAATAATTTAAGACATTAGAATTGACCTAAGATATAAATTGATGTACTCCGAATATAGGTTCTCGTTTTTTTTTAAATAAAAAAATACTAAAATAAGTGGATGGCAAGATATTCTTTTGCGTTTACAAATTACTAAAATAATTGATGTCATTTTATTTTTTAGCAAAATGGAGATGTTTTTTAAACAATAAAATCCTTCAGCTCCCAACAAAAAAACATTATATTGTTGCCTAAAAAACTGGTTGTCCAACTAGTACGTTATTATAAATTGTAATTGTTAAATACTTAAATGCTTAACTCATTAAATATCTGTAATTGTTTGAATAAAATCTAAAAGTAGATCATAAAAGCATGATAGTTAAATAAAGTTAAAATGTACTTTTAAAATTATATATTTCCATTTTAGTTTTTTTATTTCAATCATATAAAAATCTGTTTGAGTAAAAAACTTACTACGAGTAAATTTTTTGTCCTTTTACATTACTCCTAAACACTTTTTGAAGTGATGCTTCCAATCCTCGTAGAGTCGTAGTAAGGTGCTCCCAATCACCTAAATTTCTGAATCCGCAACTGCGTATAGATAGTCTTCGATCTACATCTTCTAGAAACCAAAATCAGATCCATCAAACATTGCGAATTTAAGCTTTAATATCTCTACCTCCAGACTTCAGTGATCGTACGTGTTAAAACTCCTTAGCTCTACCACCAATTGTTAGGATCGAGCAACAACACATTGAAATCCAATGAAGAACATGAAGAAAACGAGAGAAAAATTGAGGGCTAGAGATAGAAACGAGAAAGAGTAAAGTGCGTGGTAACACCACGTTGTAACCTCTGAGGTGGTAAGGCTATATATTAATGATTTAGAGCATGTATAGTTACAAAAAATAATTGATATAGATCAAATTACGTGAAACCTTTCACCCCGTCCCTAAAAACCTTTCTTCTTTTCTTTTTTCATCCGTCCCAAAAAACACTTCTAATTTACTCCCATCCGTCCCGGAGTATTCGTCCAGTTTTGGCTTTTGGAACTATTCATCTAAGCACTTTGACTCATCAAATTCTCTCAATGTGTAAGCCTAAATATAGTCATTTGTGATCTTGTTTGATTTGTCTTAACATATAGATTATTAATATATACTCCATAATTTCTATACTTTTTTATTAATATACAAATCACAAGATAAAATGGATTAAAGAAGTGTATTGGATGGTGTGTAAAAATGAAAGTGGACAAATACTCTGGGACGGAGGTAGTATATTATAAAGTTAATTTTATCTCTTACTTTTTCATACCCTACCTATCACATCATACCTTTTTACTAATAATCTACCCATCAAATCCTACTTTTACCCATCACATCAAAGGACATTTTTGGAAATTTAATAGCAAAATACACTCTTCTTAATTCTCTTCAAAATCAAAACATCTCATGTTTAAAGGGACGGAGGGAGTACATGACAATACATTAACTACTACCTCCGTCCCACTCTTTTTGTCTAGTTTTGACTTTTGAAACTGTTCATCTAAGCATTTTGACTCATCAAATTCTCTCAATGTGTAAGTCTAAAAATAGTCATATATGATCTTGTTTGATTTGTCTTAACATATAGATTATTAATATATAATTTTTATAATTTTTTAATATATAAATTACAAGATAAAATTAATTAAAGAAGTGCATTGGATGATGTGCAAAAATGAAAGTGGACAAAAAGAGTGGGACGGAGGGAGTATTAATCAAGTTCCACAACCTAAATATTAATCTTGGGGAGTGGCTTCATGTCTCACAAGTAAGAAAAAGATGTTTTCTTTTCAACTTTTTTTTTTTGCCATGAAAAGGGAAAAAACGGGACATTTACCTTGAGGAAGGTGAGTAGGTGACCAATCATGTCGTTCATAATATGACCAGTCATATAGCCAATTTATCTCCAAAAGAAATGAGATGAAGATACTCTATGGTGTCTTTACACTTTTGTTTAATTTTTTACCCTCTACTCAGTTACCCCTACCCAAATCTACCCTTTTAAATGTATACTTTTTCTGTCTATAAATTATCTTCTCACTTCCTTTTTATGACAATTGCTTTTTCTCTAAACCACATCATTATTCTCATTTTACCCATTAATTATTATCCATACCTATAATTTATTTTACTTTTTGCAATGATCCAAGGGCAAATACGGAAAGTCAAAATATATTTATTTTTTTAATTTGCGTGTAAAGTCAAAAGAAGAAGATTATTTTTTGAGAGAGAGAGGACTACTAAAATCTATTTTGGATATGGTCATCCTTAAATCAAATCTGATCATATTGAATTGGCCATTTGGGGAAGGAGGACATATTTAGCTAAAACTTGGTAGTCAAATGATATGGCCATTATGCCTTTGCTTTATGGGATTTTGTGCATTTGGGGAGAAAAAAAAAGCCAAAGTGAAACCTGAAAAGTATCATATGCGGCCTTTGCCCATTTTTTCCCTGGAAGCCCTAAAGTCAGGTCCAACGTGAGATAGACGGAGCAACTACGACGGTACTTATTACCGTGAATATGATTGCCATTTTTATCGGCCTTTTTTTAAGGATTAAGGTTTTTAATTAACGTTATCTTTTTTAATAATGTTTTGATGGTGTAAATAAATATCAAAAACCCTAAAATTAAAAGCCAGACTTATAGTTTTGATTAATCCAAATCAATGTTCTCCAAACATACTCTTAAAAAAGTAACCTGGAGTAATTTAAAAATTGTACAAAAAGTTTTATAAAATGAAATGTCAAAACTATATTATTTTAAATGATAAATAATAAAAATAGATTTTTTTAGCAAGTACTCCGTAATAAAAATAGAGAAAACTCTTGGTATTGCAAATAGTCAATTTTTTTTTTTTTTGTAAAAAAAATTGTGAGAATATAAAGTAGAAATGTAGAATGGTAGGAGCCGGACAAGGACTTGCAAGTTTGTCGATGTAGGGCCTAGCCCCTAGGGGCCAAGAACATGATTCCCTGCTTTTTGTTGATTAGCTGGCCGATTGAACAGTCAAACCATGTAGATTTGAAATCCACATATAAAGTTACCGAGTAAAAAAACAAATAAAGATGAGTCCTGTCATGATTTACCTCTAGTCTCCACAATTCCTGTCATGCCAGGAGGTAGGAGCGCCTGGGATGGGCGATTTCACTCATGGACCGACGGAGTAATAAAACAAAAGGAGTCCTAAAAGTTCTCTCTTTAAAAAAAACATCAATTGACTAATTTAATACGGAGTAACTAGAATTAACTAAAACGATAATATATATCGTGCAATCGGTTGTGACTGAGTATTCATTTCTCTTAAACTCGGTTATAAATGCTCGAAAATGAATATTCAGACATTCAGTTATTCGAAAATAAGTATTTTGTTACTTTAAAATGAAAATTCAGTTACTTGACAATCAATATTCACGCGGATGTATGGTATGAGTACTATGCTAAAGCGATTTTGTAAAAAACTTATCTTTAATAAACATGGTACAAAATACTTGAATGTATCTTGTTTTTTCGAACTTTAAAGTGAAGATTATCTTAATTACTAACAAAAGAAGGCTTAGCTTTACATCGGGTTGTACGTGTAATTCTCGTTCATACTCCCTCGTTAATTGATACGCATGTGTTTAATTTATTTATTGATTAATAAAAAATGTTTTATTGATAAGCATTTATTTAATTTATTTATTATGTATTTTATTCAATTTGATTGCATTTATTTAATTAGGTTATATATTTAATTCCCGTTCATACAATCATACTCCACCGTTCAATGATCTTTTTTCATTGATAATCATTAATTTAATTTATTTATTATTTATTTTATATGACAAGGTTCATATAGAGGTACCCATGATATTTTTAGTGACAAGGTTCAACATCAAAAGGAAAAGATATCCATGACATGAAAAGAGCCCTTTCTTTTGTGGACGTGGATGCATATCATTTTATAGACATTCTCACATAATTTTTTTTTAAAAAAACAACTACTTATTTAAATAGTAAAAAATACTTATCTTGTCTATATCTAAGTCTATGGTGAATCTTAGCTCCAACATAGAATATGCCACAGGAAAAAAAAGTGGAACGCCACCTAGAATATCCCTACACCCCGACCTGACAAAAATTTGAAAATGAAGAAAAAGGAAGAGAGAAAAAAAGGGGATAAGATTCTATTTTTATGTACCCTAACAAAAAGACAAACAAGTAGTATAATACAGTAAAATATACGGAGTATATCAGTATATGTATACAGTATACTCCTTTGTCCTTATAACTTTAGATCTTATGTGAAAACTAAGACTACTATTTTGTCTTAGAATATTCAATCAGTTTATTTTTTAAAATTCAACTGAATGATTAATCTTGATTACAGAGTATGAACTACTTCGTTTCTTTTAGAGTATTTGTTCAATTTTGATTTTTTTCAGTTAAAATTAGATACTAAAATAATTTTATTAGATTTGTTAAATAGGATATTTTCAAAATATTATTTTGTCTAATTTATATATAATACTCCCTCCGTCCTAAATAAAGTTCCATTTTTGACTTTTTGAGTATTTAAGGGAGGGATATTTTTGTGTTGACTTTCCAAAAATACCCTTGATGTGATGTGTAAAAATAAGATGTG